TTAAGCGGATAACTTTATAAGGCTTTACCTAGTTACCGATCGACCTTAACGTCTCCTTATAGTCCGCGAGGATAGCTCTATTAGTAAAGAGGAGGTAAACTATAGGAACCTTAACCTCTATATCTAAAAGGTGCTTTAGGCTCTTTTCTCGGACCTGCTATATAATAGCCTCCTAGTTGAATAAATTAAGGGTATCTTTCTAAGCCAAGGCTTATAAGGCAGGCCGGGTAATAGTTAAGGTAGTAGTGGGTTTAGATATAGGGGCTATCGAATTAGGGGTTAGACTATCGTCTATATCGGTGTCGTTAACTATCTTTATAACCCTTTAGGAGCTTTCCAGAGTCGATAGGGTTTATTAAACGGCCTAATTAGGGGAACTAGCTACTTTTAGCGTGGGTTTACTAACTCTACCGCTCCTAATAGTGCGAAGAGGGTCCTGGGGTTTAGTCGAGGTAGGTCGTGATATAGACGTAGTATATACTCTAGTAGTAATAAAACTAATAGATCCTATGACCTTAGTGACCCTTAAGGCTTAAGTGGCTTAGGTGGCCTAACTACTCTAACCGGTCTACTACTTCTATACCTGCTTAACTATATACTTAATTATAAGCCTATTAGTCTTATTAGTCTTATAGGGGAGGGTAGTGGGCTAGAAGGTCTTAGTATAGAGGTCTATAAGCTCCTTAAATCGGCTATAAAGCTTAGTAGCTAGCTAATATAGTATAAGCCGTCGGTATAGCTAGTACTCGTTAACTTATAGCTCGCTCTTTAGGTAGGCTGTCTAGGTATTAGTCTAATCTAGAACTAAATACGCGGGGAACTCCTACTTGATTAGGTTATAGGCGTTATCGTGGATTAGGATAGGGTAGTTATCTCTCCGATACCCTTCTTAGCCGTAGTAGTAGTAGCGTGCTAGCGGGGGCTAGCTATTATTCTAGGCACCTCTTTACTATTCTAGGTGGTTATCGTGTTACTAGGTCGGGCGGCTATCGTTACGCCGGTTATTATATCTAGGGCGGGGTCCTCCGTAATAGATCTCCTCGGTATACTAGGCGTTATTAGGCTAGAAAGCGGTATTATTAGTCTAATTAGGGGTGGCGAAGTGCACTAAAGTAGTTATTATAGGCTAAGGGGCGTACTTAAGGACGGTATAAAGGCGTTCTTTAGATTAGACTTCGTGGCGAGGAGGGCTTAGACCTTCTCCATGTCTATCCTCTTAAATAGGGCGAGTACTTAGGCGGTAATACCCCTAACGCCTTTAGCTCTATTATAGATAAAGGAAATAGTATACTTCTTAAGGAGGTCGGCGAGCTTATCTATATCCGATTAAGAGGCTATTGACTCCTAAACTATAATAGGCCGCCTTAAGATTATAGGCTAGAAAGCGGTACTATTAGGCTAATTAGACTTAGCTATACCTAGTATAGCGTCCTTATTTATAGGCTTACCCTCAACTTCCTAGATATCCGTAGACTACTCGCGTAGGAGGTCTAAAAGCAGCTTATAGCTCTTAACTATCTTTCTTAAGTCGGTGCCTTAAATTTCAAGCTTATTAGCGATAAATATATAGATATCCTTATACAGAATAGTAAGAATAATACCGTAGAGCTTAGAGTCCTCGATAAAAGTGCCTTAGACCCGCTCTGTCTTAGCCTTCTAGATAGTGATTTACTATAGTAAGTCCCTAACCTAACGAACGCTATTAATCTTATACGTTTTATATTTTACCCGAAGCTAATAAACCTTATAAAAGAAGTTAAGTTAGTAGTTAGGATCTAAATAGGAGTACTCTTTAATACGCTTCTCGACTAGATTAGACTAACTGTCTTTAGCGGCTTAAACCTCTCTAATCAGGCGTTTAACGGCGGGACGAATAGCTGTGTCCGTGTATAGGTTAATATAGGTGATCTTATCGGTTTTACTAAGACGGTTAAGCTTAGTATAGTTATCGTACTATTAAAGGAATATAGAGAGGGACTTACCACTAAAGCGGGGAGCTTTAATAGCAAGGGGATTTAGGGGTACTCTCGATATAGCGGTAGTAAGGGGTAGGGCTTTAACGACCTCGGCGATAGTACTCTCTCGGTCACGGCTTATTAAGGCTTATAGTAGCTTAATTAGGTCTTTAGCGGTAGTAAGGGGCTATTAACGCTTAGGGGCGGCGGTAGTAGGAGCGTTCGAAGCGGGCTAGGTAGTAAAAATAGGGTGGGTAGGGGTAGTAGTTAATTTATAGGTAGGGGTAGATCTAAAGGCTAATCCGGGGGTAGTATTAGGGGTAGTTATCGAAATAGTAGTCGGAGCCGCGGTAGACGTAGTAGTCGGCCTAGAAGCGGGCGGAGGTAAGGCTATAGCCCCGATATTATAGTTCCCCTAATTAGGGGTAATAGAAGTAGCGGGCGTAAGAATAAGGGGAATAGCCGGCGAAGGAGCCTTATTATTGGAGTCGCTAACGACAATAACGGGGGTCGGCTCGCGATACTAATTCTAAGTGTTTATAGTGTTTTAGGTATAAGTATAAGGGGGTAGGCTCGCGATACTAATTCTAAGTGTTTATAGTGTTTTAGGTATAAGTATAAGGGGGTAGGCGAATAATAATAATAGGGTTAGGGCGTTTAGGGTAAGGTTCTTCGAATTAATCGTTTAGTAAAAAGATCCTATAAGTGTTCTAGATACTAGCTAGGTTATTATATATATTATCTTATCTTAATAGGAGTAATAAAGTCTTTAATAAAAGGGCGGTCCTAGGTTTTACTCCGTGATACTTATCTTTAGGGTCTAGCTTTTCTAACTTACCTTAAAGGAAGAGGCCCCCCACGATTAGAAGATTACCTATTCGTAAAGGGGCTATACTTACGGATATTAATATTAAAAGTATTACCTGCTAAGCCTCGTAAACAAGTATCACGACCTGCTTACGGGGTCTATAGAGGTCCTTACTAGATTATCGGGTCCTTTTATAAGGTATTATTATTTCGCTCCTACGCTCGGTATTAGCTTTTTATTAGGTCTACTAGGGTTTAGTTACTCTAATCCGGGTAAGCTGCTCTCGGCGGTCTTATCTTTTCTTCGCTATCGTGCGAGAATCTATTTTAATTCGTAGTAGGGGTTATAAGCCCCCTATCGAGTCTATTCTATATCCGGAATCTAACTCTATCACGATCTAATCGGTTTCTTCTATTCCTATAATTACTACCTCCGTGGCGGCGGGTCTTATAATTAAAAGTGTTAATAGTTCTTTAACTCTTACCTAAGCAGTATTTCTTTTCCTGATCTTATTAGGGTAAATCACCCCTCGGTCTTAAAGCGTTAAATCCTTCCTTAGTCGGTATCTTTATATTCTTCCTGGGGTTATCAACTAATAGTCCGTTTAGGAGGGCCGGAACCTCCCTCAAACGCCTTTATTACTCTGATTAGGGTTAGAATACTTTAGGGACGCTGAATAAATCCGCCTCCGAGTACTATATTATAACGGGATAAAGATATAGTGGCACTAGATCGTTAAGATAAAGATCAGATAAAGAGGTTAGTCCAGTAAAACTACGATATATAACCAAAATATAACTAACACCACTATATCCTTTAGTAGAGAAGTAGATTGGTAGTTACTATTCTGATTAGGGTAACGTAAGTTAAACTGGAAAGATACCTTAAACGTAGAATAAGTAATTGTAAAAGAGGATAATAATTGTGTGTAGTCTCTCGATAGGGATATCCTGTGCCTATCCTTATTATATATATAGGGGGCAGGCCCCGTAACCTCGAAAAGGTAGTTATATGACCGGCTAACAACACTATACCAAAACCGTATCTGCGCGGTTACAGTAGACGGATTAACGAAGGCGTTATACGGCGAGAAATTTAAGATATTCAGGTCCTAGGTAGGCGTGATAGATATACGGGAACGGTTATAGCAGAAATAGCTAGACGAAGTCCGGATAGAATATTGAGAGGACCTAAAGAATGAATTTAAGGGCGGATATAGCGAACAGATTATATAGCTGGATTATCTGCCGATTACGAATAGCTTTAATCGCCTAACTAACATTTTAGGGCGATTAAGGGGTATATCGAATAGACTATAGTCTTTTCGGTTACGTAATAGGCCGGCTTACTAAGAGTATAATCCGGGTAGACGCTTACAGAATCTGCACTATATAAAATATAGTGGTAGCGTTTCCCTGACGGTCTAAGACAGTTATAATTATACATAATTGCCTTAATTAATTTTGACCGATCTTATGACGATTTTGACTACGCTGTATTTGACATATTCATGACAGTTAATTGGTCGAGGTTTGTGAGATCAATGCTGAGCTAAGCACAGACAGTCGCCACCAAAATAAGTTCGGGAGTACACTAATTAGTACGAGACCTCGTCCCACATCACCACGTCTTACCGCTCTGTGCGCATCTCCAAGCCCGCCTATGAGCGCCGTTCCCACCAAACGGCAAGAGACTTAGAACTACCCAGACTGAAACGCCTTATCTTGAATGGCCAGGAACTGCAACTCCGGAGAGGTTACGATACCTTACTCTGCCTCCTCTCCCCTCTTCCCCGCCCCACGGAGTGCACCATTTACCCCGCCAAACAACATCTGAACCCCTACTCTGACCATGTATCTCTCTGTACGGAGTACAAATGACAGTTCCATCTCCACGCTGTACCACTCATCGAATCCGAAGGTACTGTGACCTGCAACATAGGAAGTCGACGCTACTTCGCGTCATCGGTGGGCGATTTTAAAGGCGACAACAAGTCTCCTCTGCCTGCTTCTGGTTTGGGGAGGTATCTGTACACTGACTGACCGCATGCTCTCGGCTTTAGGTACTCGGGATCGTCCCCGTAGCATCACAGTACCTTATCACTTGACAATCAACAATATCCGACTTTACTCTCCCACATTGCTGTTTTTCGCCCTTCAACCTCCATCGCAACCTTCAACTCACTAATGGTATCTGGCATTTCTGCTTCTCTGACCTCTTAGCGACACAGTCACATCATGGCAGTCCCTCATCCCCTGGCCCCCCTCTCCAAGGCCGAGTTTGAGAGAGCACGCGACACCGTCGTCAAGCTATACGGCCCCGACTCCAGCCTCTTTTTTCGTTCTATCTACCTTCACGAACCTCCTAGAGCCGACCTCGTCTCGTTTCTTCAGGCCGAACATGACGGCACGCTTACCGACAGCACGCCCCGGCCTCTTCGCCTGGCCGTGGCCCATTACGACGTCATTCACACCGCTACGAAGCACCTTGAATACGCTCAGTCCGTCGTCGACCTGAACCTCTCGTGGGAAATAGAGAGACGGGTTGCGGGTCCTCGTGACCAGGCTGGCTATCCCCCGTACGATATGCCCTATGTGCCCTATGTGCCCTCTGTGCCCCATTCCACCATTATCGTGCTCGTGCCTTCCACAGCTGCAGCCTGCCTCGTCGTGTAAGACTCACAAAATGCTAGGTTCGAGTTTGCCATCTTCTATGATGCCTGCGTCAAGTCCAGCCTTTTCAAGGAAGCCATGGCCGAGTTTGTCCTCCCAGAACACTTCACCGTCACCATTGACCCCTGGCCCTATGGAGGGCTTGACCCGGACGACGACCGTCCCCGTCTCCTGCAAGGCCTAGTCTACGCTCGTGATGGCTCGAATAACAATCCCGATTCAAATCACTACGGCTTTCCCATCCCCATCATCCCCGTCATGGATGTAGCCACGAAGGAAATCATTCGAGTCGACCGTTTGGCCACCGGCGGAGCAGCCCAAGACGGCTTGGAGCCAGCACCTCGAGAGTCAGATGCCAAACCAAAACCTCTGTTCCTCAACTCCCGACCCTCCGAATACGTCCCCGAGCTCTTGGATCGCCCACTTCGCACCGATATGAAGCCCATCAACATCACCCAGCCCGAAGGCACATCCTTCACCGTCCACCCGGACAACCTGGTAGAGTGGCAAAAGTGGCGTTTCCGCCTCGGCTTCACCCCGCGTGAAGGCGCCGTCCTCCACGACCTCTGCTACGACAACCGCCCCATCCTCCTGCGCGTCAGCTACAGCGAACTCACCGTCCCCTACGGCGACCCCCGCCCCCCGTTCCAGCGGAAGCAGGCCTTCGACCTCGGCGACGGCGGCTTCGGCCGCGCCGCTAACAACCTGGAGCTCGGCTGCGACTGCCTCGGCGCCATCCACTACTTCGACGCCTACCTGACCGACCCCCGGGGGAACCCGACGCTCGCCAAATCGGTGGTGTGCCTGCACGAGCAGGACAACGGCATCGGGTGGAAGCACACCAACTTCCGCACCGACCGCGCGGTCGTCACCCGCCTGCGCGAGCTGGTCGTCCAGTGCGTCGTCACCCTCGCCAACTACGAGTACATCTTCGCCTACAAGCTCGACGTCGCCGGCGGGATCACCCTCGAGACCCGCGCCACGGGGATTGTGAGCGTCGTCGCCATCGACGAGGGGAAGCGGTCGCCCTACGGCAACGTCGTCGCCCCGGGCGTCCTGGCGCAGAACCACCAGCACATCTTCGCCGTGCGGATCGACCCCGCCGTCGACTCGTATGCCGCGGGAGACAGCCGCGTCGCTGTCGAGGAGAGCGTCCCGGTCGCGGCGGACCCGGAGACGAACCCGTATGGGAACTACTACGAGGTCAGGAAGCGCACGGTCGAGAAGGCGTGCTGGCTCGACGCCGAGCCCATGCTCAACCGTCTTGTCCGGTTGGAGAACGCGCGCAAGAAGAACGAGGTTTCGGGACGGCCCGTGGGATACAAGCTGACCCCGCCGCCGACGCAGCTTCTGCTGGCCGATCGGAACGGACTGCAGGGGCGTCGGGCCAAGTTTGCGCACCATCATGTCTGGGTCACGGGCCATCGGGACGGCGAGCTCTGGGCCGCCGGCGAGTTTACCAACCAGAGCACTGAGGAGAAGGGGGGTGTGTACGATATGGTGCAGCGGGGCGACTGGTTCGTCGACGACGAGGAAGGGGAGCAGCGGGTCAACAAAGACGACGAAGACGAAGACGGCGGAAAGAATGCTGAGGAGCAGGGCAGACTGAGCAGTCCTATCCTGTGGAGCGTCTTCGGACTCACACACAACCCGCGTGTTGAGGACTGGCCTGTGATGTGAGTACAAGAATCCGAAAACGAAAAAGAAAAAAAAAAAAAAGAAACCGTGTACTAACGCAGGAGGGTAGGCCTGTGGAGGTCCACCATGTCAACATCCGGCCTGCCGACTTCTTCACGTCAAACCCGGCACTCGATGTCCCCAGCTTCAAGAACAAAGCATCCGTCATCGTGCCTTGCTGTGGAGGACGGCAAGATCTCAAGGCGGCGAACGCGAACTCGGAGGCCGAGGAGGGAACGGTTCAGAGGGATGCTGCGGCGCATATGCAGGGGCCTGGGCCTGATCTGGCAGCGGGAGATGTGGGAGCACATGTTAAATGAGAAACGGTGAGGATATTCCGACTAAAAGTGCAGGTACTAGGCTAACACTTAGTCTGCAGAGTCAGCTGATAGTAATATAATCCTCATGGGCGGCATGGCCTCTTCGTTGTGGCATGGTGTTGATGAGAGCTCCGAATATCTTCATCCCCAAACAAGCCACAGGGACTACCTCCCTTAAGATAACACCATCATATGACCACTCAAAGATAAGCCAAACACAGTGACTCACAGACTCCCGGAGAGATTGCAACGAATAGATCAGATCCCTTCCTTCTCGTCCTTCAAGTCACCTCCGCCGTCGCTCTTGGGTCGCCTCCGCCCTTCCCGTGTCTTGGGATAAGTGCCCGTCGGACTGCGAGGTGCGTCTCGAGACGGATTCCGTGACCTGGGCCTCCGGATATGACGCCGACCCCGTTCTCATCGTCGGGGCGTGGAGTAACTTTGGGCAGTGCGGGAGCTGCCCCGGCCGGGCTGGGCTCGGAGTGCGGCATGGGCTACAGTCGGGTCGAGAGCTGGGTGGCATCACGAAAGATTCTGGTCCAGACATTGGGTCATATTCTCGTGATATGCGGATTTCCTTTGCAGGCCACGGCCCACGAGCCAGGAAGCCTTCGAAAAGCATGGATTGAGGATGGAGGACCCATCTGATTAAGGACCAAGGTAGTCAAAGCCAAGCGAGCACACGAGCACCAAGCCTTTCTGGCGCCTTTCACTTGCAGCTTCGAAGAGAATTACGTACGAAGTTAGTAGCTGGTCAGACTACAGGGGTGGGACTTCTTCTCTGGCTATGCCCAGGGCTGAGACTTCCCTTTTCTCGGTATATTCAAGGTCTCTCTACCAGCGGGCAGTTGTACTTCGGCAGAATCGAACAAGTCCTTTCCTGGTGTTTTATTAAGGGCTTTACTAAGGTAGGGAGACAGTTACCAGGTAAGGTACGGACCGTACGGTAGCTAGGTGGGTACCTTAGGGCGTCCTTCCGCAAGATGCAAGGTCGACCTCATAGTCGGCGTGTACGTTATAGTACCGTCAGTACGCATGGCTGCGCATGACACTGATATGTAGCACCTTGAAGGGCTGACGAGGAATAAACCCCGATTCGTGGGGTGTGGCAGGCAACAGGCGGTAGTCGCTTCCTTACCTGGTATACCGTACCTTATTCATTGTGCGTCATGTACAACTTTCTTTCCCTCGATGATATGGCGGGCCCCTGAGGGTGCCTTTATTGATTATTCCATAGCAGTTCAACCGTCGATCGCTCTTTCCACTTCTACCTTATGGTGCTTTTCTCCGTGAATACAAGACGCCGTGTTCCCCGTACTGCTAAGGTATAATATGACGGGGATTTTTGTTTCTCTTATCCATCTTTTGTCTTATCCATATCTTATATCTTGGATGTTTCTTGTCTTTCGCGATGTTGTCCACCATGACAAGCATCACAAGAACGACTACAATAACAATCACAGTAACAACACCAACAGCAACACAGTCAACAACTACAGTAGGAGCCGAAACAACAACAATAACAGAAGCCGGAATATTTACAACAGCAACACCACCAATAACACTAGCAACACCGATAACACAAACAGCGCCAACAGGACCAACACGACCTACAGCAGTGACAGGACCAACGGCACCAACAGCACCAACATCACCAGCAGCACCAGCAGCACCAGCAGCACCAGCAGCACCAGCAGCACCAGCAGCACCAGCAGCACCAGCAGCACCATGAGCATCACAGATTGGATCACGGCAATTTCCTTATGTGTCGTGGCACTGGTTACGGTAAACATTGACAGTCATATATGCAAGACTCGCTCACGTTCTCCGCGCGCGGGGGAGCAGCCTGTGGACTCTGAAGTTGTCCAACAACTTAAACGGAAGCTCCAAGATGTTGAACGGGAGGTCCAAGATCTTCAACAGAGGCTCAAAGATATTGAACGGAGAATCGAGCGGCTTGAGCGTTTGGCGATGTTTCCCGACGAGAGTCTCTCCGAGACAGAATTCCTCTGATCAATAAACTCCGCAACACCTGCAGGCTACCACACCAATGTCACCCTCCCGTACACACACGAAAGCCTGTTCCGAGGTACGTCTCGAGCCTTGTTTGCCAGAGATCTGTAGACTGTTTTGAACCGCTCTTGTCTCGTCGGCATTACTGACTTTCTGCTACGGAGTAGTCAGTACTCAGTAGACCATCACGATTCACTCCTTGGGCCTTGGCCGCCAGTTTCACCCAGCTCCGCAGGATCGCGTCACAGGTCTTGAGTACATCATGTCTTGTTGTCGGGGTGCGGGTTCATCTTGAGACCTCGGAAACAATTACGTGCCGAGTGGAGGACGAGTTGGCCCTTGGGAGCGATGGCGGGTAGAGCGCCGAGCGCAGTATAGTATCGTTATGTCGTTTCTAGAGCGGGCAGTCCCTGTGTATACCAGTAATGGACAAATGGTAATTAATGAGCCTGAGAATGCGATCGCTGTGACGCGTGCTGGATGTAGCAGAACCCCTCGAATTCGGACCCTACTTGAAACAAAGATCTCTCGCTTCAGGTTGTTCCCCAGTTTCGATCCCCCCAAGACCATCACAAAATTCTGTATCCCAGATTGTGGTACGTTCTACGTTCTTCCTGAACAAGCGAACCATCAGTGGTCGATTTTAAGAGAAAAGTCGACATGAGGGACGCCTTGATGGATAGAACTGGTGGAAAGGATGTCGATGTCTGATCCCGGTCAGCAGGAGGACATGGCGTCGACGGACAAGCGGAAAGCATGACAAATCGAAAATGTAAAACATACCTCGACCAACATAGGAAGCCGCATTCTCGATATTCAACCCCCCCGAGACCTCGAGCAGGAAATGCCTCTTCCCCGCCCACCGCTCCTTCAAACGCCTAGCGGCCACCTGCACCCCCTCGGGCGTAAAGTTATCCAGCATGACGACATCCGCGCCCGCCGCAATGGCCTCGTCGGCCTCCTCCTCGCTCTGCACCTCGACCTCGATCTTGAGCGCGAACCCCGCGGCGCGGCGCGCAGAACGCACCGCCTCGGTGATGCTCCCGCGGCTCCAGACGTGGTTGTCCTTCAGCATGACCATGGCGCTGAGGTCCACGCGGTGCGAGTCGGCGCCGCCGACCAGCATGGCGTACTTCTCCACGAGGCGGAACCCGGGCGTCGTCTTGCGCGTGCCGGCCACGATGCCGTCGTACCCGGCGGCGCGGAGGGCGGAGACGAGCCGCCGCGTCGAGGTCGCGATGCCGGCGCACCGGGAGAGGGTGTTGAGGGCGACGCGCTCGCCGAGGAGGAGGTTGCGCGTCGGGCCCTCGACGGTGGCGACGCGGATCTTGTTGGTCGGGTCGGAGGAAGGGTCGAGCGGGGTGCCTTCGTCGATGTGCCAGGTTACCGTGCAGCTGCATTGGCGGAAGACTTCGTCGAAAAAGGGCCGGCCGGCGAGGATGCCGGGACTCTTGGCGTAGAGGGTCGCGGTGCGCGGGGCGGCGCCGACGACGTAGCCTCCGTAGTCGAACGAGGGGGTGTCTTCGGCTAGCCAGGAGGTGACCTGGGTTGTCCAGCTCGGGGGGAGGAGGTGGCCGAAGGATTCCTGGGGAGTTGATTCGGACATTGTGTGCTGATCTATTGGGTACTCGTGATATCGAATCAATGGTGTTTGGAAAGGGAGGGGGGAAGGAGGTCGTTTGATGGCTTGAAGTTGAAGAGTGGGAGGTTTCGGCATCGATGGCTGCCCCCACCATCCACCCGAACCCGGGGGGAGCCGAGATCGGCTTAAGGTTCCTCTGATGGCGGGGCCTTGACAGCGCTGGTGGGGTAATTTTGACAGCTGGCAAAGCAAGAGTTGGAGATGATGCCAGCCGTTTGCCGCAGATACTTATGAGGTACTTTTATTGAGTCCCACTGCCTCCACCTTTATGCCAGAAGAAAAGGAATACCTTGTACCTAGTTAGTAGTCGTCCCACGCCACGAGTCACGTCTCCAGCATCGTCTCATCGAGGCGCGTCTCAAATATCTTCGTTCTCAACTTCTCGCTTCCACCACGAATACAATCCCACACCACACTCGTCAAGACTCCCCAAAATGCCCCCGGCTACCCGGGCTTCCCGGAAGAAGGCCTCCGAAACAGAGAAAGACAAACCAGGCCAACCATATCCCCAGACCACATCGGTCAGAAAGGCAGCCAAAACCAATGGCTCGAAGAAGTCGGCTGCTGCCGATAAACCCAGCCAGAAGAAAGACGACAGCCCTCCCGCCAAACGAGACGTTTCTGCGGAGGATGGCCCTGGTGAGACTTCATACTGGCTAATGAAGTCAGAACCAGAATCGCGGTTCGAGAACGGGCAAGACATCAAGTTCTCCATTGATGATTTGGCTGCCAGGACTGCCCCTGAGGGCTGGGATGGTAAGCGCATTCTTTTTCTTTCTCATTTCTGTCCTTTGCCCTAGCATTTCCCATTCTCCATTTTCTCTACATTCGTATATACTGACAAAGCAAGCTAGGCATCCGTAATTATGCCGCTAGAAACAATCTTCGTGCCATGAAGAAGGGAGACAAGGCCTTCTTTTACCACTCCAACTGCAAACCCCCCGGCATCGTCGGAATCATGTCCATTATCCAGGAACACTCGCCGGACTGTACGTCCCCTTCACCCAAGACCCCCTGATGCGAACGAACCCCTGCGGGCTGCGGGCTAACCCATGCAAATGTCAGGGGACGCCTTGAACCAAAAGTCGGCTTACTACGACGGGACGGCCCCGGAGGACGGCAGCAAGTGGAGCCTCGTGCACGTCAAGATCGAGCACAAATTCCCCCAGATGCTGCCGCTCCACTTGCTGCGTGACCTCCAAAAGGGCCCGCTGCAGGACATGCAGCTGCTCCGCCAATCCCGGCTCAGCGTCAGCAAGGTCACCGAAGCCGAGTGGGAGGCCATTGTAGAGACGGCCAGGAACATGGTGGATGAGAAGGACTGGGTTCGGAGTATTGAGGAGACGAAGAAGTCTCCCAATTATAACGTCTAAACAAGCAGAAAACACGGTGAACCGAATTCCGACCTAGTCCCAATCAGAGGTGGCAGCTTCGACAGGTCTTATACTCGACGACCAAGCCAGCCCCGAATCAGGTTCCCCTAGCCCAGCGCACCAGTCTCGCGGGGCGGTATCGCAGGTGCGGTCTGGTCGTGGCAGGGCGCATAAGGATCCGGACACTGCCAAACGTAACGCATGTTTTGATATCTCTGTATCACTAGATCGGTCATCCCGGTGATGACGAGGGTATTTCCGATGACGGTCTGCTGGCCGTGCTGCTCGGTCCATCCGTACGTCGGGCGCCCGTCTAGCTCCCGGGCGTGCTCCTCCGCGATGACCCCGACGCACGCGTCCGATATGCCGACCACCACGACGAAGTTTTGGTCGGGGAAGACCTGCTGCTGAGTGTTTGGGTCGAGCCAAGGTAGACAATAACCGGCTTGCTCCCACCAGCAGGGTATGAGCCTTATATAGCCCCCTTGATATTCGGGTCTAGGAGCAGGTGGGGGGCAGGCGAGCGTCATGCCGATGAGGGATGCAGCGAGAGCGAACTTCATGGTGAAATTTGGTTGAAGTTGAGATGATAGACGGCGGTTTCGTATGGGGGAGTCGGAGGACGAAAGGCTTCTTGAAGGTTCTGGTTGGTCAGGGCAAGAGGAGGTTGAGGAAGTCTGGAACTTGCAGATCAGAACCTGACCCGGGAACGATGTCGATACATATAGTTGAGTCGTTGACTCTTTGGCCCAGCCGCCTGCCGCCTGCCGGTCTGTACGCTGGACCTTGGCCTTGCGATTTCCTTATCACACCTATAGCAAGCACGCAAGACCGCCATCTCGTGATCTCTCAAGCAACGAAATAGGAGACGGCCTCCCTAACTCCGAATAGCGGGGTAGACCGTAGCATCGATGAACTGGGTCTGTCTTTCTGTCTTCCCTTGGCTTCCCCTCATTTTTTACTAAGGATAAAAGCTGGAGGGTGTTGAACTCACCGGTGTCCCCGGGGGCTCTACATATGGCACATACCGCCGTCCCGTAAGCTCGGGCAAACGACCGACCCCACGTAGGCGTTTGACGCCCGCGGCTCTAAGCCTCTCGCTGGGCGTCCTTTACTCTTCTTAGAGATATCCCGACATCAAATAATGCCACTGCTACTGCTACAATATTGAAGTCATGGACGTAGAAGGTAGTGTTCATGTGGAATTGATTAATCTTCTAAGCGGGAGATTCTCAAAGCAAAACACTGCTCTCCCTCGACTTCCCCAGAGGAGGTGGCGTGGTCGTCCCAGCCACTACTCAATAAACAATATTCCCTATAACAAGGCCAACGATAGCAGAGGTCAGACCCGGCAGGGGCACACCGTTAGCCCTGTTACCAGGGCAGGTTACAGGTACACCAATGCCTGATAGAACGGCATGTTCGCTTCGGTGATCACGAGGGTGTTCCCAACAACATGAAGATTTCCGTGCTGCTGGGTCCAGCCGTAAGTTAGGCGCCCATCTTGCTCGCGGGCGTGCTCCTCCGCGATAGTGGCGATGCAAGTCTCCGACAAGGGGACCACGACGACAACGTTCTCGTCGGGGAGGAGTAGTTGCTGGGTACCCGCGCGGATGTAAGGTCTACACATTGTATCTTGGCCATGCCAGCAGGCCACCGGCGGGCGGAAGTTCCCATAGTAGTCTGGGTTGTACATAGGCGAACAGGCGAAGGCCGTGCTGGCGAGAGATGCGAAGAGAGCGAGCCGCATTTTGATTTGGGGGAGGGGGGGTTGGTTTTGGGTTTGTTCTTTTTTTTTTTTTTTTTTCCTCTTTGAAGGGTATATCGGCAGCTCTTGTGAGGAGGCTGAGGATAAGGTTGCTTGAAGATCAAATGCTAGTTGAACTGGGTAGGAGGATGTTGGGATCCGGGCATTATGACCTGAGCGGCAGCGATGTCGATACTTATATGCCTTATTGGATCCAGCCGTCTATGCCCAGAGTCTTATCATTGATCCCACATCAGGCATACAAACCGCAAAGACATGCCGCGATCTCTCGAGCCAACGAAATGGGAAACGGGCGTTCCAAGTTCCGAATCGGGAGAGGGGTAGTAAGCACATGCAATGTCCGAAGAAGTGCATGATTTCCCCTCATTTTTACTCATTAACACAAAAGCTGGAGGAGCAGTGTTCATGTAGAATTCGGCTAATGTCCTGCAGGCAGACATGCTCGAAACTAAAGTCTGCTGGCTCTGCCTAAAGCCTTTGGCGTGCTCAGAAGAGGTGGACTGGACGTCGGCGACGCGACAGACAATATACCCTACGAGTAAGCGAACCCAAGGCTGATCAGGGTCCTGCCAGCCAACCGCCAGTCTGGCAGGGAATATGAGACCTTAAGGACTCTTGACTCTCACACCTTATCATTGCAGGGCGGCTCATAAGGCCATCCATAGCATGGCTTGTACATCAACCGCTGATACATCTCTACCTCCGCGTTAGTGATAACGAGGGTGTTGCCGACGAGAGTGAGGTTCCCGTGTTCTTCAAGCCAGCCGTACGTCAGGCGTCCATCTTCTTCGCGCGCTTTCTCCTCGATAATCATGTTGATACACCATTCGTGTAGGTTAGTTGCCACGATCACCCTCTCTTCGGGGAGGATCAGGTATCCCACGTCCTCGTTGAGTCGAGTTTCGCAGAGTATGTCCGTCATGAGCCAACAAGCTGCCATTGGGCGCATGCCCCCGTAGTAGTCCTCGTCAAAGATGGGCCGACAGGCGAATGCCGTGCTGATAAAAGCGGCGAAGAGAGCGAACTGCTTCATGATCCTTGAGTGTATCGTTTGGTGATCTGTCGATTTTGTGTTCTGTTTTTCTTTTGATCCTTTGATTGATTGGCGTGCTTTTGGACAGGACGAAAATCGGTATGTCGCAGGTCGCTCTCTTATAGAGGACGTTGGAGATGGCGTTCCTTCGAGGTCTTCGAGATGTAGGCTAGTTCGTGTCGTGTAAGTGGCCGCTGGCGGATGATCATGACCTGAGTGCCATCGACATTTATAGTAATACCAGCTGTGCCGGCGGTCTGAACTTTACATTGCCGTGACTCCATACCATCCATACCAATGAGACCCTGCGAGGCCGATGCCCAAAGGCCATGCGGCCCATGCCGGCCTCACGGTCTCTCGATCGCCAAAATAAGCAACGGGACTTCCAAGTTCCGTTGCTTCCGTACTACTAGCATGATTGTGAAGAGGAATGCCTGACTTGATTTCCCCTCATTCTTTGTCTTCCTGTCTTCCAAGTTCCATGCGTTTTAAATGTTAACACATTACAAAACCATCGAATGAAGAACCGCAGCGAGGCTACGATTCTAGAAGCACAGTGTTGGAACAGGTTGAACAGACACTTCATACACGAAACCAAAGGTCCTTACTCGATTAGGCTAAAATACCATAAGTGCCGTTATTCCGACCTTTGTCTAGCTCTGCTTGGCAGCGGTGATGCCCCTAGGTGTCTCCGGGGAGGAGGCTGCCAATAGATAGGTATCATAGGTCAGGTATATAGAAGGATCATGCAGGAAGTATACGTCTTAATATGCAAAGAAGATGTCTTGTTCAAAGTCTTGGCCAGAGGTGATAGGACTTCAAATCTGATTTGATGCCGCCCCGCGGGCCGCAGCAAGGATATGAATTGTTCCCGACCTAGCTAGGCAAAGTAAGCGAGTCCGGGGTAGCATCTACGAACCAGAACTCCTCTGGAAGACCACGGCGCAGTGCATTGCTTAGAATATTGAGATTACGGACAGCTTACTATATCCTGCTTCGGGTTGAAGATGCATGTATTATACATGGGGAATATCATCCAGAACTCATCGAGTCACGCGTCAATACCACCACGGATGTCGGGTGTCAAAGCCGCACAGCCACAGGGTCTCCAAGACATCAAGGCCTTAGATGAAGCTTCGTACCAAAGGCTAGTGCTCCTGAGTCTGGGTAGATCTTCTTCCCATTGCAGTCCGTTGCATATGGACAGTCGGCATGTCTAGTGAATAACTGAATATGTTGTCTTTACAGCACACCATATCGTCTCTTATATTACAAGTTTACAACACACTTAGATACATAACTGGCTGGATGCTCGATGCTACTGGGTCTGCGTACCTTATCCACCCAAGAGCGTGGACTTGTTTTGATATCTAACCCCAGCGCGCCAGCAGTTCTTGACAGCGGCCGTGGTAGATCATTGGATGATCTCACGTGCCTAAATTTCGGGGAAAGGTGTGTTCATATCGCCGGGATTTCTGTATCTGAGGCCAGCTATCCATATTCTCAACGAATGGCAGCCATTCCATGAAGCGACTCGCGTCCTCTGGGGCAACCCAAGCAAGGATATGCCCCCGTATCTCGCAGAGCTAAGAAACCACTCCTACTTCCCGTCCGCTCTCCAAGTACGGCCATGTGCCTGTCGATCGTAGCGTGGTCTAAAAAGAGCCGAACCGAACTTTGGCAAGCAATCCCGCCCCGATCGACTTCTCAACTTCCATGTTGGACAACAACGGTCCAAGTAAAAACATAGACTGGTTCTCTGATAGGGCTGAAAATTTACAACACGTCTCCAGATGACATGGAGATGCATGAGTGTGACCAAACATAAAGCTACCAACGACGACGGTTCTCCTTGTCGGATGTGGTAACTGGAAATCATATTCCCAGCCGTTTCACTAATTCTCTAATATTTAATAGACATGAAGATAAAAGATGGGGTTTCACTTATGGGACGGGTATGTCAGGGTTACAGAGAATAATGGCAAAGATACGGGACACGGCTTATATTGACTAAGGCTAAGTGTGAAGAATAAGGATCTTCTCCATGGCCTCAACCAACCTTACGTTGACTGCTTCGTGCCAGGCCCTTCGTATCTTTGTGTCTATATTGCAGAGCCGCCTTTAAGAGCAGTGACCTGCTCTGCGCTGCTTTCTAGAGAGGGGCCGGTGGCGTCGTGCGCAATTCTTGAGGTTCTTCTGCAGCTGAGGCATGTCGGTCTGTTAGAGAGTGTCCCTACTGTTTCTGATTGCAGATTTGATGCTGGTGTAAGTTTCTGCTGTTCAAGGTGTTTTCTCAGTGTCGGTTTGTGTGAGACGAAAGAATGATAGCAGGAGAAGCGTCATACGCATTATAGTGAGGAGTGACAAGAGCAGCAGGGCTGCCTTTCTATGCCGAAGGGGCACGGTGGAGTAGTAGGAGAGTAAGATAGGGGTACAGGATAGATTGTTTGTTGGGTCCAGGACTTAATTCTGAGGCTCCAAAGCGGAGGAGGGCTCTTTGCTTTTACCTCTCTTGCATTTATTCGGGGAAAAACCAGATAAGAGTCTGGTACTCACTACCAACTACTCGGTCGCAATACGGCCCGAAGACACGAAACTAACTAAGCTCGTATCCTGGTGGGCCGATCCGTATCTAAATAGACAAAAAGGCATGGTAGCTTCGTAATCAAGAGCTAAACTCACAACCTTAAGGAGCCTGGAGGTGGTTCTGTATGAGAGTACATAGTCAAGTCCACTCAAGCAATGAACATTTAGAAGAAGACCTGGGATGTTGGTTTGACGTTTGTTGATATATATACGCTCGGCAGAAACAAGTTATCCCAAGATATTTGCCTTGAGACAAATTGAAACTAAGTGATATAATTCCTATGACTATGATACTCTAATATTGCTCTCAGGTTGAAGTTGAATAGACAGTCGGATGTTTGTTTCTCCCTTGGACTCTTGGAGGTTCCAGGACGACTCAAGTTTCTGCTTGCATTAGTCCTGTCACCGACTCGCCATGCCTGTGTACTAGTTACTACGTTCAATCTCACAAACTAGCAGCTTCCCCACTTCGAACCGATGTTAATTTGGGATGGTTAACCTTGTGTTGATATGTCTTGTTCAATTCAGAATGCACCGGCTTCGAACATCAACTGGTTTGCGGCCAAAAAGCGCTATCGCAGGTTCGGTGGTGTAGTTGGTTATCACGTCAGTCTAACATTGGTCAGGTCCCACTGACCAAGGTACACTGAAGGTCGGGAGTTCGAGCCTCCCCTGAATCAAGCTTGCGAGGGCCGGTCGTACTATAGGTGCGGTTTTTTTCTTCCTTTTTTCCCCCTTTTCTTGGATATACATGTAATTATACTCTACAGGTTCTATTTCCAATGTCATAGTAAGACATGTTCTCTTTGAAGCGTAGGATAACTCTCCTTGGCAGTACTTGATACCCACCGCTTTAGGATTCTACCTTGTACTCCGTAGGCCCGTTGGGATTAAGGTTCAAATACGAAGTACGGATACTACTGTGCCATTGACTCGGCAGTTTCGAGTCTATTGCGGAGAAACAGGGAATTGCGGGGAGAACCATGCAAAGGAAGCAAAAGAACACGCCTGGACTACACAGGACACGGGAGGCTTTATTGGCTGCATAACGCGTGATCTTCTGTCTACCTAGGTAGGTACTAAGGTACCTTGTGTATGTACCATACAACCCCTGAAAAAACGTACAAAGTGGTACATTCCTTTTCGGGTGCCCGGAGAAGGCCGCCTGCGCCCCCACCTTTGGGATGAAGCAAGAAACTACGGGTAGAGAAATCACTAGCGCTATGACCAAGACATATCGGAGCTATTTCTTTGTCCCTTTTGTAGTTTTATTGAGTTGTCAGTCGGCTGATATCCTTGCCCTTGAGATATCAGGCGCTTACCCCCGTAATACCTTACACACCGAAATAAGGCGGACGCGCACACGGCACGGCAGATTCCACCCACGAAGTCATGAACTCCTTGAGGAGTTGCGGTTGTGACAGTCAGTCGATTTTACTGGGATTTTCCCGCGGGGTAATGCACCATAACTCCCAAGCTAGGATTAATAAGGAAGGTCTCAAACAGTTTCTCGATGGAAATGGTGGGGAATTACAAGTGGTCGGGGGTCGCGGAATGGTGCCGCAGGAGTCCGCAGCGGCTCAAGCCAGGGCCAAAAAATAGCCCTCGTCGCAAAGCCTCTTCATTTGGCTTAGCGCCAAAGTATCTAACCGTGTTCTCGGACATAAACATGCAACGCTCCTGGTATCGGTGTTTGACGTTGGATTCACGGAGCCCAACAGCTCTTAATGGGCACGAAACCTGATCCACTGGTTCTACTTTACCTAGTCAGTGCATAAGCTTGTCGGGACTCACATGGAGTACAAAACAACTCCAGCCCTGCCGCCTCACTCACACCGCTACAACATAGGTATGGTGTATCTTGTATGTAGGTAATCAATGATATCCAATGCCGAGCAGGCCCCGAAATCGGCGCAGCCACAGACATATCAAGATAACGCCATTGACATCGGCTGTGCGGTACGGCAGTGGGAGTATGTAATGATAATGAGTGCTTACCTACGCCAGTATGTACTTTGTACTTCTTATGATACCTTAATCCGGAAGACGTCATTAATATAATAAGCAACTAAGCTTTGTCTCCTCGGTATCTGTACCTTAAACTGCTTCGGGATACGTTCTTGGAATACGTACCTAAGTCTAATGGCACTAAAAGTCAGCCACCCGCTGGGCTAGCTGCATATTCTGTGCGCCCTAGCCCCGGGCGATCCATACTCTATCCATTCTCAACCTGCAAGCTCCTCGCCGCTAGGTGGGACGGACATGGATGAACGCTAGAACCTGAACGACGTACGACCTCCCGCTTTTCCTTCCACCCTTAGATCGACCCTTTCGAAGACTGATCTTGGTCAGATGTTGTTTGATGGGGTGGGTTAAAACTGAAGGCGAAAACATGTGGAGTTGGACTGGGCCAAAAAAGCGGCGTGCCTGGCAGCGTGGACGTGGGGCGTCGGTGCCATAAAAAGGGTGAGACACGTTCTCGTGTGTGAGGCTCGGTTCTGGTTCCCTGCGCCTTCCTTCGTTTTGACTTTTTGAGGGTTTCTAGGTGGCGGTTTGGCGTCCCATTGAGAACAGACGACGAAGGACAGCACGCGAGCTTAGACTTCCCTCAATCGGGATCCGAACACCGTCCTCGCCTTACAGTTACGGCCCGCCGCCTGCCTATCTTCGGTTCCCCTCATCAACTGGAAAACCACCACGACATCTTACGGGACAGACAGCGGACAGCAGTGGACAGCAGCGGACAGCACGGACAGCGGACATCATGCAAGTCGAGGCCAAACATCCGTCGGAGACTCCCCAGAACAAGGGAGAGTTGTCCTCCGACACACGCTCGTCGGAGCAGGACCTCGAGCAGCGCCAATATGACGCAGACGTCCAGTGCCCGCCGTCCACGACGGACAGGAGGCTCATGACCAAGATCGACTTTCACGTCGTGCCTTTTCTATGCATCATGTATCTTCTCGCTTTCCTAGGTACGTACGCAGCGCCAAGCAGTGACTGACCTCTCATTCGCATTACCATCATCATCTTCCACAATCGACCGTCAGACTAACTTCACCCCTCTTCCCTAGACCGGGTCAACATCGCCAACGCCAACGTCTTCGGCCTATCGGAAGAGCTCGAGCTCACAGGCACCCTCTACAACAACGCCCTGGTCGTCTTCTTCGTGCCGTACATCCTGCTGGAGATCCCGTCCAACATCCTCCTCAAGAAGTTCAAGCCCCACGTCTGGCTGAGCGTCAACATGTTCGGCTTCGGCCTCATCACCCTCATCCAGGGCTTCGTCACCAGCTACGGGGGGCTCGTCACCACGCGCTTCTTCCTCGGCGTCTTCGAGACCGGCATGTTCCCGGGCGCCTTCTACCTCATCGGCATGTGGTACCGGCGCCACGAGGCCCAGAAGCGCTTCTCCTTCTTTTTTAACAGCACCACCCTGGCCGGCGCCTTCGGCGGGCTCCTCGCCGCCGCCATCGGCAAGATGCACGGCGTCCGCGGCTACCAGGGCTGGCGCTGGATTTTCATTCTCGAGGGCCTCCTGACCGTTGTCGTTAGCTTCTTCTTCTACTTTTGGCTGCCCGACTTCCCCGAGGACGCCAAGTGGCTCTCCCCCGAGGAGAAGACCTATGTCGCGGCCCGGCTGCGCCTCGACCAGGGCTCCTCGGGCCACGCGCGCAAGACCACCCTCCGCGACGTCGGCACCGTGTTCAAGGACTACAAGGTCATCGTCGGCGGGTTCATGTATTTCGGGCTCATCGTCCCGGCCTACGGCTACGCCTACTTCGCCCCCGGCATCATCCAGGGGTATGGCGGCTACTCGGCCATCGAGACCCAGCTACACAGCGTCCCGCCCTGGGCCGTGGCTTTCGTTTTCAGCATGGCCGTCGCCGTCGTCTCGGACCGTCTGCGCCACCGCTTCGCCCTGGCCGTCTTCGCCATCTGCGTGGCCATCGCCGGCTTTGGCATCCTCATCTCCGTCACCGAGAGCATCGCCCCGCGCTTCGCCGGCCTGTACCTGGTCGCGTCCGGCGCCTACACCGCCATGCCCATCATCGTGTGCTGGTTTAACATGAACTTGGGCGGCCATTACCGCCGCGCCGTCGGGAGTGCGTGGCAGGTCAGCTTCGGCAACATTGGCGGGATCATCGCCGTCTTCGCGTTCCTCAAGACGGATGCGCCTCGCTTTATCACGGGGTACAGCATCTGCATCTCGTTCACGGTGTTGAGCATGATTTCTTGCTGCGTCTACGGCGTGGGGTGCTGGGTTGCGAACAGGAACCGGGATAAGAACCCGATCGATCGCGAGTTGACGGAGGAGGAGAAGATGGATTTGGGAGACATGTCGCCAGAGTACCGGTATTTGCTATAAAGGTGGCCGTTAGATGATGCGTTCCACGAAGATCTCATAGAATCTAGCGGAGCAAGGATACGATACGTTTCCGTGACCGTTTAGCAGCTTTGTTGTAGGAAGTAATTACCTACCTACAGGCTTACGAAGTGAACAGAATTGTGGGTCGCTAGAGATAGAGGCCGAAGGGGAAAGTACCTGGAAGTATTATCACGTGACTTAGTGCCGACCTCGTCCCGTGAGTCGCATCCAGCCTGGTCCGTGCTCCGTGCAAAATCACAATCTTCACTCCTCATAGCCAGACGACGGGAAGGGACGGACGGACCTCGACGACCATGGGTAGTTCTCTACCCTCCTCCAGGCCTCACATATTATTCTACTTCATTCCTGGTAACCCCGGATACATCGACTACTACACCGAATTCCTCGACAGCGTCAAGCAGCACGTGACACCATGGAGCGACGGTCACATCCACGTCCACGGCCGCGACCTGGCCGGTTTCCGCGATGAGGATCACGCTCCCTTCACAGCCGAGAACCCGCCGTACGACGTCGAGGGTCAAATCAGTGCCGTGACAGGATATATTTCATCTCTCTGTCGGACACCTGGGGATGCCATTTCCGAGCTTGCCGAGCCTACCGAGGCTTCCAATGGACCTTCGACGAAGGCGGCAGCACCGCCGTACGACCTGATCATCCTCGCAGGGCACTCCGTCGGGGCCTACATCGCCCTCGAAGTCTTCCACCGTAACCACCACCGCCCCCGCCCCCGCCACCGCCATCACGTCGAAAAAGACCACGACGAAAAAGACCACCGCAACCCGACACCAACTTCGCGGCCTTTCCTCCCCCGACTCCCGCTGCAGGCCGGCATCCTCCTCTTCCCCACCGTCACCCACATCGCGCGTTCTCGAGCCGGCCGACGCCTCGCCCGCCTCGCCGCATGTCCCCCCTTCGTCTTCTCCCTCGTCCTCTTCCTGGCGCGCGCCGCGCTCTTCTTCCTCCCCGCCTGGTTCCTGCGGCTCTTCTGCGCGCGGGTCATGGGGTTTTCGCCCCGCGCCGCCGGCGTCACCGTCGATGACTTTCTTAAGAGCCGCGGCGGGGTGCGGCAGTCTCTTCACCTCGCCCGGGACGAGATGCGCGTGATTGCGGAGGAGAAGTGGGATGAGGCGTTGTGGGAGGTGATGGTGCCGCCGGCGGCGGTCGAGTCGTCTCCCTCATCATCTCCCTCATCATCTCCCTCATCATCTCCCTCATCATCTCCCTCATCATCTCCCTCATCATCTCCCTCTCCCACTTCTTCGTCTGCCACTGGCGCTCGTCGTACTAGTCCCAAGTTCTTCTTCCTCTTTGGAACGAATGACCACTGGGTCGCTGACGACAGCCGCGATCGGTTCATCCGGGCTAGAGAGAAGCATGTCCAGAATGGGCGGGCGAGGGTCGAGATCGACCGGACGGGTCTACCGCATGCTTTTTGCACCACGCTGGAGAACTCCGAGGTCGTCGCAGCGCGGACGGCTGAGTGGCTGAGGGAGATTTGGGATGCCCTTGTTCCTGGCAGCTGAGAACGAAGAGGCCGACGGGGTAAGGTCCATTGGTCCCTCCGGCCCGTCGCCGAGATTACACAAGACAGGGTACAAAGAGAGTCACTGGTCAGCAATGGCTCAACATAACGTCGGCTGCCATTTGATTGCCAATTTGTTCGAGGTGGGTGGAACAAAATATAGACGGACCAGGCGCTTGCTCCATACTTTCCCTCCTCCAAACACACAGTCACATCCTTCATCTCTTTCGTCGGCCATTTCGCAATCGTCCCATCGCCACTCGTCTATATTCCATCCAGGATTCCTCGGCTCTTCGACTCCAAGGCATGTTCATAATACTCGTGCTTGGTCCTTGCCTTGTCTTCTAGGCGATGCAGTCGCCACCGTAGATCCTCGGGTGAACCGGGCTGCGTCTTATTCGCGAGAAGTTCGGCCATTCGGGTTATTATTTCGACCGGTCTGTCGAAGGACAAGATCAAGACTGTGGTGACGAAAGCAGTGGCGCTGATGAGGCTGCTCTACGTGTTATCACCACCCACCACCGTCGATTTTCTGTGAGATTCTCCAAGAAACCAAGTTGGTAATGGCTTACCGAAGATTTGGTCTCCCTCCGCGGTTATAATGCCACCCTCCGAACCCCGCTTGGGTTGCCGCCGCGCGGCATAACAGAGGGCGCTCACCGAAGAGTAAATGCTGTGAATTCGGGCAGAGCGGACGTCGCAGACGGTTCATTATAAATTCAGGGACTTTGATGCTTGAATTGACACTTGAACGTTTGAGATTCTGAGCAATCCTGACGGCGGGTGATAAATACACCGGAAGACGGAAGATGCCGAGAATTTGTGTCTGGTCGATTCGATGGTCGGATCGAAGGAAGAGGACGGACGTGCTTACATTACGGATCTGCCCTATATATAACGTGCGATCTTCCCAGGTCCAGGTCCGGACAATCCGGTGACCTCTGGGCCACCACGTCGCACAACCACCGCGACTTCATCACCACTTCATCAGCTCACCACCCGCGATGCATTAGCTGCATCCTATTCACTATGCCACGCGGGGTTCGTCAACCTACTGGCACTGGTTCCATAACTAGGTTCAACGCTTATGGTTTAGACCGTTCAATTGGGATGCCAAGGTGGACAGCCAGGAGCACTAACACTGACGCCAACGCTCCCATTCGTTGTACTCGCGAGATTCATTCGCTATCATTACCCAGCCGATCAGACAAAAAGCACTTCATCTCATCATCAACCTCGTCCCTACCTTCGACAGCCATCCAATTGAAACGAACGCCACCCATCGCCCGAACCATGTCAACTACCGCTGCAGAGTCCCTAGCCCTCGACTTGCGAGCCTCCCTTACGCCTAATTCTAATTTACTGGCCGACATTCGCAGCTTTTGGTTCTCCCATCTCCCTGACGATGAGTCGATCATCCTACCCAAGATGGACCAGTGGAGGCACTGGTTTCAAAGCAGTCCAGAATTCGACCAACTCTGCGTGTAAGTTCCACAAGACTCACTCTTAGACAGTCTTAAGAGCCTCCGAGCCTCAGTACTCACCCCAGAACCTCCCATCAACCCCCCCCCCCACGTCGAGTCTCGAGTCCTAATTCGTCCCTCCAAAGGAAACAATTCCAGCCCGCACTAGAGGCCATCAAAACCACCAACCCGACCCCCGAGTCCCTCCTCGAGGCCGCCAACCCGCAAACCCCCGAAGACTGGCTCTGCCTCGTCCTCCTGCTAGACCAGATGCCGCGAAACTGCTACCGCGGCCCCGCCTCCGCCGCCGTCTTCACCTTCTTCGACCCGCTAGCCCTGGCCATCGCCCGCCGCGCCATCTCCCTCGGCATCCCCGAGTCGTCTCCCGGGATGAAGCACCACGTCGCCCGCCGCTCGTGGTTCTACCTCCCGCTGATGCACGCCGAGGACCTCGACGCCCAGGAACATTCCTTGTGCGAGTACCAGCGCATGAGAGAGGACGTCCGCGCCTTCATGGCCATCCCCAGCGCCACCGCTGCGTCTCTTGCCGGGGACGAGCGGAAATGCCACGAGGTTCTGGTTCGGAATAAAGAGGATGCCGATAAGGTGCTCGATATGGAGTATGATTTCGCGGTGAGGCATCATGTCATTGTTGCTCGCTTCGGGCGCTTCCCGCATCGGAATGGGCCTTTGGGTCGTGAGACTACACCCGAGGAACGCGAGTATTTGGAGAAGGGGGGCGAGACCTTTGGCTCGAGCGGGTGAGGTCGAGACGTTAGACCGGGGGTAGACCAGATAGACCTGGTAGACTAGATCTTAGAGATTAAACTCTGCAGTCTATGTCACTGAGATGGATGGTCTTTCACATTTGGTGTTTCTTCCTTTGGGCTTGTGACACTTGGCCGCATCAGCTATACCAGACTTTTACTCTGGCTCTCCATCTTCTCTTTCCGTCTCATATTAGCATGGGTCAAGATGGGCTACTAACATGTGCAACCAACGCCCTTCAGAGAGCCTATTTGTTCTTGTTATTTCCGCGAGCAGGATCCCTACTACAGGATGACTTGCGACTATCCCGGGGTGTCACCAAGCGAATCGGAGTCTGTAAGTAATTACATGTATTCCCCTGTCCCAGCCCTTTCCGACTATTGATTGCATTGGAGGACCATGGCGTTTGACTAATTGCCGCGTGCTTCCCTGCTCCGAAACAGATTACGTTGGCCCAGAGGCTGGATGTTTGGCTTGCATCGGTTGGGGGGCACAGACTGCCAAATCGTTCAAATGCGTGGGATGGTTGCAGATACAGTAGGGACTGGAGAATGTCCTGAAGTTGAAGTTTGAGAAACAAGATATGGGCCGAGAAGAGTGAACCTGAACTCAACGGCAATGTGTTTGTGTTTGCGCAATCTCTTCACTCCGATTGCTATATCGTTCCCTATATCGCCATACTCAGGTCCCCTGAACTGGGTGGCATACGGAATTGACTGGAGTTCTCGAGATTAACTGGAGAGTCCCGGACTATTTTCACCTCAACAGACAGGGGTCACAGAGCATTCAATGTTCGAGGCAAAGATTCAGCAGGGCACACCAGAAGGTATATCATATAAGTGTCAGTAAACCCTGCATCAAACATACTACACTCAACCGAAGAGTCAAGATCCCTTCAGTGTTGTCCCGACGCTGTCGTCAAGTGCTCCGCCAATCTCAACGACAGCGCCGCCAACGTCAAAGACGGGTTAGCCTCCGGACAGACCGGCATGGCCGACAAGTCGCACACCCACAGATTCTCCATCCCCTTGAACTTGAGGTTGGTGTCCACCACCCCGGGGCTCTTGGGACCTTCCATACGCATGGTGCCGCTCTCGTGGGAGAAGACGCCGAACCCAAGGTTCTGGGGCCGGATGACCGAGTCGGGAGACTCCGCGTTGATCGTCGGGTTGATGAAAACCTCCCTCACACGGTGGATGATTTGTTCCATCTCAAGCTGCACCGCGGGCTTGATAGGCGGCCGCCTGACATCGAGGACCGGATCGAGGCCGGGGGTATTGAGCACGGCGTTCCCGTCCTGGAGGGGCCCGACGAACTCGAACAGGATGCAGATGGTGTCGAAGTTCTGCTGCTGGCGGGCCTGCTTCTGCGGGTTGAGCAGTTGGCCGTCACTGCTGTAGTAGTGCGAGGTCTCGATGAGGGCGGAACTGCCCGCGAGGAAGAAGTTGGCGTTGATGGTCACGGTGACGAGGCACTCCTCGCCGCCGACCTTGATGTGGGTTTTCAGGTTCACGGGCTTGGAGGTGACGCCGGCGTCCTTCTCCTTGGCGAAGCGCACGTAGCAGACGTCGTGGTCGATGATGCCCTTGCCCACCAGGGGGTTCAGGAGCTGCAGGCCGCTGTTGAGGGCGATGGAGGCCGTGCCGATGGTGCCGGCCGAGAGGATGACTTTGGCGTTTCCGACGTCCAGGTCTTTGATCGTCTTGGTGTTGGGGTCTCGGATCTTCAGGGACTTGACCTTTTTCTGTCTGCATGGGAGAGGGGGGCGGTCATGTCAGCAGACTGAGGGACATATGGGACTATAAAGGAGAAAACGAAAGCACAGGACTTACTGATTTCCAACGTCCTCGTGATCGACCGCAAGAACCTCCGTGTTCAGGAGAACGGTCAGATACGGGTCATTGGCATACATGCGGTTTATGATGGCCAGAGTCGTACTATAAGCACCCTGAGAGAACTTGTAAGGGGCAGGGGCGTTGAACTGCGCGGCGACGGGCATGAGGTCGAACGCGGCACCGGGCATGGCCGTCTTGAGCTTGGCCTCAACGGCACTGATCTCCGTGGCGCTGACCTCGTACTCGCTGTTGTCACCCTTGGGATAGATGACATCCGTCTGGGAGTTGTCGGTGAGGAAGTTAAAGGCCTTCTTGTAACCCCCCCCGGTCTTCAGGTAGGTGTGGATGTCCTTGTGGAAATACTTCTCGAGGGTGTCCTCGCCGACCTCCGGGGTCCAGATGCCCCAGAGGTTGGAGCGGCCGCCGACGCAGTAGACGGGGCCCCCGATGTAGGCGTCGGAGGTGTCGGTGCACTGCACCTTGGCCTTGACGGCGTCGTAGACGCGCTCGTTGCCCTCGGGCGAGTTGCTGGCGCCGCGGCTGAAGTAAGGGCGCGACGTGTTGAGGACGTGGGTGGAGAAGATGACGCCGCCGCGTTCGATCAGCAGGACTTTTTTTTCCTTTTGGGCCAGGACTTCGGCTAGGGGGCCACCGCCAAAGCCGCTTCCTACGATGATGTAGTCGTAGGAATTGAGCTTCGAGAGCATGCACACGACATCGGTGTCGAGGTGGAGGAGGTGATCCATGATTTAGGGTGGCAGCACTGGAAAGATGATGGGCAGGTTGTGGAAGCAAGTGAGTTGATGGTGTCTGTCTGTATGGTTCAGTTCTTTCTCTGTGCTATCTACAATCTTCAGATGGAGAGGACAGCCCGGCTATTTATGGACGACTGGAAGCTACGATGGGTTTGAACATTGAAACGTTGGAAGCACAGATCACAATTCCCAGTTGAGCTCCAAGAGTTGAGAAAGGCTGGCACCGGCCTACATGATCATCTGGAGACCACTTAGGCCTCAGTACTGGAGTGAGAGTCAAGTGGTGGTGGCATGATGGTCGTTGAACCTGTAATCGTATGCCGCCAGACGCAACAATATCCTCCATGTGTGTCTTCTATGGCCAATGTGAGATGCCTGATGCCTCTTTGGGGAGTTCAGCCGGCCATTTCATCTGCAAGTTAAAGAATGCTTATGCCGTGGCATTGATGTTTCTGAGTTGAGACATGTTGAGGAGACAGGACGGGGAAGCAACCGAGGCCTCTGACTGATCGGCCACCTGAAAGACATTTGCTCAAACAAGTGAGATGTGCTCTCAGGGTGCGTATTCAGCCGGCCATTGCTCTCTAAAGGGTCACTCCCTGTGACGAATTCGGACTCCCTGGTGGAGTCGTGGACAAGCCGAGAACTCGCACAGCTCACCAGTGGTGCGTCATGTCTTGGATTCTTGGTCTTCTCGGAAGCGGGAAAGCTGTGCAACGGCCCGAAAGGTAATCGAGAATGCTGTTCCATAAGCTTAGTGCTGCATACGGCACATTACTGCAAGACCGGCATTGTTAGTCTCTTGGCTTGCGTCTCTTGCCATCAAATCATCAAGGCCCGATCTGCGGTCTCCAGGGGGGGGGGGGCTTACAACGTAAGAGAGTCTGTCTTCTAAGACATTGAGGGCCAAATCATAATCGAATATCACACAGAGCAGACCATTTTACCATTCCAGCTTGGTGCTACGGTCAAGGAGGTGGAGTTGAACGAGGTCATCATTAACCTGTCTAAACATGACTTTTCCGCCGTGAATACATCATCCTATGCAGAGATGTCTCTGCCTACAACATTCCTCTGCGCATCTGCCTCCTGATGGCTTTTCTTTCGCCTTTTCTTTTGCCACTGTCACCATGCATGCGAGCCAAGTCTCTATGCACCCTGCTCCCGCAAACCGCTGTTCCTCCTCCAGAAAAAGACAGAGATCAAGACATTGTAGACCAGCTTCAAGGAGCCAGCCACAATAAATGCAAGCCAGAACTGATCGAGACCAGCAAACAGACCGGTCATGTACAAGCCCAGACAGGAGCCAATGGTCTTCACCAGGTTGACGACGCCCATGGCCGAGGTGCGTTCCTCGTCCGACACACCGGCAGAAATAAAAGCCTGGCGCGGGGCGCTGTCCAACTCCCGCGTGACGATCCGGAAGATGAAGATGGCGAGGGCCACGTACTTGTTGCCCGGAACCGAAACGATGAGCAGCGAGATGGAGTTGATGGTGTGGCAGAGGACCATTGTCTGCACCTGGCCGATGGCGCGAGACAAGGGGGACGACGCGAGGTTCAGCACGGCCGATATGATGCCCGCCGTAAAGGTGGCCGACCCCAGGGCCCCCTCGGGGACGTCGTATTCTCGCTTGAAGAAGTACGTCATCCACGATATCTGGGCCAGGCCCGATCCAATAAAGTCGAAGCCCATGGCGAGGGAGAGCTTCCACATGAAGCTGAAGGATGAGGGGGAGAAGACGCGTTTGGAGACCTTGGCCGTCTCCTTCAAGACATGGCTTGCCGATTGCACTTCACCGGCCTCTGCAGATGTTGCGGCGGCCACTGCTCCGTAACCGTTGCCCGGTGTGGTCTCGCCCAGAAGCGGTGCATCATCACCTTCACCCCTCTCCGATTCCAAGTCACTCTCCTCGTCGTCATGGCGCTGATCGTAGGCTGGGAGGCGGGGTGACTGACATTGCGAGTCGCGGCGTCCACGTTCACGTTCACGTTCACGTTCACCAGCAGTAGTCCCCCTCTCCACCTGCCGACTGAGAAACAAAGAACAAACCAACTTGAGCAGCCCCATACCGGCATATGCAAGGAAGATGATGCGATGGCAGTCGACCTGCTCCAGCCCGGCTTCCTCAGACGCATGAATAACCCACCCCGTAGCCAGGTTGCTCGCCGCCGTGCCCAGCATGCCCAGCATGGACCACCAGGCAAACAGCTCGTTGCACGTCTCCGCGGAGCTGAGCCGCGCGATGGCCGACTCCTCGATGGCCTTGAACGGGTCAATCTCGTTGGCGCTGGGGTTGATGACGCCGACGACGCTGGCGAGGAGGAGCAGCCAGAAGTTATCGAGCCAGGCAAAGGCAAGGCCGCCGACGCACATCAACAGCGCGCCGATGATGGCGGTGAACCGGACGCCCATCCGGTCGCCGACGTAGATGAGGACGAAACTGATGGCGAAGTCGCCCACCAGGGTCATGGTCATGAAGAGGCCGATTTGGGTGTCGTGGAAGCCGAGGGCGCTGAGGTACAATGCGAGGACGAAAGTGGTGCCGCCGTAGCCGAGGAGTCTGATGAAACGGAGGAGGATCAGGAGTTTGAGGTCCCGGCTTGACCGCCAGAGGACGTCGGCGCCGATGCTGGAGAGGAACCTCATGGTGAAGCTCGGTGCTGCCGTGGCCGACTTTCGGTAGTGTGCCGTCATGGTCGACGTCGTATATGTAAGTTGACCAGCACAGGTTACCTAGGGCGACGGTTGGTAAAACCTTGTGGAATGCAAAGAAGGGAACACGGGTGACGGGAAGCCGGTCGAGGACTCGAGTCGGGTCGGCCCGGAGAGAGCACGTAGTTCATGCGAGGAGGAGGGAGGTATAAGGGGTGAGCATGTAATGATGAAAGGAAGATGTCTGACAGAGGAAGCGTGTTTAGTAGAGCTGCTCGGACTCTTGGAGAGACCAAGAGCAAAGAAGACTTTTCCCATTGTTTTTACAGTATTCTTTTACTAGGTTTATCACGATGCTAAGACCAAGACGGCTCAAGGTGACAACATTGAACTTACTGACGCAACGATCTAGGCCGTGCCAAGATGCGATGTCTCACCTATGGAGTGACCTCGGGGACGCCTGGGCTCCGAGATGTCCTGTGCCTACAATGCCACAGCAGCATGGAAATGATGATCTGTCCTATAGGAGCACAGCGTACGAGGTGGCTAATGGATTACGAGCTGTCTGAAATTGACGTCAAGGCTCACCAATCAAAGGTCGTGGAAGAGAAAGGGGCATACGTGAGACTAAGACATTGAAGACAAAAGGAGGCGAGTGTTGTCTCGGCTCTGACCCAATGTGGTTCACGGTGTTCTATGTGTTTTGTCCGAGCTCTGTCCTATCCCGACGCCAGACACGACATGCATGCACATCGTAGATCATCACATCATCCCAGGATCACATCTTATGACGCCCACATCCGCTCCCTCAGTGGGAGTCCATCATGTCCATGGTCGCTCAAGCGTCCCTCTTCCGCATTGCGCCACGCCCTGTACTCGGCGAACCGCTTTTCCGCGTAGCCGCTATAATCAAATTCGATGCTCCCCGTGGATGTCTCTGCCTGAATGAGAGCGCAGAGGCCCCTGTTATATGGTTGTGTCAGTTCAAACTGTTCAATGTCGCTCGGAGGAGGAAAGAAAGAAAAAAGAAAAGAAAAAAAAAGGCCGGCAGTGAGGAGACAGGGGTCAGGGGCAGGGGCCAGGACAGGGGCCAGGACAGGGGTCAGGACAAGAACCAGGGGGGAAGAGATCCGAGCAAGACACACCAGTAAAACCCAGGGAACCCCCGAAAGGCGTCGACTTGGCCCGTCAATTCATCCACCTCAGCGTCCGTGACATCCGTCGCATTCATGTTCCCTTTTGCGTTTGGCTGCCGGGCCCGGGTGATGATGTCTGAGTGCGACTGCAGATACTCCCGGATGAAGGCCCGACGCGTTGCTTTTGTCGGCAAAAGGTCGTAGTCGCATTGGAACCCGGCCCATTCGGCAAAGTGATTCGCCAGCTCAAACGCCCTGGGACAATAGGTCGCATGTCTGGGTCGAAGGTCAGTCAGTGAGTTTAACCGGGACTGAGACGGGGACTGGGGACTCTGATCTGTGGACTGCGCACACTCACTCGTAATCGATGAACAGGACGGAAGCAATTTCTGGCGGTGCTGAGCCGTGGCTGGGGTCCTGCACGATGATGTTACCGCAGAGTAGATCGCCGTGTCCGAGGACCTGGAAAGTTAGTAACGTTTTCTCACCCTTGCTTAGAGAACTGCCTTTTCCCGATGGAGAAGACGCGGTGAAAAATAGAAGAAAGTAAAGAAGATTGAAGAAAAAGAAAAAAAGGGGTTCATACCAAGGAATCAGAGGCACTGCCATTAAACAACAGCTTCTTCGTGAGATATTCAAACTCCTCACGCAGCCTCTCCTTACTATCCGTCGACCGCCCAGGCTGGCTCAAGATAGCGTCTAGCCACTTCTTCGCCGTGGCCCAGATGCTGGGCTCATAAGTGAAGGTCTTTTGCGGATCATCCGACTCGACGACAGGAAGGGTAGCATGCCAGCGAGCCAGCTCCCTGGCGACGCCCCGCCAGATCTTTTCCTGCGCGATATCATCCTCCGAACAGGGGAGCCCGGGGATGAATTGATAGGCATGGCCATTGGCAAATCGGACCAGGGGGGACGAAGAGAGCTGGTTTTCCGAAAGGAGCTCGTGCACCCTCAGCTCCTCTGTCGGGAAATAAAATCAATAACAGAAACGACACGAAGAAAAAAAGAAAACGCACTGTTCCTGTCAATGGTGATTTCCGTGCCGTCTCCATAGACCTTGACCAAAACTGGTGTAGCGGCCGTGGCTGCCGTTGCCCGTCGACGGCTGAGGCTGACCTTGAAGAGCTGGACATGGGGAGCACGGATAGTTATTGTTATTAGCACATTTGGTTCTTAGACAAGACGGACCCAGCTCTCAACTTCCTATGGAAAAGGTGGTGAATACTTACACCATTGGTCGTGCCTTGGGTCAAGGCTCTCACGTCCAGGTCGTCGTCAGCCAGGTCAACATGGCCGGGGAACAGAAAAGGGGCAAGTTCAAGGCTCGACTTGCGGGGGTCGTCCTTGTCGAAGACGCGGTTCAGAAAAGAAGTCGGCATCTCCACCCTTGCAGATCCGAACGGAGGTCTCTAGTTAGAAGAATAAGACTGAAAGAGACAGCAAAGTGGTTGCGTTTGTACAAGGTAGACAAGCCTAGGAAGAAAATAGGGGGTTTTCCTTTTTTTGGCCAGGTCGGTACCATGAAAAGAAGCTCTTGATCTTGTACTTGCGCGGGAGCAGCAACTGGAAAATAATGACGAAGGGGATGAGGACCAAGAAGAATGGTGGCGTTCCGACCCGTCGTGGCCAGTCCCTGGAAGACGCGCCAAGCGACGGGATCGGAGCCCCCAGCCCCCTGCCCTCCCTCTGACCCCCTGTGGGCAAGCGGTATGCTCATAGGAGCAGAGATCGCCGGCCAAAGTCTTAATCTGCAGTGCTGGGGTGAAACATTGGGTCTCGCCCGGCGGGACCCTTCCCCTTTTGGATGGACGGCATACAACGTACATGCCGATTCTCGGAGCCCAAGGCCTGTACGTGATGTTCATTGGAGTTCGACCCGGAACCATAGCTGGTCAAGCTCAAGCTCAAGCTGAGCCGCTCCGAGGATCATTTGCAGGCCATCATCGACGCATCTTCCATGACGCACTATGTTTCAACGCCATCATGTCTGGATACGGATATACGAAGTGAGTGGGCGCTTTTTGGGGATTTCGTCTTCGCAGTCTCTGTGAATCGGCGACACTTGGTATTTCGAAAAGGAGATCTGATCTGGCACGGGCTGCACGAGCTTGCCGTCGGGGGTCGCACATATAAGAGTCTCTTCCACCTCGAGGCAAACTGATATCATGGAAAGAACAAAAGAACACGAACACTACATCAACTCCCGACAACCACCCTTACGAGACGCTAGACATCATATCCTCATCATCTTACACCATGGCTTCTACCTGCAAGAACAGTCTCCTGTACAAGAACTTCCACCGACATCCTGCCGCCCTCCTCGAATCCACGTCCGGCATCTACCTCCAGACCAGTGATGGCCGCAACATCCTCGACGCCACCAGCGGCGCTGCAGTCGCCTGTCTGGGCTACAGCAACAAGGAGGTACAGCAGGCCGTGATTGACCAGCTCACGACCGTCCCTTACTGCCATCCGGGCTTCTACAAGACCCAATCCGCCGACGACCTGGCCGATTTCCTCGTTCAGTCTACCGACGGGCAAATGTCCAAAGCCGTCTTGTGCGGATCAGGTATGTAGAGCCGATCTTATCTTCAGGCCGACTACACTTCTCCCGACAAGAAAAGAAAAAAAAAAACTAATGAGACGGGGATGAAAAATGGCAGGCTCCGAAGCAGTAGAAGTCGCCCTCAAGCTGGCCAAGACACACTTCTCCAACCTCGCCATCCCCCAGCCCGAACGGTCCCATTTCATCGCACGAGTTGGTGCCTGGCACGGCGCCACCCTCGGGGCCCTGACCCTCGGCGACTTCAAGGTCCGCAAGGACCCCTTCCTGCCGCTCATTGCGCAGACATCCTCCCGGGTATCGGCATGCAGCACATACCGTGGTCTGCGCAAGGGTGAAGACGAGGACGCCTACGTCCGTCGGCTGGCGCAGGAACTCGACGACGAGTTTCAACGAATTGGTCCCCACAAGGTCTGCGCTTTTGTCGCCGAGACAGTTGGCGGAAGTGTAAGTCGCGATCCCTCAACTCCCTTTTCCCGACCTCCCGCGCCTTTTGGCCCCTTTCCCTTGGCGGTTGAGTACTAATGCCTTTTGGCAGGCCAGCGGATGCGCCATGCCGGTCAAGGGCTACTTCCCCGCCATCAAGGCCGTGTGCGAGAAATACGGCGCCCTCCTCATCCTCGACGAAGTCATGTGCGGCATGGGCCGCACCGGCTCCCTCCACGCCTGGGAGCAGGAAGACGTCGTCCCCGACCTCCTCGTCGTCGGGAAGGGTCTCGGCGCCGGCTACGCCCCCATCTCCGCCGTGCTCGTCAACTCGCGCCTGGTCAATTCGTTCCAGAAATCCGGCAAGTCCTTCGCCCACGGCCAGACCTACATGGCCCACCCGCAAGCCGCGGCTGCCGGCCTGAAAGTCCAGCAGATCATCCGCGACGAGGACCTCGTCTCCCGCGTCAAGGTCATGGGCGAACATCTCGAAAAGCGACTCAAGGAGAGGTTTCTCCCTCACCCGTACGTCGGCGATGTTCGCGGCAGGGGGTTGTTCTGGGCGATCGAGTTTGTGATGGACAAGGAGTCCAAGGTGCCGTTCCCTTCGAGTCTCGAGCTACACGGCAAGATGCATTCTCGTGGCATGCGGAAGGGTTACGAGGTTGCCCTCTTCAATGCTAACGGCGGCTACGATGGCTACGCTGGTGACCACTTCCTCATCTGCCCGCCGTTTATCGTCACCGAGGCCGACATTGACGAGATTGTGGACCGGACGGCGAGGGTTATTGATGACACCTTTGCTGAGCTTGCCAGTTCGTCGGTCTGGGATAAGATTGCGCTGCAGATGGATATGGCGCAGGAGACTGTTGCACAGGACACCATTGCAAAGGACGCCCCGGTGGCGAATATTGTGGTTGGGGAGCAGTTGGTTTCTGTCAGCTAGGGACATGGGTTTACCATTACGGGCGTCTTTAAAAGCCACTAGACAAAAGTGTTAATAGATTATATTCCTGTTGCGTGGGATGGTGAATTCCTCCCATATCCTAACCCCTTTTTAGCCCCTTGTTGGCCCCTTTTTCGACCCCTATTTTCGGCCCCCCTTTTTTTCACGACTCGGCGTCGGACACTTAAGAGTCGAGGACGCAACGCAACATGGACGACACATCTTTATGCTAAAGAAAACAGATGATATGAAGAGAGAACGACTTGTGACTATGATGCATGCTAGACACTCAGAAATATCCCATTACGATCTAGTTCCACCCGCCTCATGTAGCCAAACGTCTCCTAGAAGCATACTGCCTATACACTCAGCCACCTTACTAACGGTGCGTGGACCGAAAAGAGCGGCACGAATACATTCAGCTACGCATATTCAAATTAAAACCCCCAAACATCCCCTACTCATTCATGATCATCATTCTCATGGAAAACAAGCGCCCTAATCTCAATGCTCTCACGGGCAGGCGCGTCGGGGGCCGCAGTAGGGTCCACGAAAGCAGTATGCGGAACACGCCTAGCGCGACCATCCTTCTTGCTATCAAAGCACTTGATCAAGAGGACCTCGTCGGGCGTGAGGCCGCTCTTATAGTGCCACCGATGGGCGGGACGGTAGTTGACGTGGTACGTCTCGCCGCGGCGGTTCGGGTAGATGAGCTCGATCATGACCAAATCCTCGTCCGGCACGGAAGACGCCTCGGCCACGGCTAGGGGGTCGCGCTCGACCGTCTTGATGGGCCGCCAGACGTTGATGATCTGCACGCGGCCGCGCAGGAGGCGGTCGGCCTCCTCGGGGAGGTGGTGGGGGACGCGGGACAGGGCGGCTCTGTAGGATTGGTCGATGTGGACTCGCTGGACGGGGCCTCGGTTGCTCTTGGTTTCCGACTCGGGTGGTGGGCGGCGGATGGTGTGGTCGAAGATGAAGACTCGGGATGCGCCGGTGCTGGGAAGGGAATGGTCAGTCGTTTTTCATTTCATTTCATTTTTTCATTTTTTTTTTCATTTTTTTTTTTTTCATTTTTTTTTCGTTTCTTTTTTTTTCATTTCTTTTTTTCATTTTTTTTCTCTTTTTTTTTGGTGAGAGGATTAGGAGACTATTCCTGCACTTACACGTCCTTGAGCAGCTGCTCCGTCTCTGGATAATACGAAGCCTTTATCTGGTCATCATCGACAAAGTCCTTCTCGGTAACAGGTTGACGATGGACCTGGAATCCCTGGCCGTCCAATGTGAAATCTTCTTCATGACCAGAGATGTCGTGGATCGTCACGGGACGTACGTCGTTGGGTCGCTCGTAGGTCTCTGGGCGGTCAACGTAGGTGGCATAAGGAGGGGAGCCGTCCTCGTTGGGCTTGTAGTAGTTGAGAGTTGTTTCAACATGGCGACCCGGAACGGTAGTCTTCTTTTGCGCAACCGAGATCGTCTGGGTGGATTCCGATGCCGAGGGGCCGCCAAAGGGTCCCGTCGTGGGGGGTAGCTGGACCTGGGCGGCGGCCATGATACCAGATCAAGTCTGAATGTAGTTATAGGTGAATAGGAATTGGGAACGAGCTGAGATGTTGGAGAGGATGTCTTTCACTTTGTTCAATTTGAGGACAGTTATCCTGTTATCCTGACTAAACTCTGAAAGTCTGTCTTGTTGGACAATCTCCTCTCCTCCACTGACGACTCCGGGGCTCTGTCTTATAGCAACAGGAACCAACGGCCACCAAATAATGCCCTGGGTTGCGCCGGTCAACTTGGTTCCCTCCACGTCAGATAGATTGCCTCTCATCCAATACCAAACCAAGGAAAGGCGCTACAATGGTCATTATGCAAGCACGCCATTTGGTTCTCCGCTCCGCACTTGGTTCGATTTGTAATCGTATGCGGACATTCCTGATTCCTGGGTGGACGAGGGTCACGAAGTGCACGGTGGTCCAATATGCAACGTGGGACATTGGGAGGATCGCATGAAGTGACACGGGCCGGGGTTAAGGGGTTAGACGTAAGAAGACGTGAGTAGAGAATTGTAAGCTTTATTAGAAATCAGTGTCCTGTTCCTGATCGTAAATCAAATTTATCTTCATGTCTGCCTACTCCGCGGGTCTCGAGACTTCACTTCAGACGACCATGTTACAAAGCAGCACTGGGGCTTACAGAAAAAGAAAAAAGAAAAACAAATAGGAGGAGCGGAGATTCGAAACTTCATGTTCCTACCACGTCAAGTTCCAAGACGGAATATCTATTTGCTTCTTCGTAATATATGCCAAGTTGCCATCTCCTCCGTTGTTTCTAGATCCTTCGTTTTGATTCCTCATCAGACGTGTCTAGCCCCGAAACTAGTCCTAGTTGAGCTCAGGAAGCGAGAATTGGACTTGTAGAGGCTTCCAGAGAAGCTGACAAAACGGCGGCATGGGCTCTGATAGGCCTCAACGCATGAGAATTGTTCGAGATCATTCCTTTCCCGTACATCGCTCCCAGTATTCTGACGCCTACGGCCAGTGTATTGCAGCTCACCTCATCACCCTTGCGTGATGATCATACTGTGCATACCTCGGACTCATAGCTCATGGTGCATATAGGCTATACTTTACACAACTGTCGGCACATACACCAGCTTGGTGATTGTCATGCCGTCGTCCAGCAACTCTGCCTTTTCTTCGAGTCGATATCCACGCCACCACGGAGCAGTTTCGTCCACACAAACCAATATACCACGGCAAATGCAATTCTAGACCACATGCATGTTAGTATAGGAGATGTCCCACTTCAAAAATGCATTGCGCCGGGAAAGGGGGCGGAAAAGGGGTGAAGGGGTAAAAAAGGGGCAAAGGACGTCTTTCAAACTCACATGGTTGTGCCAACAACAGCATAAGCATAATAAAAGTCGCCCCCCTTCCGTCCAGGCGGAGGGGGAAACGGAGCCGCCAGTCAAGCGACATTGAGGATCATTCTCAACCCCACCGCAGGGAGCCAGACCTTAAAGGGACGTCGTAGGTCAGGTCGCCTGAAGCGTAGCCAGACGAGGCCCACGGCAACAGCTAGCGAGAAGAACTGACCCGGGTATCCCTCCACCTCGAGGATGAAAGAGTAGACCTCCTTCGAGGGCGGCAGAGCAATAACCAAGAAGGAGGGGATGTAATGGACAAGTAGACCACCGAGAGGGGAGCCAAAGGGGCGATTGGAAGAGAGGAGTTTCGAGAAGGGTAGGAATCCTTGTCTCGCGATCTCCTGCTTGAGGCGTGCCTGGACGAGAACGACATGGTCAGTATTGTCCCCTCGTTTCCTTCATGCTTTCAGACAAGTGCAAATGAAGAGAAAGTTGAGTCGACTTACCATGGCAAAAGCAACAACGAGCACGTTTCCCACGGCCGAGAGAGCCACCGCGAGCGGCAACAAGACACTACCCAACCCGGCACCGAAGATCTTTGCGAAAAACAGAGCAGCGATCAGCTCCCCGCTATTCTTGATCTCGCCGACGGGAACGACAATGAAGTAGGCAATATTGACGAGAAGATACAGCCCGCAGGAGGTCGCCAGGGCGGAGAAAGTAACCGATTTCAAGGTCCGCACGGGGTCTTTCACCTCGTCGAGGACGTTGTTGGCGTTGTCGAGGCCGGCAAACGAGTAGAACACCTTGAACAGCGACGTGGCCAGGATGCCCCAGTTCCAGTTGGATCCCTCCCATAGCCCGTCCCAGCTGAGGCTCGCAAGACCTGTTCGTCTTATTCCTAGCACCGCACCCACGTCTCCTACAACCGTCGTCGGGAACCCCGCCGAGGGATATAGCTGCGCCAGGACAACGTACAACCCAGAACACACCATAAAGCCAATCAACCCGACCTTGATCCAGCCAAGCCAATTCTGCAGCCGAACGCCAGCACGAGGGAAAACGCCATGGACGACCACCACCCCCGTCAACAACCCAACCGCGAGCCCTTTACGGACCAGATCCGACGGCTCCCCCACCCCCAGCGCAAAGAGGGCATACTGACTGAAGACAATACAATTGCTCGCCGTAAACCCCAACAGCACCGCATTCGCCGCCACAAGCGTCGAAGCCAAGAACCGCGGCCGCCGGTACGCGAACTCGAGGTACACCTTGTCCCCGCCCGACCGCGGCAGCATGGCCCCGAACTCGAGCGACACGGCCAGCCCGCACGCGGCCGCCGCGCCGCCTACGACCCACAGCAGGAGGGCTAGCCCCGGGCTGCCGACGGAGCGGAGGATGGCGCCCGGCGTGGCGAAGACGCCGCTCCCTATCACGCGGGAGATGACGAGGATGTAGGCGCTTTGCCAGGTTAGCGTGCGGCCGAGGGGGGAGGTTTCGGGGAGGACGTCGTCTTCGATTGCTCGGGTTGGGGGGCTGTCGTTTCCGGGAGAGGATGGGACGGAGGGAGGGAGGAGAGGTTGGATTTCTGGGTCGTTGTGGGCTGTCATGTTTGGATTTGGATGGGTTGACTATCGTCTTCACGAGTTGTATTGATCGACTTGTCGCCACATGGATACGATGAACTGGTCGCTCATGTATTGTGGATGAACCCAGAATACGTTGAGTCTCATGTTTGAGAAAGGGGTTAACTGTTAGTTCGAAGAAGTGACTCGACGGGCTGGGAAACAATAGCATGGAGCTGAGAACGCCGCGAGAGCAGAATCAGGAGGGACATGACGACCTGCTAAACAACCGAGGGCTGAAGAGACAACGCGTGTCTTCTGAGGCATATGCTTGATAAGCGACAAGTAGAAGGGTGGGATTGGGGAGGACGGTGTTATCTTGACGGCGAATGGCGTCTGCGTTTGATGGCGCAATCCCTTTTATAAGGCGCGGCTTTGGGCCTTCGGGGCGATGATGTGATGTTGTCGAGCTCGCACGTCATTCTTGTGAGACCGACTGGGTTGATATCTCTGGCTACCCAACTACAGTCTACACCATCTATATTCTCCGTCATTCCCCCGTATATACAGACCATTGCCGTATACCTTCATCCTCCACTCCTTCTCCTTCCAAATCATGCCTCTACGTCGACTTTACCCCTTTAAAGAGTATAAACAAAGTCTGGCCGCCTGTCACCGGCAATCCAGCGCTGCTCCTCCGTCATCTTAGCCCATTTCGCATCCATCTTCCCAGCCTTCCGGTTCCGGTTCGTGATGCGCAAGGCGATATGCATAAAGATAGACCCGCCAAACAGGAACACCACCAGGTAAGCAAGCACAACGCTATGCCCGGTCCAGTAACGCGGGTTCTCGCGGTCGAGGAAGATATTGGACGACACCACGCCGTTCAGGTTACCCCAGCCGACCACCATGCCCAGCACAAAGGCGCGCTTCAGGGAGCCCTCCGTGTTATTATTGACCCACGACAGCGTGTTGGAGATGGTGGGGTAGATACCGGCCGCGCCGAGGAACGTGCCCGCATACTGGACCCGCGGGTTGGACGTCGCCAGGAGCATTATAAACCCGATGATGGCGAGCACCACGGTGGCGATATTGCAGTAGCCGCGCCACCGGGTGCGGTCGGCGTAGAAGCCCACGAGGACGGTGCAGGTGGCCGCCACCGCGTAGGGCGGAACGCTATGCAGCTGGGCCTGGGTTCCGGCATAGCCCATGGCCCGGAGGATCGTGGGCAAGAACAGCGAGAAGGCGTACAGGGGCGTCAGGCAGCCCATATAGATGAACATGTAGCCGTACGTCTTCCAGTCCAGAAGAGCCTCGTAGATGTGACGCTTATCAAAGTCCTCGGCGGTACGGCCCTGGCGGTCAATAATCAGGCGGCGCTGCATACGGATCCGATCGTCGGGGGAGAGGAAGCGCGCCGTCTCGGGCCAGTCAAATACCATCCACCAGCAGAAAAGGCCGACGAAGACGGTCGCCAGACCTTCGATGATGAAGATCCAGGACCAGCCCGGCATGTTGCCGATACCGTCCATCTGCGCGATCGCTGCGGCGAGGAGACCGCCGAACGAGCCGGCCAGGGCTGCGGCCGAGAAGAAGATGGCCGAGCGGCGGCCGATTTCGGAAGACTTGTACCAGCAGGAGAGGTAGTAGTTTACGCCTAGATCAAGAGCCAGGTCAGTTGACTGATCTCTTTCCTGGTTGTTCTATGCCCGACAACGCAGAAGGGCGAAAGGGTTCGAGGCACAGAGTAAACGGAGGAACAGAAAAGAGAAAAGAACGCACCTGGAAAGAGGCCCGCCTCAGCAATACCAAGGAACCACCGAGCGGCGAGCAAGCCGGCATTGTTCCGGACCAGGCCCATGAGAGTCATGATAATACCCCAGAGGATGATAATGCCAGTGAAGAAGATGCGCGGCGTGAAGCGCTTGAGGATGGTGTTGGTGAGAGGTTCGGCGACGGCGTAACCAATGAAGAAGATGGTCAGGGCCATGTTATAGTCTCCCGGGACCATTCCGAGGTCGTCCTCCATGCCTTCGAGGCGGGCATTGCCGATGTTCGTGCGGTCCAAGAAGGACAGGAGATAGAGGAGAGAAAGCCAGGGGATGAGCCAGAGATCGACCTTCCACATAAGCTTGCGGTCCTATGAATAAAGAAAAGTAATGGATTAGTCCGGGGCCTTGATCAGAAGGTATAGGAAAGAGGGAAACAGGGAAAGAGACATACAATGGCCTTGCGCTCTTCCTCCGTCTTTCCGGCATCGGGGTCTGGAAGATTTGCGAGAAGCTGGGCTCGCTCATACTCGATGGCCGTCTGTCCCTTCGACTCGCCGGCGGAAGAAGATTCTACGTCGGCGTTCTCGGAGTCCTCCCTTTTCTCGAAGTCGGACATTGTTGATAGCAAGCCTTTAGCCTCGAGGAGCGTCGGAGGCTGGGGATTGCAGAGGCACCGACTGTTCGGAAACGGGGCGGGAGAGGAGAGAGGGAGCCTCGGGCTGAGCAAGGGAAGAAGAGGGAAACGATGCTTGGTGGTGAGAGAAGGGAGGTGAGGGTGAGGGAAAGGAAAAGAAAAAGAATTCAAGACGATTGAGACGGGGAAAAGTGATGGGGCTAGATGCTTAGAACCACCAGGGTAGCAGTCGGAGCGATAGCCAGGGCAGTTCACCATGAGCGAGCCGAATCAATGACGCGGATGGGGCCCCCCTCGCTCTTATGTTTCAAGGCACGAGCTCTTGCAGCTCTTACTCGAGAGCCATCCTGTCCCTCGTTCATGTCCCTTCCTGTCCCTTCATGTCCCGTCCCTCCTTTTGCTTTTTTTGGTTCGTTCCTCAACTCCCCTGGTCGAACCCCTGTCTGGAAAGGCTGCCAATGCCAAGTTCGAAGCAGCTGTGTAATTACTGAGCATTCGTGCATTCGATATGTTTGGTGGAAACCTGCCGTCTCGTCGTGCTCGTTCGGCACTTGCAAGCTGGGAAGAACTGGGGCTACCCCGGCGGCCAAGAAATAGAGCCGATGGTCGCCGTGCCCCTCCTTTGGAAGTCCCCGGCCATGGAGGTGGTGAGCGCTCGTCCGAGACCAAGTTTGCATCAGGGGGACGGGGGGGACGGGGGGGAGGGGGGGCTACACCGCACGTGTACGTGTGCACCAGATGGCGCACGCTATTCATGCTTGATTACCCTCAACTTGATTACCCACATTAGAGACATAAAGTTACTTCGTACTCTGTATGAGTGGCTGATGTGGAATCACCCGTAGCCATTCATTGGCATGGCGTATTGGTTAGCAGAAAGGGGGGAAAGTAAAGAACATTGAAGGACAGGGGACTGGGAAGCGTGGCGTATTCTAGAAAGGGAAGTTGGGTCTGGCGTCGTTGCAGTATGGTATGATATTCCTCCCAATGTTCCCCCCATATGGGGCCCCCAGCCCCCCAATGAAACAAACGGAGAGATGGTAGCCCGTGGGGGGTCGCCGTGCCGTGGGGAATTCATGTCCTTGTCCTCGTGACCTCGTCGGTGGGTGTTTTTCTGTACGAAGTACGATTCTTGTTACCTTATGATAATGTGACGGGCCTGAAAGGAGAGCAGAGGGACGGACCGGAAGAGGGAGTCTAGTTTCGTTCGTATGTGAGACTGATGTGTATGTATGTCGCATTAGAAAGGGGCAGCTTTTCGGTGTCATCCCGGTGACGTTTCTTGGAAGATTATTCGTCGTTGCAAGGACGCCGGCTCAACGAGACTCGAAACTAGCTACCTAGTAAACTTGTAAGACATCGGTCAGAAAAGGAGACTAGACATTCAAGGAACGGCCGAAAGGAAGTGGGCTTTCGAAGACAGGGGTCTCTCTTCCGGAGGGAGTGACGGACTCGTGGTCATTGCAGGTGTCTGGGTGCCATGTGAGAGAATCATGGCATCTCGACCAGCGGAAGGGACGGGACAAAAAACAAAGGAAAAAAAAACATGCCGACCAAGATGCGATGACATGAATGGGTCATGCGGGGGGGGGGGGGAGCCCAGCGACAACGGGTGTCACCCAGGTGCAGTAGCGTATTCCCTTCCGATGGTGCCGCACGGAATATGTCGAGGCCCCTGGACCGTAGAGCTCATTCCGATTCGTCGACAAGAGCACCATCCCGTCTGGGTCTGATCCCTCCTGCGCCTTCTGGGTTTGTTTCTTTGACCGTATCGTATTCTGTTTGCATTTCCCGGACGCCTGAGAAGCAGAAGCGATACCCCAATGGCGAGAGGCAGAGCAGAGGCCAAAAAAAGAAAAGGGAAAAAAGGAAAGAAAAAAAAAGGAAATGAAGATTAAAATGAAATGAAAAAAAAGGTCCCACCCATCGCACTACTGCCAATGATTCGGCAGCCACCCGTCTGTCAACCGGTGTGTGTTCTTGGTGGTTTGTTGGCGGAATGAACTTCAGGGCGACTCTGACCACGTGTGGCTAGGCTGTTGTGTGAAGGTGATACGGCTAGATGCAGTTTGCAATCTTTCTTCGGACATGGATGATAGGGAGAGAGGGAGGTACGTTGCATGTATGAAGTTGGTGAATGGTGAGCCAAGCAGAGACGGGCGTCGCGTCGGGGATGTCATGGGTGTTGATCGGGGGTTTGTTGGACATGGACATGGTTGCGCACTTACAGCGTACCCCTTGGCCTTGGTTCTCGTCATCCCAGGTCTATGTATCTCGACTCGCAAGCAAGATCAAGGGCCGACGAAACTGGGTGTTGGGTTGGGGCATTTGCCGCTTGCGTGGGGGGGAAGTCTGGAGATGGAGATGACCTCAAAGGTAAGATTTTAGGGCCAACGAGAAAAAGGCGGGGGAAAGGGGAAAGTGGAAATAGTGGGCCGCTTAAGCGAGTAGGTTATTCTTTCAAGCTTTAGCAGGCCCTCTCTAGCGCCTGGTTCAAGCTTTACACGTGTACTATACCCCGGAGAAGTGGGGCTAGGGCTTCGTAATTATTAAGCAGGATCTCGACTTTATTCTCAGCCATCAGATCCATGTACGTACAACGTACTCCACCACGGTTGTACAGTGAGGTCATCGTGTTGGCGTGGGCGAAACCGAAGGATTTATAGGATGGAAAGACGAGCGGTAATGGAATACATACCTTACGGTGAGATTCAGTGGTAAAACAGCCAAGATGGGCAAACATTTTCTCTTTCCCAGTGTTTACTGAGGTGCAAAATAAGACGAAAAATATGGTTCCTCTCCTGTTTGCGATCATGGTCGACGGATCATGGGACCCTGGGCGGCACGACCAGGACCGACCGTTTTCTATTATTCAGCAACCCTGTTCTCGCAATCTACTCTGTCGCTCGTGTGACGGCTGACCGTGGACGGCAGACGGCAGACGGCAGTTGGTTCTTGGTTCTTTCTGTCCAACTCCAACCGTCCTTCAGCCAAAAAAAAGCCCAGACGATCTTCTCCCGAGACAGACCCCTTTAATAATGGCGGCTTGGCTTGATCTCGGTGTTTATCGTATCGGCGCACAGAGTGGGCTAAGGAATGTGGCTTACCTAGCGCAAAGGTGGCTTGTCTAGCGTTTCTCTTTTCCCGCCTACGGACAGGGGAACCGCGGCGCCAATCCGGGACAAGGATTTCAAGCCGCATTCAACATGGGACAACATCTTGTTCGTCTCTCTTCCAACCCCCGGAACGGAGAAATCCGACTACATGTCAACGGCAGGCAGTTGTGGATTTCCCATGGTGAGAATTCAATCGTACGGGAGCATCGTACGGACTACGGACTAGGTACTGTTAGACGAGCTACTCGATCACACATTCACACTGGCCCAGGCACCAGGGATCCTTGGTTCAGAGTGTAAGCTTACTGCAAAGTAGCATGGCAAAGCTGACAGGACATCGGGCGCAGCTCGAAAGACCTAACCGAATTTACACAGCACGGATACCTACGACATAGCTAGATCGGGTCGGGGAAAGAGGTTGTCGCCATTGTGGGGGCGCTCGCGGCTCGCTTCGATGACAAACCAGGCAACATGTTTTCTTGAAACCACGATGACGTTCTCCGAGAGTAGACAATTGACTTGCCTTAAAGTCGATCTTACAACGTAAGCAAGAACAAGTTACACAAACTATGTAGCTGGGTTAAAAGGGCGGCAGAAAGGACAGACTCGGGTTATGAGTTGGTTGACTAAGGTACGGAGTACCTTGGGACCTAGGTATCTGCGATTCTGCGTGTTTCCATCAAATCTCACAAAGATATAAGGTTTGTTACATTGCCTCGAGGACTACATGCTACTTTGAGGGTTATTGTCCGTGCCATGGTAGGCAGTTGTGGTTATTGTTATTTCATTATTTCATATTGGAACAATGATTGATGTCTCTCACATTGAGTAGGCTGTTCGAGTAATCGACGCTTTTCGATCTTTCTACTTCATCTCTCTCTTTTTGCTTTACTGGTGAGGTGAGGATATCCCCGCTGGGTTTCACGTGTTAACAGCTACGAAGCCTACGATAGCTCACATATCGTTAAGGTACTAAGGCAGTGGTATCGGTATCGTTGTTATTGTGTCTTTCGTAAGGTACCTCCCTTATGTTATGAACTAATTGCATGCCTGTAGGTACATAAGCTATCTCTGAGAGACTGAGATACCTCAAGGTAGGCAGGTGCGGATACCTTAGGTACCTTAGACCCAGAGTGTTCCTGCAATCACGAGAACTTGAGTGTTCCTACTCGGACACGTCCCCTAGTCCTTCTTAGGTACCTTTCCTTATAACATTTACATCGCCACCAGCACGTAACTCTTACTCGAGACTCTTTCCTTTCTGTCCCCTGACCCCCGATGATCATCAGTGTCCCCTTGGACTCTGGAGCGCCTGCAGCCTGCTTACCATCTAGCCATGTCGACCTCTGCGCCCGGCTTCTTCAAGAGTGAGGCTTTCGCTGCTGCCTTGTATTACGACACCGAGAAAGGCCCCCGAACCGTTGGTGGGAAGGAAATCCTGCCCGGCGCCGTCGACCCCGTCACGGTTCGCCTGCTCAGCCATCTCGCAACCGATTCCAGCCCAACGTTTGGCTTCCGTCTCTCGTTTGTGACAAGCGACGATCCGGGCTTCGGACATCGCCACCGCTCCAGCGACGGCGCCGTGACCCGAGACTATTCCATCCGCGTCAGGTTTCCTCGAGACGGCTTCAAGGTCTTCTCACGGCCACTTCCAACGGAGATTCGCAAGCGGCTGTCACCAAACAACGGTGAAGATGTCGGAAACGTCGACCCCCCGTTTGTTCTCGTCACCATTCAGCTGGACCCCGGGGAGGAAGTCGGAGTTGACGGCCTTGCCATGCCCTTTTTCAACGAAAACGAAGAGATCACCTCGTGGCTCAACAAGGATGCTCCGATTGCGGGATTCCGTTCGCTCACTTCCATCCTCGCACAACGAGAGTTTACTTTCCTCGTTGAAAGCGCCGCCCGCAACCTCCTTGGCGCTCTGTGTCTGATGCCACCCCCTTTCGCTTATCCCTACACCAAAGCGTACGTCCCAGACCCGACCCTCCCTCCCGATTATCAAATGGATGGCTGAGAGCCTGAGACTAACTAAAGAACGTTCTGTCAACCTTCAGGTACACTTGGAACATGCGACGCTACAAGTCGGAAATTACCAAAAACATGGGCCAACAATTTGCCGGCAAGGTCAGCTTCGAGTCTGACCATCACATGTTGACCGCACTCTCCCATTCACAGGCCCAGGATGTGTTCCAGTTGGCACAAGATGCGGGCCAGATCTCGCGGTCGTTTTTCAAGACCTTCATTGTGGTAGATGGAAACGCGGACGGGCCCAACACGCTCGGCGGTATCTATATTATTCCTCTCTGTTTCAACTTCTTGGTAAGTTCACTTGCCGGCGTTTCTGGTTTCCCTGTTACACGTTGCCTGGGGCAGGGTAGGGTGCTAACCATGGCGTATCCCTAGTCAACCAAGTTTGGCACCTCCTGGAGTCGCCTGGCCCGCAAGGAGGACACGGCCCTTCAAATCACCCTGTTAAACAAGGACTTTGTCACGACATGCGACTTGTTCAGTTCCAACCTAGACCACTTCGTCCTTCGAGACACCGGAGACGAGCAACCGGGCTTCTCGCTCGATGATAGACTGGACGATGAAGGGGTCAAGAAATGCGAGCTGTGGGCGAGATTCATCGGCTCGGAGCCAGACCGTGATCTTCCCCCTTGCCTTGAAGGTGTCGACCGTCGACTTGTGCTTCAAGTTGACGTCAAAAAGACCGGAGCCAAGTCCCAGAACAAGGTCTGGAATCAGATACTGGGCTCGTGCGAAACCGCGTCTAGCTTTGCCGAGGCCATGTGGAAAATGGAGACAGAGGCACGGTAGGACTTTGCCTCTCTCCAGTTCGACGATGTCTGCCAAACGGCCATGGCTCGTGTCTCTGCCGTGGCAGCCCTTCACCCCGACCCCGAGGGCAAGAAGTACACCATCTCCCAGAGCATCTCCCAGAGCCTTTTGCGGGACTTTATGATGGGAAACGGCTTCTGGACGTCCTGGAAGATGATGCAACAACTGGACGCCCAGAATCGACCTCAAGGCCCCCAGCTCCCGGTGAATAACCTTCTCGACACACCGCACACTTCCCTCGTCGATGCCCTGGTCGATTGTGCCCTACCACAGGACCGGCAGCGGTTCCGGAAGCATCTACGTTCCGCCCCTCTCGGCATCGTCGGCATCCTCGGGTTTGCTGGCTCGGGCAAGACCCACTGCCTGGCCACCGTCGTTCTCACCATGTGCGCCAACCCGAAGATCAACAAGGTATTTGCGTCTGCGCCGACCAACGTTGCCGTGAGTAACATGGCAGAACGCATTTACCATCTCAGCTGCACCATCGCCGGCCAGGGTGTTCAATATCAGGAGCCAACCCCGCATGACTACAAGTGTCTGCTCGTCATTCGAGCATACAATATAAACGACGAGGTCACAGCCTTCGACGACCTTTGTCGCGGAAAGTACAACTCATGGTATGGCGGTGGCCACGAGAAGATCACCTCCAATGGGACGAGGTGGTCGCCGTACCTCTCGCTGGCATGGTGGACCGCCAGACTCTTTGGCTTTACCTGCGCCGGCATCCCACCTCCCACTAAGCGCGATCCGTATGCTTTGGTCTACATGCGACACGAGATGAGGAAGAACAAGTCACTCGCCGAGCTGGACAACTACATCCGTCGGCAGGAACGGGGGAAGGCTCAACTCGGGAAAAAACCTGGCACCATGCCTAAAATCAGCCGGTCAGAGCTTTGCAAAGTCATGACTAGCCTGGTGATGCGTGCCGACGTCGTCTGCACCACGCCTTTCGCCTCCACCTCCGCACCTTACACCCGCTTCAAGACGGCTGCCCGGGCCGTTGCCATGGACGAAGCCGGCGCCATGGACCGCACAGATGCCCTCATCGTCTGGGGCAACACCTGCCGACCATGCGTCATGGCCGGGGACCCAAAACAGCTCCCACCCACCGTCATGTCCGCCGGCGACGTAGACGCAAAAGGCTACCACCTCAACCGCTTCTCCGAGGACGGCAAGATTTCGATTCTGGAGTTTGCCCTGCGCTCGGGCTGGCCCATGTACGCCCTCCATATCCAGCTCCGCATGGCCATTGGCATGTTCGACCTTTCCCTGCACAATGTCTACCCGGAGCTCAGGGGCCGGTTTAGCTACGGTGTCGAGACCAATGAGGGCCACCACCCGGTCGGCCTCGCCGTGGAGGACTGGGTTTCTCGGACGTACATGAAGCATTCCCGGCCCGGCAGCCTCGAGCCGCTGCTCCTGCACGTCGCGGGCTCGGTTTGCGAGAAGAGCGGCACGTCGAGATATAACCCGGCGCAGGTGCTGGCCGCGGCTCAGCTCATTCGGGGATTGTTGCAGGGAACCAACGGCAGGGTGAAAGCGAGCGACTTTGCCGTGATCACCCCTTATCGAAGCAACCGTGCCTACGCCGCCAGCCTCTTCAAGGGGGATCAGTATCTGGCACAGATCCCGGTGTACACGATTGATGCCATCCAAGGCCGGGAGGCAGATATTGTCGTGTTTATCATGACGGTCAACTCCGAGACGGGTCCGGGGTTTGTAGCTGACCTCCGACGACTCAATGTCGCGATGACGCGGCAAAAGTCGTACCTTTTCATTGTGGGAGATGTTGAGACTCTGCCAAAGCATAGTGTCAGGGGGCGATGGGGCGTCTTTGGTGGTCAGATGCAGGGTGTCCCTGACTTGGACTATGCTCAGAAGCTAGAGGGGGCTCGGGTATGGACGGGTATCTTGAGGTATATGGTAGAGACTGGTCGGGTGGTGAGGATGTGAGATGAGAGGACTGGAGAGAGCAATTTGTGCTACATTAGTATTATTCCTATCTTGTTCTTATAAATACGAGATGCATAAGAATAAGAAGGAAATGAGAATATCAGAAGTTGACAAGAGACTCAGGGGCTGTCTCTGTGATTTCATCCATGAGCCCCTTTTGATATAATTATCACCCCATATCATATTCCTTGAACACTGCAACTTGGTCATGGGATATCTGGATCATGCTGGAAGGAGGAGGTAGATCATTTATTTTCCTTTGTTCTCCAGAGAAACAGCTTTGCATGTGATATATCCGGGCTCTTACTCCTTCCACCTCAAGTTCCACAACTCATAGAGCCCACCATATCAACTTCACTTCACCTCTGCTCTCTGCCCGGGGTATATATTCTCTATTTTGTTTCTTTGTCTCCATTTCACCTTTACTTCCTCGAGTGTCTTCCTCTACGCCCCGTGCCATCTCCCTCTGAGGGCCATGGCGACCATGGATACTAACGCAACCTCTCCTTCTGGGCATAGGGACCCGCTCTCGCAGCTTCACGTCAACGCCGGTTCTCAAATCCGCGCTATCGAGGAGCGCCTTTCCGACTCTGCTCTCGCCGACGAGTTTCTAACTGGTTGGGACGGGGCCGCGACGAGCCGAGGCGCAAGACGAGCCTCATCACTCGGACGCGATACGAGAACGTTAGACCACGCTTCGACTGACGATATGCCAAGGGCTGCGACTCTTGGGAACACAAACAATAATCCCGTACCTACGGTCTCCGGAGGGGGAAGCGCGGAGATAAACAGCGCGACAACTCGGGAAGAGGAGGGTGACAGTGACACCATCGTGGGATCCGGCGCTGGCGTGCCTCACCAGGAACGCGACAGCGGCGACACAGAAGCCGGACTCCACCAGCCCCGAACCCGACCAAACTCCGCTCCGCAGGATCAACTCCAGGACTTGGGCGGTGGTAACAATGGCAACAATGGCAACACGGTTGTCCATTCTGATGCCGTAGATGTGGCCACCGGCACCGCAAGCAATGTTTCCGCCGGCCCCCCTTCTTCTACGGCAACAAGAGCCAGCCACGTCCACGACAAACACCGCAACAAATCAAAGTCAGACCACTAGCCGCGACCACTCCCACGGACCGTCTCTTCCTCAGTTCGCCCCCAGACCCAGACCCATCATCTCTCCATCCGCCCTTGCCAGCGCAGCAACAGCAACAGCAACAGCAACAGCAACAACAACAACAACAACAACCACCCCCGCAACCCATCGTCCAATTCCAAATCGTCGACACCAACGACAACTTCACCATCCGCTTCTCCATCCGCCGCCACCGCGCCCTCGGCCGCGCCATGCGCATCTTCAGCGACCGGTCCGGCCGAGTCGTCCATACCCTGCGCTTCATGCACGAGCTGCAGCGCGTCCACGAATCGTCTACCCCGGACACCGTAAGTCGCATTCCCCCGCTGTGATGCATTGATTTAAGATCCACTTAAGCTGTTCCTTCATTATCTTTTTCTTTTCCCTTTCTTGTCCCCGTCCGTCTGTCCCTCCTCCACCACGTCATGGTCATCTCCTGACCCAGTCATCTTGATTCCTGCCAACGAAATCCAGGTCTAACAACGTGAGTACGTCCCACAGCTCGACATGGAAGATGGAGACGACATCCTCGTCTTTAGCGAAATGCTTGGTGGAGCCGTCTGGCGGTGACCACTGACCACACATTCGATTCGACGGGGCGGCTGCACCCTGGGGCCGAGGCGAGGTGGGATTATGGATCGCATCATTTCTCTTCCCGTTTCGTCCCCTCCCGGCCACCCACCCTGTCCCGTGTTTATACACTATACACTACTGCCCCTGCTCTGGGGTCTAGGCCGTCGGATGGACTCGCCGAGGTTGCAGCTCAACTGACCATTGGCCCCGAGCGTATGGTGAAGAATTACGAGGCGAGGTCAAGGTGGAAGTTGAGTGCAACTGTGCGACAGCGAAACGTGTATAAATACTACTTCGTATGTGCGAATAACTATATAAGTGGTATCTACTACTTGACACAAACAGACATGTGGCATGTAGATGGAATCAAAAACAGGAAAGAATCCAACGAGTCTCCCAAGATGTGATGATCAGCTCACAGGCCGTGAGGTGGACTGACGAGCGTGCCAGCAGACGGTGGCAACGACATGTGCCCATACACGACCTTGCGAAATTAATTCCTCACGTATTAAGGAAGAGCAAAACAGACCCCGATGCAGGAGCTATTTTCCCCCTAAAAGACGTAGTGGAGAGCCCGGCGCCATTTGGGCCAAGAGGCGACGACGGCCCGGTACTCGTTGATCTCGTCCCAGTTGTGCTCCCTGAGACCAGTGTCGAGGTCGATTTGGTCAAGGCGGAGCCAGCCAGTACGCTTCCACAAGTAACCGCACAGCCAGAAGAAGAGAACGACGGGCAGCGCAAGAACATTGAGGAAGAAGTTCTCGGCTCTGTCGCCAGGAGTCGGGGGGGTTTCGCCCTCAGGGGTTGGGCCGGGGTCGATGGCCACGTAAACCTGGGCAGCCAGAATGACGCCGCAGAGCAGAAGGCCAACATAAGAGCCGTAGATACCACCGGCAGCCTTGAAGGGGATGCGGTCCATGGAACGGCCCTGGCTGTTCCAGGCATTGCGGAAACGAACATGGGCCTAAAAACAAAAAAAGCATTGAGGGTTAGCACACAGATTCGTCCAGGCCACGGAGGGCAGAAGGACCAGAGGCGAAAGCACATACCAAGCAGATGGAACCCCAGGTGAAGAGGGCAGCAAGGCCGGACAAGGCCAGGAGCCAATCAAAGACGACGCTGCCATGAGCCGCCAGCACCACATAGGCCAGAGCACCCCAGATAAGCAGGAAGACAACGGAGGCGAGAGGGCGACCCGACTTGTCAACATAGGTGAAGATCTGGGGGGCGTAGCCCTGTTTGGCGAGGGCGGAAAGGGTGCGAGAGCCGCCGTAGACGCACGAGACGCCGATGGAGACGACAGAGATGCAAATGACAACGTTCATGAACGAGTCATAGCCGTACAGGCCGGCATCCAGAGCAGCCAGGACGAAGGGCGAAGTACCCTCAGCGTACGGGTTCCGGGCATTCAGCAGACGAGGGTCCCGAGAGCTGACAAGCAGGCCGACGAGACTGAGACCGATGAGGTAGAAGAGGGTGATACGCCAGAAGACCTGCTTGATAGCACCGGGCAGGGCACGCGCGGGGTTTGCCGACTCGGCAGCGGCAAGACCGACAAGCTCGGAACCGGCGTACGAGAAAGCTGCCGTGACGAAGACGGAGCAGAAGCCACGGAAGCCGTTCTGGAACGCGCCAGGGGTATGCCACAGCCGACTTCCCCAGTATTCGTCGTACTTACCGCCGGCGGGACCACCACCGCAGATAAGAACAATGGCGACAATCATGAAGATGACAATGGCTGCGAGCTTGAAGACAGAGCTCATGAACTCCTCCTCAGCATAGCCCAGTGTACCGAAGATATTGACAACAATGATGACGACCCAGAAGAACGTAATCCATACGGCCGGACTGACATCTCTGCGCCAATACTCGACGGTGAAAGAGCAGACAGTCAATTCAAGCGGTAGAACGATGAGCCATTGGAAAACCTAGTGGGTGGCGTAGACAAATGGTCAGCAAACACATCCATGTCCGGCGTGAGGGAAAACACAGTTTTCCGGATGAACCAAAGTAAGACTTACATAGTTCCAACCCATTGCGAAGCCCCAGGAAGGATCGATGAAGCGGACCGAGTACGTGTAGAAGCCACCAGAGACGGGATACATAACAGCGAGTTCACCAAGGGCATGAACGACGTTGAAGATCATCACACCAGCGATGGAGAAACAGATGAGGATAGAGCCGGGACCGCCACGAGTGAGGGCGGAGCCGGAGCCGACGAAGAAACCAGCACCGATGGAGCCACCGATGGCGATCATGTGCAAGTGGCGCGTCTTCATGGAACGATCAAGTTCGATATCGCCAGTGCCCCAGTCACCTAAAATAGAACGGCAAAAATGTCAGCGAGACTAAGACCTTTTCCAGGGCTCACTGACGCTCCGAAACACGCGTTGCCATCGCCGGCGGAGAGAAAAATCGGTGAGGTTTGATGGAAGATATCCGCCCCATGATGTCCGATCCGTGAAATGAAGCTGGTCTTCGGAAGAGGGAGGACTTACGCTTGGTGAAGGACCGCAAGTTCAGACCGTTACGGGTCCAGAAGTCCAGCTCACGGAAGTCGTGCGGAATGTTGCCGTCGCCGGGCTGAGGGCGATCCTGGATGGCCTTCTCATCGCCCTCGAGAGGAGGCGTGGCCGAGGCCACGCCGAGTTCGGCGTCCTCCTTGGACATTGGTGTTTGCGGCCTGTCGCAGCCGATGTTGTCGGGATGTCAGGGAGGTTAACTCGGTAGACAAGGCGCGTCAAGGATAGACAGACTGGATCTGGATTAGGGACCACGAGGAAGAGAAAGGAGAAGAGGACAGTAGCCGGTGGGATGAGCGGTCTTTTATGAATGGGAATCGAGGGAAAGGAGCAAGGAGCAGGGGGTGTGGGGGGATCAGATGGCAAAGCAGCACCCACCAAGGGTTGAGGAAAGAGCAGGTGTGGTGTGGAGGTGGAGGGAGAAGGACCCAGGCGAGGCGTGTGAGTATAGGGGTATGGGGTGTATCCTACAACGTACATGTAGGTACAGTTCACGTGTAGGTACTTGGCGCATGGTGCCTGTAGTGTACTAGCGTCACAACAGGCAGGTTGTGCATTGGAGGGGTGTACGAAGTAATTTGGTCTAGGTCCGGTCAGAGGTACAGCTACCTCAGGTATGTCTGTGGCACACGTACCATGTGCTCTGTGCTACTTTTCAGCGAATCATAGGCCATGGCCGAGTCCGAAATCGAACTAGTGTAGATAGCATGGACATGGTTCCCGGATACCTTCCATGCATGGAAGGATTCCACTCCCCCTCCGGTATCACCTGGGGCTCTCCATTCCCATCACTTGAAGCCCTATCAGCTTTGAAGTCCGTACCTCGTCTATCGTCCAGTAGATAGGAGTACCCGACAGAACGCCTAAGGTAGTGTTCGTAGATCCGTGGCGAGTTGCGACAACGAAGATAGCTAGCGGCATCGAAAAGGAATTAGACTACCTTAGGTATGAAGAAAGAGTAAGTCAGTGTCTGCATATACACTCTAGGTATCTCGTTCTCGATTGCTTACTAAAGATACTTTAGCTATCTGCGCTTTGAAACTATTTCTGGGCATTGCCTGTTTAGTTTCTACACCGTACATACTTCGTACAACGTACTCCGTACTCCGGACGATCACGAATACCTGGAGGGTATGTGATGGATAAGCCAGTTGGGGACCGAGTATGAGAAGTCCCCTAATGCACGATAACGGGGAAAAGGCAGAAATGGGCAAGGCCGTCGTTGGTGGCGGAAGGAAGCGCTGAACCGGTGCAACCTCCCACCCCAAACGCGGCAGGAGCTTTCGCATGTCTAGGTCTGAACATCCCGCGATTGGCTGTGCGCAAGGTGCCGAGACCGGTTTACACTGTACCGGGAGCGGGTGGGCCCTCATGCCAAGGCGCCAACTGCATACAAGTCCTACCTATGATAGTCGTCGACCCACTTATATAAGAAGAGCGATTATGTACAATGTAGGGAGGCAAATAAAGTACCGTACCGTAACAAAGAGGCAGGGCAGTTAAAGACGTCCAGGTACATTGTACAAAGTAGTATTTTTACCCTTGGACAACCCCGGTCAATACCTATGTACGACCGCCAAGGCGCCTACCATCGACTCGATAGGGAAGGTCGAATGTCGGTCGAAATTGACGGGAGGTGTGGACGGTGTCACCAATAAGCTTCCCAGCTCCCTGTTTTCGGCAGCTGCTCGTGTCGACATCGACACAAGACAATCAATCATCACTTGAAAGTAGCCGGGGTACTACCGGGGAAGGGGGGGCCCGTATTTACCAAGTACCAAGTACCAAAGTACCAATCCGAGTGACGGTGGTCGCGCCCGACCCGACTTTACGAATTCCATAATTACATCAGGCCTCGTCCCCCTTTTCGAGTCTACAAACGGAGGCACCAACGGGTAGAAACTCCAAAAACGTCTTGTGCTGTTCTCCCCTCTGCATAACAATGGAGCCGCTTATATATTTCCGTACTTTGCTCGGTATGAGGAGACGTTATCACCGGCTATGCCTCCCATTTGCCAAGGGAACAACCGGTATGCGCTGCGGGTTTGCTATTTGCTTTCTGATTGATGACTTGGCCTAGTTGTCGCATCAGCTGTTTTCCTCGGTGATTCAGCGATTCGACACAAGATAATTCTCACGACGGGATATTACGATGCCTGCCTCCAGGAGGACGGAAACCGTCCCATCCCAGTGAACCGCGAAGAGGGGGGGAGGGCGACGCGCCGCAACGCTACGCCGTAATTAACACATATTACACTATGATCTCGCGCCGTTTTTCCTCCACTTCTCCAGGTTCGAAGTTCCCCGAAGGACGAGCGTTGGCGAACCGTCACGCCACAGCCGTCGCGCCTTCGCCGAAGGGTGGCTTGTCGTGGCGTCCACTGATAATAGGTGTATCATGAGTTGAAAATCAGCTGGTTGCCCTACCTACCTTGCCGCTTACAGAAGTACAACGTGCGTTGTATGCGCAGATACTTACCACTTCCCGTCGCCAATGTCTCAAAGCATTGGTCGATGTTGGACTCTCGCCCGACGGACCGATAGTTTCCGGCCGCACGCGATTGTGGGCCCTGGCTGTACTCCGTCCCCTGAGACCCTACCCCTACATTCCACAACGCAACCAGCCTCATGGTTCTGCTTGTGGTCTTGGAAATGCTTGTTTGGATTCACGTGCTCTGGGCTGTTTGCGACCCTCAGTCCTCGCCTTGATCAACTTCTGTTTTCAATAGAGGAGGCGTAACGATATCGTCCAGGACCGGCTTGGTTCCTATTGAACTTCAGTATTACTGAGTACACTCGGCCGCCTCGGTCATGGAACGACTCGTCGGCGCCGGTTGTTCAACGGGCAAAGACACAGTTCCTATTAGAGCGAGAACCCTCACTCCTCAGTGACTCAATCTGAATAGTGAGCGAATACCCCAGTGGTGTCGTCGGGTTAGAGTTACGTGATTTTAACATCACCTACCATATATCCGGGTCGTCACGAGCTCGCCACCTCCTGTAAATGAGCCTTCTGCTGCCACTTACTAGCACTACAGAGTAACATGGCGCGGTGGATCCCACGGGGGACAGACAGCTAAGGCCGGGTGGTCACGCGAGTAATAACAAGGTCAAGGGACGCTATTTTGACGCTTTGAAATACACTACTTACGCAGCTGAGCTGTCAAGAGTTGATTGTCAGGAGCAAAGCACCATCGCAATGGGAGAAGCTAGGTACAATCAAGAAGGTCGAGGACAAGAGACTGTACACATCTGTCTGCAAGGCAGCACGCGGCACCGGATGCAAGATGCCGCACAGCACGCATGACTGGGCCTTTTGGATGTAGGGACTCAGGGAACAGGTAGCAAGGGTCAAGGGGGGGCGCGGTGGGAGTTTCCGTGCATAGCTAGGCAGGTTGGTCCCTTGGGCCTTGCTTGGCCTTTGGCTTCAATTTTCTTTTGTCTGGCGAGAGAGTCGGCGACCTACGGTCCTACCGAGGGCCTCGAGTCTCGACCGCCACACCGACGAATCTATGATGGTTCCTGCCTCGTCCATTGCACTGGAACCTAAGCTGCGACCACATAGCTGTTGGATCTTCCCGACATTATTGCGTGCTCGAGGACAAGGCGTTCTTTATCTCGATAAGCTGCCGCACTCACGAGCCAACGTAGTGCTTCTTCGTACGTTTCGGCCCAACAGCTTTGGCAGACCGCAAACTATGTCCGGTAGGCCCACCGACCACCGTCCAACGTCCGGTCTCCTGCCTCTTGCCGACAAGTCCACTGACTGACAGGAAGCGCCGGCGGTTGGGGCGGTACGACGGCTCGCCGTGGCTCGGGGCCACCGGGACCAACTTTGGGATCTCGGCCATTGGATTCGTTCGTAGTACGTGTTGTTTTTGGGTCTTGGTGGGGTCGAAATATCAGCTTATCAGCGCACTGTGTATGCTACGGGGAACCGAGGTAGGGTTACAGGGCGATCGTTCTGGGACGGGGGTTTATCTTAAATCTCGCCCACTCCGCTACACTTTAGATTAGGTTGTGTCTTTGGGTGGCTACGGTATCTCCGATAACGTGATAGGCCGGCTTGAGATATCATGGTTCGGACAAAACTGGCTCCAACGACCCGTGGGTTCGGGTTAAGTAGGGGGCGAATGTTTGACCTCTGGACCGATCGGGATCGAGGGTTAACCGTGGTCGAGCCATGGTTTGGCACCTTACTTCCAACAAGACAGTGCACGGGAGTGCTTCTGTCCTGTCCACACGGAGCCTACATACAATAGGTAAGGTATGTATAAGCACTAGGCGATTGGTTGAAAGGATGGGACGTACCTAATACGGTTAGATATGGTAATCGGGATCCCCGTTGTAACTTTTCCCCAGACCTTCTATAGTATGCTGACGCTTCCAGAACAATTCCACCGAAGCTAATAAACAAGGAGCCGGCGTCCAAGGCCTTATGCGGGCTCGCGATGCCAGTGGTCGAACGTAATAAACGCATTATGTACTTGTCTTCGAGTTACCTTAATATCTATCTTGGGACGATTTGACAGACGTAAACCGGCGTCCTGGCATGGTCGGCTCCGTCGAGCTCCAACCCAATCCCCTGGGTGTCCATGACTCCATTGCACACAGCCCAACCCGGAGAACGAGCTTGATAAATCTTGGCAGGCGAACAACATGAAGGGTTCTGCGGCTGGAAGCGGGACAGAGCAGATAGGTACGCATCTTCCTCTGCTACCACACACCGCATGGTCTCGGCATCTCGACTTGTTGTTGATTGGAAAACGAGGTCAGTCGGCACTACCACCACCACCACCACCACCACCAACACACAACCGCCCCCAGCCTGTAATGTAATCTTATCGCATTCTCGTAATTTGCCTGCTTACATGCGATGGAATACATACCCAGACGCGATAAGGATTCTGTTCCACACCAGTGGTACAAGATGAAGAGGGTTTCGCAAATGGCTTATTACAACGTAGAGAGCGAAGAAAAGAAGGGTGCGCTGGGAGACTGGAGTTTCCGCGTCCCAAATGTCTAATTTGCTCTTTTCTCGACAGGAATAAGCCGTGACGCCTGCTCACTACCAGGTAATTACATGATCCTCTCCAGTTAGAAGCCAACTGGACGGGGCGTCGAGGGGTCCCGAATGGTCATGCTTCGTCCTTCGTCCGTCGTACCTGTGCTCTTGGCGTCGCCTCATCGCTTTTACGTGAACTTCGTACGTTGTAAGTACATGTACTTCTGCATGTGGGACCCATTCTTATCGCACCCCCCCTCCCTGCGCCCCCCTGCCCCTCGCCCCCCACCGCCCCGCTTTCGGCATTTCACCTTCCTGATCAGGCAAGAAGCTACGCTCCCATCACTCATGACCCTGATTAGGAATTTATGAAGGCTCCTCGCTGAAATGCCTTCTTACGCAGGACCTTCCCGATCCTCAATTGCACAGACCATTGCCCTGGGAAAGTCGTACTTTATACGGTAACCTACCTCCTCATGCGAATCATACCTAATGCCATGTTAAACAATGAGATGGCGGTAAGGCCGCTGGAGTCGGCAGCCTCAAGTTTCAACACCAATCGTGAGACGTGACGATCCGGTCGTCACGGAGCTCTCGCCGCTTTAATCTCACGAACCGTCACTGCCCACTCTCTCAGTCGCCATTTCTCCAGAAGTATTACTTACCAAGCTAGGTATGCACCTGTGAGGCACTGGCACGCTGACAGCTGCGAACGGCATGACAAACGACTCCAGGCCATGAGATCGACACCACCCACGAAGCCATTACGGCGCGTGGCCTCCCAACGGCCGCCGTATCGAGAGATGAAGGACCCTGAAGCTGACGCGCCACCGAAAATAGCAGATGTCTGTCGAAACGGTGGGCACACGAAGCAGCGGCGACCGCGCGCAGCCATCACCTACCAGGCAGTTGAACTCGTGCGGCGTGCCCCCCCCCCCCCCCTCCCCCCCCCCCTAGATGTCCTGGTCCGCGCCAATGCGACAAATTCCGAGAGACGATCGGTGTAACAGTTGAGAAACCGTAGGGCGTATGTTAGAAACAGTAGCACCAAAGTTGGCGCTCCGTTGCTAGCTCACCCTCAAAACCCCCATGCTGTTCGAAAACCGTGTCGACAACCCTCAGCCAACGCCGCTTCAGCTTCGTGATATAAATGGGCGTTGGTGTAATCCCGGTCTTCCGGATACCGCCTCGCGTTCTCCCAGTCAACGATCTCTGCCGTCCTGTATCAGGACACGTTCCGCATGTTCCAATCCCCATGGGCAAAAACGGTCGTGTGGCCGGCGCGGTGAGATACGTCAGGCAGCGCGCCCACGCAAAGGGTCTCGTTGAGCTGTTCCTTGTTCGCGAACGCAAAGTCGCTGGACTTTTGAGCTGCGGGATGGTCCATCTACCCATGCATGACATGACCCCGAAACACCAAGCAACGATGCATCTGTATGCGAAAGTCGGCCGGTAGCAAGCACCAAGCCTTCGCCAAAGCCATGGTGGCATGCTTCGGGAAGAGGCGCCGCGGTGCAGAGAATGGCGGGCTGGTGACTGGCTGCTGTGTCGGTTTTCTCGCAATCTCCCGAGCGACGAGACTCCATCGAAAAGGTGTGGCAAAACGCGTCAGAACTTGCAACGAAGATATCAATACATGGCGTGACCATATTGGGAGCAGAGCAGAGTGGTCTTTGTAACGGCCATGCCGAGGCACTGGCGTCTTGTCCAGAATACAAGGCAATGTTCCGATGTTGACCGCAGCAACGTCATAGATGTAAGCGAGAATCATTCGAGCGTGTGCCTTGAGTACGAGGGATAATTATGCGCGTCTGCAAAAGAGAGGAACAAAGAAAAGGGAACAAAAAAAAAAAAAAGAAAGAAAAAAAGAAAGAAAGAAAGAAACAGACACTTACATTGGACCGTTTGCCGAAGGTGAACTCGAAAAAGCCTCGCGAGAATGCCTTTGCCCCGGCTTTCCGGACTAGCCAATGGATCATGGAATGAGTCGCCCAGACGGGTAATGCAACACTTTCTAGCGTGTCTTCTTGCGATATCAGCGGCGAAGACTCTGTCGGGATGTTGGTGAAAGGGAGGCTCGTAGGTCACTCCTGTTTATTAGTACAGCGCTCTCCTGTCAATACTATGTTCCAGGAAACATGCAAGCCGCAATCAACTGTGTCCAATCCGATACTAGACGCGTAAAATCGAGGTCGCCTCTTTCAACGGAGGATCACCTCTGAAGGATGTCTCGAGCAACTAGCCCGGGTTCCAACTTCCAAGGAGTCGTGCAGGGGGCGGCATGCTAGCAGTTGATGGTCAGGATGCCGGGGATCAGCGCTTTGAATGACTGCAATGACATGCTCAACGTCCTGTGGTTCGCGGTGTGACGTGTCTGCCGTCTCGTTGGCATGCCGGAGCGAAAACACAGCCATGTCGAAGTTAATGCCTACGGTCTACCTTGGACAGGTGGGAACATTACACGAGGGGAGCGGATTGACCTTCACGGCGAATCCTCCATCTTATCCGTAGATACCCGGGCGTCAAGGCTCGGGTTGTTAACCCTATCCCAGAGAGGCGAGTCGACGCCGACGCCAGGACCTGATAAAGCACGGTGATATGGTCGGAGCTGCCCCAATCCCACTCGCTGGCCGGTCACCTGACCTTCCAGTCAGACTACCATATCGTCGTCTTTATCATACCTAATTCTTATCGTGTATCCTCGTCCTCTCCTCTTCCCCGGCCGGGCTCCGGCTCCGCACCTCTGTCAAAGGTAAGGTACACTAGAGACGCTATTCGAATATTCGACTAATATCCCATTGGAGCATGAGAATGCCGTAATCGGGAAGGTCTTTCCTTTCGTTGTCAAAGTTATTCCGATATACTGGCTCGAGGGACCTTAAGGTAGCTTACCTTTACCTTACCAACACACGGCGTGTTTTGGGTTTCTATTTTACGAACCTGAGTGCTTCCTGTCCTTATCGGGTTTCTTATCTTTACCAATCTCGATGGTGCAAATCCATCACCCACCCTGCAGCTTCAATTTCCCGTGTCACAGGATTCATTTCCGCTCGCCGTCGCAGAGGTTCCAATCTAAACAAAGTCCCTTGACCGATTTTTTTCCTGGTTTTCGGACCTGGTCTTGTTTCTGTAATGTGGCAGTTTTCCTCTTCCTTCTTTCACTGGCCTCGCTGCTCCAGTTTCCTTCATACACACTTGCAGTTCAGTGCTGCGAACAGCTCAGCTCAGCTCATGGCAATGATGGCATGCTCACTCGCGACGTTTGGAGTCGTCCCCTGTCCAGCTTGGAGTCACGGAGACGGCGGTTTGGAAATGCGACACCTGCGTCCGAGGACCGCTTGAGTTCTCTTTCTTCTACAGATAGACGCGATGACCCAGCTTGAACTTGGGGTCTGCAGGAACATCTTCCGCTTCCAAGCTTTTCGCCATCTTGGCCAGGGGTCACCTTCCTCGAGTTTGTGGACAGGTCGATACAGGATTGTCCTTCGATCGTCTGTAGTTTTCAAAGGTTGACCACAATGAAACGAGGGCCTTTCAGTGAATACAGTGAATAAATGCATCAAAATGTAGTATTATCCTGTCCTCAGACAGTTCGCAGCTCACACTATTAACAGCCGCCTAGGTAGCTTCAGTAGGACACAGTCAGCGATTAACAACAACCGATCCGGATAGAATTTGCCAGGCAATCAAGGTCTCCTTTTCACATTGCCCCCCCCCTATTTTTGTAATCCGGTACAAATGTCGAGCTCTCGGTATTATTATGCCCAGCTTACATATTGATGAAGGCGACCAGGCCTGCCCCGAACAGGGCAGAGCCAGCCACGGCCGCGGAAACCAGCGATGCCGCCGCGTTGCCCTCGCCCTCGCCGTCGCCATCCCGGCCTTCCGCGTCACGACCCTCGCCCGTAGCGACGGGGGCAGTGGACGTGGGGGTTTCAACGCCCGAAGTGAAGGGGATAGCACCGCCCTCGACGGTAGAGGCTCCGGTGAAGGCGGGGGCCTGGGTGGTAGCCGTGGTATCGGGAGTAGCGGTCGGGTTGTCGGGATTGAGGGCACTTTAGTCGCAGAGTCAGCGAGCAGGAACCACGGGGAGGAGGTGAATATTGGAAAGAGGCGAGGAGGAAGCGAGAAAGAATGGCAAAAGGGGGATCGCGAAGAAAAAGAAAAGGCAGGACAGAACTCACCCGTTAACGACATGGACAACACCATTCTTGATCAAGACATCAGGCTGGATAACCTTGGCTTGGTTGACAAAAACGGACCCGTCAGTGTCGGTCCGAACGGTAAAGTTCCCGCCGTTCAAAGCCTGCACCGTCGAATTGCGGAGGGTGTTGCTGTAGAGGACCTGGCCGGGGACCACGTGGTAGCTCAGGATATTGCCCAGCTGCTGCTCGGTCAGATTGCCGGCGAGGGAAGCGATGGCCGCAAAGGCCTCGTTGCTGGGGACGAAGATGGTGATGTCGCGCATCCTGTTGACCTCGTCGGCCAGGCCGGCGCGCTCAATGGCGCCCAGGGCGGCGGTCAGGTTGGCGGCGCGGAGCGTCTCGGTGGCGTTGGGCGGCATGGTGAGCACGCTGTCGATGACGTGCACGGTGCCGCCGGTGTAGTTGAGCGAGCGGCGGTCGGTGAGCTTGGCGGACTCCTTGAGCCCGGAGATGAAGGTCACGTCTTGCCCGTCCGAGCTGGGCACGGACGCGACGCGCTGGCCGCCGGTGACGTTGGCGTAGGTCTCGTTGGTGAGATGGGTTGCGAGGAATTGTATGCCCTCGCTGCCGCTGGTGAGGTTCGATGCGTAGTGCGTGCCGTTGAGGACGTGGTACTGGAGCAGGGCAGCCACGAGGCCGGGATCGAGCTGGGTTGCGTTGTTGGGGCTGGTCACGTTCTGGGACGCGAGGAAGCGCGAGAAGGCGTCGTTGTTCGGGGCTAGAATGGTGACGTCCCTGGCTTGACTGAGAGACGAGCGAACATTGTCGGGGAGCAAGGCCAGAACGCCTAGATCACGAGGGGACAGGCAGTTAGCTCAACATGCAAGGAGGATGTGATATATCCGGAGATGTTGACGGCTCGGTTGTACGCACTGCTCAAGGTTCCCAGAGTTTCATTCTCTGACCTCAGGAGATCCTCGAGGCTGCGTGTATTATCAGACCCCTGGCTGAACACGCCGCTGGCAAGAGCCAGGGGTATAAGGAGCTTCTTCAACTGCGTCATGACGGGGTGTGAGGGAGTGGTGAGGCGAGGACGATGCCGAGCACATAAGAATGGCCCTGGGTTTTTTGGTTTTTTTTTACCGACGAGAGAATATACGACGAGAGAATATACGACGAGAGAATATAAGACGAGATCTGGCGAGAGTACTCGAGACGATGAAAGTTTTTGGTTCCAGAGGAGAGCGCTTGGGGGGGATTTTAAGCATGTCCCAAGCATAGCAATGCGATTTAGTGCCTCTCGCGTCCCGGTGCCGTCGTCCCAATTCAGACTGGCAACACCACTCTAGAGCTATGCATGACGGAAAGCGTTGCTTTGGGGGGGAGGAAGTGCTTCCGGGGTAGTCAGGACGACAAAGCAACGACTAAGCATGACCTTCGTGCGAACAGACGGTGACGGTGACCATGGACCGAACCATGGACCCGAAAGCCAAGCGAGGTGGGCGAGGAGATCCAAAATCAAGTTGCCCGAGCGTCATGAACCCGCATTCCTAGCGGCAAGAAGCATGTAGAGACATTGTTGTTGTTGTCTGGGGTTCCGAGTCATACAATGCTGGGGCCAAAGGATGGTCAAGCCATTGGCTTAAGGTTCGCGATCGCCAAGTCGATCCGGGGGGCTTAATTGTCACCGGCGATCGAACGGTTGATGCAGTGGACCCTATCAGGACTCCCAGGACTCCCGGGGCTATGCTGTCTAGGGAACTAAACATTCCCTTCTGGGCTTTCTGTCTCGAAGTGGCACGGTGCCATGGACGGACGACCAAGCACTGCTGCGCTGCGAGGGATGGTCTGGCCATGTGCCCATTGGATGACTGGAAAGATGGAGGCTCGAAGTCGAGGTTTAGCTGCTGAGTTGTGTATTGCGTGTTACGCTGTTGGAATTGTCGGGGCCATAAATCATTTGGCCCATATTCGGAGAAGCAGAGAGCAGCATGGTGAATTCGTGATCCTTGAAGGCGACCGTCGTTTATTAGCACCGTTGTTCCGATCGTTGGGATTAGGGAGAGGGTAGTTGAGGGTAGCAATTGAGACACCTACAGGTGGGACACAGACACACGAGAAGCGCAACGTCCTTGCAGGTCGTTTGCGTTGGTGCGGGTTTTCCATGTGACTGACCCTCATGGTTGTGAAGTCAATGTCGTCATTTTGAAAAAATTAATAATACCGTGTAAGTTACGGAAAGTAGCATGACGCGGCCAGGGACCGGACAGAGAGCTTCCGGCCCACTTAAAAAAAAAAAAGGACAAAAAAAAAGAAAAAAGAAGAAGAAAAAAAGGGGGGAAAAGGAAAAAAAAAAAAAAAAAGGGGGGGATGAGAAATGAAACTAAAGCCTCGTAATCACGCACATCACAATACCGGTCCACCCTGAAGCTGGCACAAGTCGTGGTCAAGCCGTAGTATTCGTATTCTACAGAGCAACTGAGAAAATGCGATCAGATTATATATATCCCATCCACGAACTGAAATGAAGAACTTTTTCCTCGAAGCCCGTGCAGGTCTCGCTTCTCTCTCCGCGATGGGAGTGACAGACTGAATACTTCATGGACCTCAACGTCCATTCGCATCAATGTCCCGTCACTTCGATATGTTGGACTTGCCAAGACAGGCCGACCTTGGAGTTGATTGAGAGGGAGCTGGTTTGCCCAATACCCAACAAAGCACAAAGCATCGATCCAGTCCGACCGAGGTCAGGAAAAGGGAAAAGGGAAAAGGGAAAAGGGAAAAGGGAAAAGGGAAAAGGGAAAAGGGGTATCATCATAGTGAGACTATCTAAACCAACCAACATAAATCTGTATCCCGGGCGCCGTGATAGTTGTCTGTTTTGTCCCTTTCCTTCCTAAACGTGTTCGACATGGAGTAACACAGCTCGCTCTTATCCTGCGCAGAACTGGGTGCGCTCCTCTCTATCTCTCCCCTTTCCTCTCCTCACTGCCCCAGCGCCCCCCCAAAAACGTCATCCGCCGCCGACGGGCCAGTCACCTTTCTCCTCTTGGGCTCGTTTGGTCCGATAGGCTCGCCTAGCGCCAACCCGGCGTTGGTCTTCTTCCGATCTTGCCCAGCCTCCTTCTCCTTGGACGCGTTGGCCGCCCATTCCCGCCGTGCCCTCTGGAGCTCCACCAAGTCTGCCTTATCAGGGTCTCGGCACCTCCTGAGCTTCTTCAGGAGTGGGCGGATGAGCTTCAGGGACTCGGCCTGTCATATCGCAAAATCAGCTTCGGTTTCCCTCGACGTGCTCCAGCTGTGCCCCGTGAGGTCTTACCTTGCCCCAGTACGTCTCCATCCTCTCTGGCGGTTCCGTCGCGAGCATATCTCTACACGCCTCGATCGCCGCCGTGACCTTCTCCTTGATTTCGCTCGACGTGGGATGCATCATCTCTGTTGCGGTCGCGTCCGCGTTCCTCCCCGCCTCCTCCCTCCGTGTCGGCGCGAACGCGCTGTTGATTATCCTCTCTGCCAACCCCCGGTCGGCCAGCGACAAGGCCGCCAGCATGATCTGGCTCGGCGCGTAGTGGAAGTATGCGTCGGTAAGAAGAGGGCTGACTTTGAGGATCTCGCGGGCTTGTTGGTGTGCTGCGTCGATTCGCGGTTTCTGTGCCCCGCCCCGCCCCCGGGCGCGCATCATGTTAGCGTCTGTCGCGTCTATAGATCACATGAAAAGAAATGCTCGAGAACTGACATCAATATCTTCCTGTCGCCTCAACTCCAATATTGCACCTTCCAACCCGCGAAACGGATGCCGAACGTCGAAAGCAAAGCGAATCCCCTGGCAAAGGAGGAACTCCCCGGCTAGTATTTTCTCCTCTGTGGTATCCGAAAGCTTCTCTGCCAGTCTGGTGCAACCAAGTTAAACCCCCACAATCGTTAGCTTCCCTTTACCCTTCCGCAATCCCAGGCAAAAGACAAAAACTGGGCGCAAGACAGACGTACTTGGACAACTTGGCAAAGTACCCCTCCGCCTTGCCCCCAAAGAAGAGGCACGTCTTGATCAGGTCCATGGGCGGGTACGTCATGAGCGAATTGGTCACGTAGAATCGCTTCAGGAACACGGCCGCCGTGGCGCGTATCTCGGTCGGCAGGTCGCAGTGGATGGCGGCCCGGATGAGCTCGGTGGTGAAGAAGCGAAGGAGGACCGTCTCCTCCTCGGCCGTGAGGAACTCGGGCGCCGGCTCCGTCGGTTTGAGCTCGGCCAGCCGTGCCGTGATGTGTGGTCTTACCAGCGCGTTCGTCTTCTCCCGGAGGTCCCTCAGCTTGGCGGGGGAGAAGGACCAGAGCCGGTACTGGCTCGACAATCGGTATCGGGCGTCTTCGGTGGCCATGACGGGGGTAGGGGGGATCGAGGGGGGTCGAGTTTGAAGTCGGTCAGACGATCCTGTTAAAGAAATCGGAAAGTGGCGCTAATGGCCCTTCGCAGAAGGAAGGAGGCGCGTGGAGATTGTTCTCGAGATAGCGAACGCCAGGAGGGTTGAGTTGATCGAACCAAGGAACAAGGGAAGCGTGGAAGGGTCTTGGCAGCTGTTGCGACCGTTTCTTGCCAGGGTAGCTTCAGCCACATAGTGTCACGTGAATATTAAGCCACGTGATGTCAAGCCACACACGATGCTCGTCAAAGTAGGGTACTTCGCATCTTATCCTTCTCTCTCACTCTCACACTCACATCTCACAGAGTCACATCTCACAGAGTCACATCTCACCGAGTCACATCTCACCGAGTCACATTTCACCGAGTCACATCTCACAGACTCACAGTCCTCAGTGCCTCCCAGACCGCAATCCTTTTGCCAACGTCTTAAACTAACGGAGATGCAGAGACAAGATGAAGAGTAGCAACCGTGCTGTCGTCTAAAGTGAGGTTCTTGTAAGATGGATGGATCATGGGCCCATTCAGAGGGTCCTGGAACACAACACGGGAAGACATTCCAAGTCCTAACTCGCTCAATGGAGAAGATTTTACCTAACTACTTATGCAGGGGCCGCTGAAAACCTCGTCTCCAATGGCCTGGCCCTTGACTCACCGTCTTCGTCTGTCCGTCCCTGTGAATCACTCCTCCAAAGTCTCAACTCCACTTCCCGATCCCGAGGTTAGGTATTTAAACATCGCCAGACCTCCGAGAATACATTGTGAGTGAACCCTACGTCTGTACTCTCATTCTCTTCTTCCGATCTGTAGCCCACCGGTCAGTCTTACACCGAATCGTCAAACACTCAACAACACCGTCTGACGCCTCCAGAACCCACCATGCACCTCCGACCCGACCACGCCGAGACGGACACCCCCACCCTGTGGAAGCTAATCCGTGATAACCCCCTGGGCATCTTCACCACCGCCATCCCCTCACCCTCCGGCTCCTTTCCCCTCGTCCAATCCACCCATATCCCCTTCATGCTGGACACCGACGACGACGACGACGACGACAACAACAGCAACAACAACAACAACAACAACAACAACAACAACAACAACAACAACAACAACAACAAACACGGTCCCTATGGCCGCCTAAGAGCCCACCTCGCCCGCCAAAACCCGCACAGCAAAGCCATAGTCGAGTCCCTCACAACCTCCACCTCACCCAGCCAGCAGACCACAGCCCACAACATCCTCGAGCAGGACGTCTCCGTCCTCTTCACCTCGCCCATCCACCACTACGTCACCCCCAAATTCTACACCGAGACCAAACCCGCCTCGGGCAGAGTCGTGCCGACGTGGAACTACGCCGCCGTGCAGGTCTACGGCAAGGCGAAAGTGTACTTCGATCCGCACGCCGACGAAACGGAAAAGTTCCTCGCGACGCAGATCGATGATCTGTCGCGCCAGTGCGAGATCTCCGTCATGGGCTACACGGGGCGCGGCGAGAGGCCTGGACCCTGGGAGGTCACGGATGCGCCGCCGCGGCATATCGAGCTGCTACAAAAAAACATTGTCGGCGTCCAGATCGAGATTAGCCGGCTGGAGGGCAAGTTCAAGATGAGCCAGGAGATGAGCAAGGGGGATAGGGATGGTGTCGTGAAAGGGTTCAAGGGGCTGGGCACGGAGGTTAGCGCGGCCATGTCGGATCTGGTCCAGACGCGCAGCGAGATGCATGAAGCGGCCAAGGCTCGGAGTAAGGTAGGTATAGAATAGAAGTACGGAGGGTACACGTCCCACTCGTCGGGGCCCAACGGAGGAAAAATACGTGCAAATAACCATTCAGATCTGACTGCGACTGCCATTACTTAATTCACGCAAGCTAAAATGTTCTCGACAGACACCAACACCATCTTGCCCGAGTCTCGTCTTTGCAGGTACCCAAATGGTAAAACAAGAATAGGTCTTAAATGGCCTATCTTCTCATCAACAGTCCACATCCAACTCCTTAAAACGTGTATCGGAAACCGGGTTGCGCATCCTCCTAACATTAGGGTCAGCATAACTTATTCTTAAGCAAAACGAGACAGAAAAAAGGGATCAAACTCACATCAGCACCCTCGAGCTCCTTCTCGCCCCTGTCAGCCTTCCGGTTCTGGAAGTAGAAATCAACGCTCAACAAGCCGACGAGGACGACGGTCAGCAGCGAGGCGGCGATGCAGGCGTACATGCCCGGGCGGTAGTGGGGGATGTCCTGGTTGCGGAAGACCAAGCTGCCGGCAATACCGCCGATGCCGCCAAAGCTGACGAGGGTGGCGCTGCAGAAGGCGCGCTTCCACTGGCCGCGGATGTTGTTGGCCTGGTAGGCCATGACGGCGGGGATGTTGGAGTTGGCGCCGGCGGTGACGAGGAAGACGCCAAAGTAGCGCACGTTGGCGGAGGGGTGGAAGCCCATGATGGGAAGGCCGATGAGGCAGAGCAGCACGTTGGCCACGATGACGGGTCCGCGCACGTGGAAGCGGTCGCCGCACCAGGCGCCGGCGAACATGACGATGCCGGCGAAGGCGTAGGGCGGGGCCACGAGGCACTGGGCCTCGGCGATGCTGAAGCCCATGTTCTCGCGCAGGATGATGGGCAGGAAGTAGGCCAGCGCGTACGACACGGTGGTGGTGTCGAAGAAGATGAGGGCGTAGGCCCAGATCTTCCAGTCGAGGCCGGCGGAGAAGAAGCGGCGCAGGTTGAAGGGCGGGGTGGCCACGTCGCCCCTGTCCCTGTTCACGCGGTCGACGACCCAGGCGCGCTCGCGGTCGCCGAGGAAGCGCCAGTCGCTCTTGCCGGCGTCGGGGAAGTCGACGAGCAGCCAGTAGCCGATCATGGCGATGAGGCAGGTGATGATGCCCTCCATGATGAAGATCCAGCGCCACCCGGAGAGGTTGGCGAGGCCGTTCATCTGCATGAGTCCGTAGGCGAGGATGCCGGCGAAGGCCGATGCGACGCATCCGAGGAGGTAGAAGACCGAGTACCGCTTTCCTACTTCGTAGCGGGTATACCACGTGCTAAGGAGATAAACGCAGCCGGGGAAGAATCCGGCCTCGAGGACGCCGAGCAAGGTTCTCATGACGGCAAGCTGGCCGTAGTCCTGGGCAAAGCCCATGCCTATCATGACGGCGCCCCAGAAGAGGCAGATGACCGACAGGTGGATACGGGGACCAATCTTGCGAATGATGACGGTAGAGGGAGGTTGGAAGATGATGTAGGGGATGAAGAAGATGAGGGAGACGATGTTCTGGAGGGTGACGAGTTAGCAGAGGGTGAGAGAGCGAGGGGAGGAGGGAGTCTCACGTATCGGTTTTCGATGAGCAAGTTCAGCTCAACGGTCATTCCGGCAATGGCAGCAGCAGACAGATTAGTACGGTCCATAAGAGAGACGCAGTACATGAGTCCCAGAATGACGACTAGACGGCGGTCGATGCGGTGGACGATTTGGCGCTGCTCACGAAGGGTGAAGCCATGATCGGGATCGTCGCCATCTGAGCCTGCGGGGCCTTTGGCGTCCAGCCTCTGGTCGGCTTTATCGTCGACATGTTCGAGGTCGTCCTTTTCGATGTCGCGATTCTTCTCCATGGTAGGCAACGACGGGAGCTGACTCTATATGTGTCTGTGTGTGTTGTTCTTCTTCTTCGTCTTCTTTGAGTTGTCCCGTTTGGTCCGACGATTGTCAAGTGAGGGGTATCAAAGTAAACGGAGTGGTCCGAATTCTGGGTGACAATTAAAGTTAGCCAGAGATAAGTCAATCGGGAGGGGACTAAAAAGATGGGAGGATCAAAGTTACACTGTGTCGACGGGTTGGGTGTGTTGGCCACGTGCCCTGGGGAAGATCTTCGTTGAATAAGAAGAGAAAGGAGAGAGAGGTTGAGGGCTCACGAGTCGAAGAAGAGACCGCCGTGGAACATGAAAAGCCGGACGTCTTGTCAAAGGATTCCAAGGGTTCCCTTTTGTATCCCGACGAAGGGTATTCAAACCACAGGGTCGGGAGCCAGGGCCCCTCTTTCTCTTCCCTCCTCTGTCTGACTTCCCCACACGTCATCCTGTTGTGGATGCATTATGTCCATCGACTCCATCCCGGAGGCTTCTGGATCGAGTCCTACCAACAGCCCCCCCCAAGCCGCAGCCGCAAAGAGAGGTGTGGATAGTATCACAACTGACCTGGGGGCATCCGGGGGGGCCCCCTCGTATCCACCTCCAAGCATCAAAGCATGGCAAGGAGGTGAGGAGATGAGGAGGTGAGGGTCAAGACTCCAGCTCGACGGGGTCAATCGGTTACGAGAACCAATCAACGATGTGGTAAACAAGATCAAAGTCAACCAGGCCGAGGCTCAAATGCTTGGCTCCATCTGGGGGTGACAGCAGAGCAGGGACAGAAGAGGGTGTTTTTGCGGGGGAGGTTTGCCTGCTTGTGTGTGTGGTGTGTGATGGGCGTCTGTGTGTGTGAGAGAGAGAGAGTGAGAGAGCTCTCCATTTCCCCACGAATGCTGTCGATCTAGGCCCCAGGTCCCGCAGTTGGTTAGGACGAAAGCGCAACGTCGATAGTCAGGAAATGAAAGAGACCCGGAGTAGGGATGAGATGTTTGAAGAAATTCGGTAGGGCAGTCTGTGTGGTCTGGGTGGCCCCTTCCTTGGAGAAAATTCTGGGGTAGGGACCGCCGTCGGTGGACTTCCCGCCCACGCTAAAAAGTGTTCCCCGGTTGCGACTGCGGGGTAAGCGTGGATTTGAGTGGTGGGCAAAGTACTCTGTACTTGCACCATTGGGGAGAGACGGCAGAGGGGAGACGAACCCGATACTCCTGGACAATACAATCACTTTGCTCCTGCCCTCGACAGTGTAAACTTGCGTCTTCCCCATATGGATGCAGGTGAAAGCGGCAGTTACCCTCATTGGCTTACGAATTTACTCTCGGTACTTCTCACTACCCCGTGGTACGTCGATTCCTTCGGTGAAATTCCCGTTTCTGTACTAGACCTCGCGGCAGGTAATAAACCCATACACGTACACACTGCGCTAGCTACAACGTACATAGGCCATTGGACATTGGCATGGGTCTGCGTCTTGGCTGAGCGAAGGACTGGCATCTTTTGTTTCTTTGAACTCGAGGACTGTTGCATCTGCTGCATGGGATGTCGGCATGTGCTTCTTGGCCAGATCTGCTGCATGCTCTTCCCGTTTCTGCGTATTTCTTACTACGTACGTTGTACACCGTTGTTTTCCTTGGTTACTAGGTAAGGTGAGTTTTGTCTTCATAAACAAACTAAGGTACCTTACCTATACCTTATGGAATGGCCGTGTATCTCAGTGTCAGCCGGTCGATTCCCTTCATGCTCTCAAATTGAAGTCAGCATCAAGGTAAACCGACGTGACATCGGGAAGAACCTCCGTACTAAGCTCACCGCATCCATAGTTCATGTCCTCACTCCCATCGACCCTCAATAGACCAGGATGCTTCGCTCTCCAACACTTTGAATAGTAATCATCCAGCTCTAATCGCCGAGCCTCGGCATCTTCCCCTCTCCCGTCCCCTCAACGCAAGCCATAATAGCCCACATGCCCATCATTCCTCCAGTGAACGACCAGATACTCCTCGCAAGCCACCCGGGCCAAGCAACGCCACCACAGCGAGCGGCAGTATTACGTTGCAGGACCGTGACTTGAGTCTTGCCCAGCCCAAAGCCAAGTCGACTCTTTGCTGCCGCTCCTAAGTAAAAATACTCCGTAATAAAGACGAACCACAACTTCGCAAGCTGTTCTCAAAGCGGAAACTATCGCGGGATGCCTCGGCGAGTGCCGTTTGACAGAGGTCGACTCGACACACGCCTCAGACGACTGCCATACAACCAACGTAGGGTACATACCTATCCCCAAATTCCATCCCAGATGACCTGTTCCCTAGCCCAAACGAACCAACAAATCTCTTAATCTCTTCTCTCACCGAAACATTCCGAACCGGTGTCTCCCATTCAGGGATAGCGGGCCCGCAATGCTGATCTGGGGGTAAACCGAACAAACGTTCAAATCAACATCTACAGATACTTCGTAATATTATGTACAGCAACCGAACAACGTGGAACGTGCAACGGGCAAAGAGCCACGAGGACGACCCCTCACCGTACCACCTCCCTGGGAAGCATGCCATCGGAATATGTAGGACAGAGAATAAACCGATCCATCTTCCCATCTTCCCATCTTCCCATCTTCCCATCTTCCCATCTTCCCATCTTCCCATCTTCCCATCTTCCCATTAACCTACCTACTACTTACCCCTGAACACATCTCAGACATGCACATGTGCAACATTCCTCCCATTTCTCGTCCCTTAACCATCCTATATAGCTTCTCATCTCCCCTCACCTCAACCCAGGTACCCTCAACCACATCCTACCCGAGCACACACATCTCTAGTCCCAGCACCCCGGACCACGCCAACCCACCAACCCCAGCATGTTCCAGGGCTACGGGACGCCGCACAGGCGCAGAGCAAGCCCATGATCCATCACGCACTTTCCCACGCCACAAAAATCACCCCATTCCTTCGTCCCTTTGTCATTTCCCCAACGTCTGTGTTGCACCCCCCCGCACATGTCTCAAGTACGCCAGCCTCGGCTCAGCGAAACTGCCAGGAGTAATCACGATCGAGATCCTCGGTCCGTCAAGAGATTGCCTCAACTGTCACTGGAGGTCAAACCTACCATGATGAGTGAGCGAGCAACCAAGAGGCCTTTCCTATCTGTCATCATGATGGACATCACGGAGACTGAGACGCTGGGGAATCATAAATCGTTGAAGGGTTCCATTCCTGGTTGCTAAGACTGTCGTCGACAGGTCCATATCCCGCTTCCCAAACCAATCACTGCAGTCGAATTGCGGAGCTGCAAGAGACAACACCTAACAACCGGTACGCAGCAGTGAACTAACTACTTTGATTATCCATGGGGACTCGCAGACGAGAGCCGCAAGCAAAACCCCCGAGTCGAAAACTGGTCTATGAGATGTAATGCACATGAAACAACCGCTTGGACAACGGACCACCCAAGGCTTCATCAAACAGCAAACAACGACTGCACGCTACATGTTACAGGAAAAAGTCTTTTGTGTCATTGTGGGCTACCCAAGCTGGATAATACCCAACGCTCAGAGGGCTATGCTACTACAACAACGCATACTAAAAAGACGAAACGAGAAGAATGCGATCCGAACCCAAATGAGAAGAGTACCATAGCATGTTCAGCCCAGCCTAGGCCAAAGAAAACGCAAAATGGATCGAAACGACTATGCCGCAACCGTTTGTCTTTGATGATGCTATACTAAGAAAGGACAAGGACACTTTGAATGTCGGGATACAGACACAATGAAGGAAGATGTTCTTGGGAGAAATATTGAGGAACAATTCCTTGACCGACTATGCTTCAAACACCTCTTTATAGCACGACCATGGCGGCACCGACACCACCGGCCACAACGAGGTAGAGGCCGACAGCATAGTCACCGAGGGTGAAGGCCATATCCAGGCGCTTCGAGACGAGGCCGAAGTTCTCATCGTCATCATCCTCATCATCGTCGCCGGCGCTACCGGAAGAAGCCGGGGCCTGGGTGGCAGTGGCGGCATACTCGTTCTGGGAGCTGGCGGAAGCCAGGCCGCTAGAGCAGGTGCTGTCAGCTCCAGGGGCCGAGCGGACGACGCCGAGGCCTTCGTGGTCGCAAGCGTCGCTGGCCTCGTCCAAGTTATGGTAGTACTCGTTCATGACGAAGGCGACCTTCTGCCTGTCGTCGCACATGCTGTAGGCGCCATAGACACCCGTCTCGGTGTTGGTGGTGATGCCGGCGCAAGCGGCGGGGTCTTCGCTGCAGATGAAATCGAAGATGGCTTGCATCTCGCGCGGCCTGATGTTCGACTCGGGGACGCAGCTCAGAGTGCTGACCATGCACTCGCAGAGGTCGTCGTCAGGAGTGGGAGGAAGAGCATCGCTGGTGACCCTCCAGTGCTCCTGGAGAGGCGGGCAGCTGGCGGGCGAGTTGGTAGGTTCGTAGTCATCAGCCAAGGTGGACGAAGGCGTGGCCGCAGCAACACGAGAGGAGTACACGTCGTAGTTCTCCATCGTCTCGGCATTACCGTTACGATCAATCTCGACAAGGCCTACGAGCGGGCAGAAAACGTCAGCAATTGTTGGAGGACGAACGAGACGAGCAACAACTACAAAGGCAGCACAGGGCGGCCCAGAAAACCCCACAACTTACCATAGTCATTCTCCTCCTGGAAGTACATGTAGACGATACCGCCGGAGAAAACCTCGCTCATGTCGTCAGAGTACAGGGCGGTGGTATCCTGGAACAGACGACCCTCGGCACCACCGGGCTCGTTGCATCCGTACTCGGCCAGGAAGACGGGGACGGAGTAATTGGAGTAGAAGGCGACCTGCTGATCGTAGCCAGAGCGCTGCAGGCTGCTCTGGCCGCACCACGAGTAGATGTTGTAGCCCCAGAAATCAATGGCGCTGTCCTGATCGCCGCAGTTGAAGTAGTGAGCACTGGGACCGCGAATATCAGGGTCATCATTGGCGGCGTAGCCGACGCCGAGCCAACGATCCTTGGTCTCACGGATGTAGGCCTTGGTGTCGCGGACGGCAGCCTTGACGAAGGCCGAGGCGGCGGTGTTGGTCTTGTTGTTGGAGACCTCGTTTCCGGCAAAAAAGCCAATGGTGTTGTCGTACTCGGCGAGGACGTCGATAACGTCCTTGTAGCGCTGGAAATGGTCGACGGTCCACTGAGGGCCATCGCGGTTGATGGACATGAGGGGCTCGCCCAGGTCGGCGACAACGTAGATGCCAGCATCCTGGAGGAGCTTCATGCAGTCGTCATGGTTCCTCTCGGGGTCGATGGAATAGACACGGATGGTATTGGTATGAGCACTGGCGAGAATGGGAACATCACGCTCGCACTTTTCCTTGTCGGCGAGAGGGTCGAGGTATCTACCCTCTTCGTTCTCACCGCCGGCACCAGCAGGGTCCTCCTGGTATGCAATGCCCTTCATGAAAAATTGTGTACCGTTTTCGTAGAAGAACTTGGATCCCTGCAAAGTCGTTTGTTAGCAAGGAGACGTTTGGGGGTTCGCGCCTGTGCCTCCTAGCAGCGGGCCAGATGAAAAGAAGAAAGAAAAAAATAGAGACAAATAGTTATTACGCACCTTGACGATGATGGGGTCAAGAGCAGCGACCTTGCTCGCCATGAGCAGGGCCGAAGCGACGGCCGCAAGCTTGGTCATTGCGTCGGTTGGTTTGGCGTCTTTTGATGAACAATTGAAAATGGGGGGAAAAGTATGACGAGATATTCGAATTCGACAAGACCGTTAGATGGAAAACGGAATGGGCGTGATACTGGTCTCAACGGTGGCTAGGATTAACGTTCCTGAAGATGTGAGATTGACGTGTTGATTCGGGGGTTGCAAAAAAAAAGTAAGCGGGTCGGTGTCAGCGAGTGTTGGTAAAAAGAGGAAAACGGGTATTCCAAACGAGGGTGAGAATCGGCAAGACGAAAGAATTGATTACAACAATAACATGGGCGAGCGTTGTCAGGCTCGACTCCCCACGAAGAAAGGTTAAACAGCGAAAGTGGAATGAACAGTCAAGAGAAAGTGGTCTCTTGGGGAAGAAGTTGATGGGAAACTGGTCGAGGAAAAGGGAAGAGGACGCAAGAAAAGGGGATCCAGGGAGAGAGAAAAGGGGGGGAGGTACGTACCCCATATTGTGGAGGCGATCATAGCGCTAATAAGAGTCCGGCGAGTGACAAGGACACAGAACACAGGAACGACCAAGCGCTTGGCTGCCAATCGACAGTGACGCGTAAGTCTGACGGGTACAAAGTACGGGTAGGATACAGTACGAAACTACGTTGTAGGTGTAGGCACAGAGTACGACATTGCGTAGCATACGGTACCCAAGGAACAAACAATGCGGGTACTGCGGAGTATCCGCACCTACTTTCATTTGTACTTTGTACTTGGCTACCTACCACTTCAAGCACCATCCAACCAGAACATATCCCCTAGAAACCACCAGCTTCAAACCGAATCCCTTGGCTGGTGACATTTCGACATTTCTTAGTCGCTCTTAAACTTCTTTGTATTTGGTGACTGGACAATTTGATTCGTGAACACGCTCGCCTGAGTGGCGATCCAGCATCTTGAATCTAACCAGCCAAACAAGCCAAACAAGCCAAACCAATTTTCGAAATCCATTCAACACAAACGTCCGATATGATTGACAGGGTCCACCTTAAGGAGGCGCAGCCGTTTCGCCGACCAAATACCAGGTACCTAAACGTTATTGGAAAATTGCCTATGTTTACGTGGCAGTTCGAGTTGAGATGAAGTACTCGGTACATAAGAAGTATTCTCTCATAAAGAAGACCGTCTCCACTTGCTCCACCTCATCTCGGTTTCGCCCCCGTTACAGGGTAGGCCCCACAGTGCGGCAATTTGAGATGAGATTAACAAGCTCCTCAGGGGGCATTAATGCCATGACATAGTGCACTATCAACTTTGTTATCATTCTCCATAATAAAGTGTTAGCGTCCTAAGGGGACTTGGCATCGTCTTGTTAAGGTCCTCTCCCATCTTGGCTATCGGGATCTAGACCAACGCTTCACATTCACAGGCGGCAGTGCATCTTCTTTTTGGCACCGTCGCACCCGTCAGTGACACCATCTTCCCTTCCCCTACCAGGTCGAGTCACCGCTCCTTCTTTCGTATTGGTATTTGTATGTAGTGTAGGATTTAACCAAACTGGTTCGACCAAACAGGCCTCAAGTCTAATAGACTGACGATTCCAATCTCCCTCACGAGATGCCATTTCCCGACTCGGCTACTTGCCCCTAATTCTTCGTAAATGACTTCTATGGATGGGGATCCGAGATGATCCCAAGAAGCGCCCAAGACAAACCCAAGAAAATGCAATGGCGGTTCCAAGAAACCTCCAAGCCTCATTTCAAGGTAACCAAGAGCACCAAGAGTCTTGGGGAATGAGCGGTGTCCTCTTGGAATTATCATTGTCACCCTTATTATTACGTCCACTCAATTTTTTTAATTTTTTTTTCATTCATGTTTCCATTGCCATTTCCGCCTCCCTTCTCTGCTACAAAACCGTCGGCCTTCGCATGTGTTCGAACAATCATGATACCTACGTCTGGACAGGTTTCCAAGTGCCGATCTATCTGTACAAGCTTGTCGGTCCGCAGACCATGGACTATGCCGGTTACTATTCTTTTGTCCTTCCTCTAACGTCTTCGTTTATTTCTTCTATCCTTACATCATCCCTACTCCGTATTCTTCTATCTCCGCCTACACTATGCTCCAAGCAACGGGCATCGACAAAGCTGGTCGTCGCTCTCTCGCTCGTCCTACGGCTTTTCACGCCGTTATCTCGGTTCGTCCGGCATAATAAGCATGCGCACGCTGCGCCCAGTACCCGCAAAACTCACATCGTAAGCTCGACTAAGGACGTTCAGCGGCATCAAATGCCTCGCAGTCGGTCAGTGGTCAGCACGCCGGCATGTTCTGCCGGACTCGTGTCAGATCTTGCCAAGCCGGGGGCCAAAGAACTTGATCAAGTCGAGATCGACAATAGGCACTTTACTGGTCCCTCGTTGATTTAGATTATAACATTGATATCAACGGCCCAACGCCGCCATAGGAGACCGATAGTGGGCAGTAGACAGCGCTAACTCGCAGTCTGCTCTCTCGTTTTACGAGACTTGCCGATGGAGTCTTGCCGTTGACGATACTAAGAACCAGGTCCCGTGGGCCGTGCAAATATTTGCCAATTTATCAGTCTACCCCTCTATCTGACGAGTCGTGCCTCAGAAGGCAAGCAAGCCTCGACTGTGAAGGTCAATGAGGCTGACAGCCGGAAAACTAAGTAGCTCGCATACACAATGGAATGCCCCAGACCCCTTCCGTCCTTGGGGAAGCAGATCAAAGAGAAGTTTGGCTCTGACATGGGTTCCTAGCCAATCTGACCAGCCAGTAGAGGAGGGATGTGGCCTTTATGCCATAGTCGTGAGGCAACACAACGTATGAGCCACAAACTTCCCAGGTTATCGGTTATGGGACTCAACAGCAAGTCATGCTCGTGCCTTGTCGCTCCTCCATCCGGACCAGAGATTCGAGTATTCCTTTCCTCGAGCTACTCATCCGACTCACATATAAGACACAGACTCCGTGCTGATAAAATAGCAGCTATGCAGCAGTTGAAGATATGTAGGTAACTACATGCGCAGTTGTGGCTTTCGTTCAGACGATCCATTCAGTCCACTGCTGGTCGACGTAGGCTCGGGTGTCTCGGCATGAACTCGTCAGTCGACCCGAAGTCTCTTCGAACCTAGCAGACCGAGAAACAACTGTCAGTAACTTGCCATGAACAAGACCTGGCGTCTTCCAATCCGAGTAAAAGAACGCACCTTGTCCGTACTCGCCGTCTTCAGCACCGCCGTTGACCTCAAGAAGCAGCCGAACACCCGGTCCACGGACCGTAATCTCCATGGGCTCTCTCTTCGAGCATGTCGCCGCCGCCGCCTTGGGCTCCACCGAAGCCACCGTGTGTATTTCAGACAAGGCCAGCTTGGTCCGTCTCTTGCGGGGCGTGGTGTTTCTCGAGTTCTTACCACCGCCACCGGCGTTGTCGGGGGTCATGGGGGTGACGGGCGGCGTATGAGCCAGCATCGCCTTCTTCTTGGCGAAAGTCTCGTGGAATTTCTTGAACATATCTGATTGGACGTAGGCGCATTTCGGTTCATTTCTAACGTGTTCGTCGAAAGGATCGTCCTTCGTCTCCCACTTCCAGCCCATCACTTGGCAAATGTCGCAAATAGCGACGTCGCGGGACGACTCTCCCTGGAACCGGAAACCAGCTCCAGCCATGTCCTCGGCGGAAGGCATGGTGAGCGCCCATTTCCCCTTGCTTGCGTCGTCGTAGAAGGTTTGAAGTCTGTTACAGAAACCGTCCATGGTGCCTGATTTAGAGACAGGACTGGGACAAGGTCAGAAAACTCAACTTGGCGTTTCAATGACTCTTTCCTTCGCTGAGGGGTCGGAGCCAACAAAAACAAAACAAAAAAAAAAGGAGAAGTATGGCACACTTACTTGGGAGAAGTCAGTTTGTGAGGCTCGTCAGTCGACCGGGAAGGAATGAAGCGTCGAAGAAATGATAGAAAGGATGTCGGTATCTCTTTTGAGGGCTTGCCGATGGAGGATATTGAAAGTTGAGCGGTAAAGGGAGTGGTAAAACAGAGATTCGAGTTGAGATCTAGGGATGTTTGATATCTGGCAAGTCTCAGGAGCTGCTTACTCGTACTCTCAGAACTGTTTCAGCTGGAAATATTCTCAAGGTAAGAGCTAATTCAGCTTGGTAGTAGTCCGGCTCTAAAAAGAGGACAGTTGAACAGGAGGTTGAGAGAAAGGTGATAGAAAGGTGATAGAAAGGTGAAAATACTAACCACGAGTCGCCCGCAACTCACAACCCATATTATTAACATTCGCTATAGCCTCTGATGCTTGTTTATATGAACCGTGGAAGCTCCATGGTAACCATCAGTTTATTAAATATACCCGGGGATTATCTACGTGCTTTCGAGATCTAATCTTCATGATGCCGAAATAAAAGGGAACAAGTTCTGCTAATGTCTTTCACGATGTGAGTGAGAATTCTATGTCGATTTCTGGTAGCAGGGTAAAAATCGAAAAATATAAGGCGAATAGATAGGAGAAAAGGAGGGAAATGGAACTCATGGCTGCTCTTCTTTTAACAAATAATACATAACTGTATCCATTGCATCCAATGATACTCATGATATACCTGTCCTTGAACAATGTTGTATCGGGACTCGGACTTGTCTCCCCTCACAACGATCACATTGACGGCAAAGGTCTGAGGGACCGATAATTCGTAAATACCAACTTCCACGATACTTTCCATTGCTCTGGCCCAGCATTATGAGGAGAAAGAGTGCGGTTGTAAGATGGACATAGACATTGAGGCTTGCTAAGACATGTGCGGTCTTTCATGTTGATTCAAGAAGATCACAAGTATGAGCAAGGGACTGATGGCTCTATAAAACAAAATTATTTTGTAGCTGTTCTTGCTATACCTAAGGTAGCTAGCGAACGAAGTGGTATCAAATGTGAAGCAGAAAGCAGTATTATGTCAAATATAAAAGTACCCATTCAACCCCAAATTCATGCCCATACCATCCCTTATGTGTCTGTCAAAACCTCAGAGAAAAGTTGCAGTCCAATGGGGGGGAGATGTAACCATCACATGCCACGAGATATGCAGTATCCAATCGTAAAAGCACGTCCAAGTCAAATTGGGCTCGAAGTACGAAAATCGCAATCACGCAAGTGGCTTAGGCGGTGGTGGTAGCAGGCGCTGCCTTCTCAGGCTCGGTGCTGTGAGCAGAGGCAGCACGGCTGACACGGGCGGGCTCCTCGCCAGTGATGACGTCGGAGACGTGGCGGCGGACCTCGACGTAGTCGTAGGCGAACTCGCCGCATTGGACATCATCGAGGCCGAGCTCCTCCTCCTCGGGGGAGACGCGAAGGCTGAGACCGGGGATGAGGTTGAGGACGAAGAGGATGAGGCAGGTCATGACGAAAGACCAGGCAACACCGGCGACGGTGCCGGCGAGCTGGTAGCCGAGCTGGACGAAGTGGCCCTCAATCCAGCCGCCGTCGATCTCGCTGCCGCCATCGAGGTTGGCCTCCCAGGAACTAGATCGCGGTTAGCTGGCTGGACTAGACTTGAAATAGACGCCGTAGCGAGATAGTGTGAGGGAACAGAAGACGGAAACATACGCAGCGAAGATACCAGCCAGAAGGTTACCGACGATACCACCAACACCGTGGACGGCGAAGACATCGAGAGCCTCGTCAATGCCAACAAGGAACTTGAGCTTGGTGGCGAAGTTGCCGGCGACACCACCAACAATGCCGAAGACGGCGCAAGACCAGATGGGGACGAAGCCGGCAGCGGGGGTGATGGCGACGAGACCGGTGATGGCGCCGGAGCAGAAGCCAATGGTCGACCACTTGCCCTCCAGACGGTAGTCGAGCAGGACCCAGGTCAGGCCAGACAAGCAAGCAGTCAGGTTGGTGATGAAGAGGACCTGGGCAGTGAGGACGTTGGCAGCGAGGGTGGAGCCACCGTTGAAGCCGAACCAGCCGACCCAGAGGAAGACGGTGCCGAGCATGACGTTGGTGACGTTATGGGGCCGGTAGGGGAGACCGTTCAGGCGCTCGTAGCCGGTCCTCTTGCCGATCATGAGAGAGTAGGCGAGGGCGGTGACACCGGAGTTGATGTGGACGGGAGTACCACCGGCGAAATCGATGGAGCCTATGGCGTGAAGCCAGCCGTTGGCGCCCCAGGTCCAGCAGGCGATGGGGTCGTAGACGAGGGTGGACCAGATGAAGACGAAGACGAGGGCGGGGAGGATGCGGCCACGGTCGGCAACGGCACCAAGGGCGAGAGCCGGACTAAGGAGCAACACATGCCGTTAGTGTTTGGTTTCCAGCTAGATATGACGGTCGTCGCGAAGAAGGGGAAACCTAAAAGAAAAGCCTGGGGTGAAAGAAAAGAAAAAAGACTCACGTAATGGCAGCGAAGAGACCCTGGTAGGTAGCGAAGAGAATCTCGGGAATGCCATCAGCATCGGCACCACCAACGTTCCGGAAGCCGATGTTGTCGAGGTTGCCGATGAAGGCGCTGCCGGTAGCGGAGAAGGTCAGGGAGTAACCCCAGAACCACCATTGGACTGTAGCAACGGCGTGGGCGAGCATGATGATGACCATGAGGGACAGGGCCGACTTGCGACGGGCGAGACCGGCGTAGAAAAAGCCAACACCTGGGATCATGAGCATAACCAGGGCGGCGGAAACGCACATCCAGGCTATATCGCCCTTGTCGAACTGCTCGTTCATCTCTATTCTCTGGGTGAGGTCCATGGTGACGAAAGGCGCGCGCGAACGCGACTAGAACAAGGACAGTGTCGAGATGGTATGGGTGGTTTGGTAGCCCCCAGCGATCGTAGTTCTAGGCCCTCGGTAGATCTGGGAGACAATCCACAAATCTGGCACCGCAACGAAAAAGGAGGGGAAGGGGTGAAGAAGGGAAAGGGGGATGAAAAAAGAATGAGGAGGATGGAGGGAGAGTAGTATTCCGAAAGATTGTCCCCGGGGGATTTGGACGAACTAAATAAATAATCATGGAAGGGGTCTCCTCAGACCACTGAGACCTGATATCCAGCCGTATCGTAACCATGGACGGCAAGTAGTTACCACAGATATCCTTGCGTTTGCTCATCATCGATCGGCCGCTTAGCCTGTGCTACAACGTATGTGCTACCGGCGCGGGAGGAGGCCCCGAACAGGGGGGGCCTCGGTGGGATGTACGTTGTATGTACCGATGAAGCTGAGATAGATAAGCAGCATCTTTGACATCTCGTTAGAGAAAGGGTTAGACCGTGGGACGTTCTGATATTGGTAGCCAAGCGAGACAAGGGTGGGCACTGGAGCCAAGATTGCCTACCTTAGGTTGTTGACCAGGCGGGACGGATAGAATTGGCATGGGGGGGCATTGTGGGGACTCGCGTAGATAAGCTGGGGAGCTGAGACTGTTTTCTTTTTTTCTTTTGTTTTGTTCTTTCGATGAAATCGTACGTGTTCTGCCTTGTTCGTTCTCGAGCCAGGAAAGGACTTGATCAGTCTTTGTGATGAGGAAGAGAGAAGATGGTCATCCAGTGGACGAAAAAGAAATGTGGGTTGAGGAGGGAAGAAAGACTCGAGACGAGAAAGCACGGGACCAAGGGTAAGGGCATGATAAGTAGGTACCTATCTACCTAGGTAAGGTACTCAGCAGGAAGAGACTGCCTGCCCGCTGCATGTGCACAACGTACGTACCTTAAGGTAGGGACTTTGTACATATGTGCGAAAGTACCTTACATTGTACTTCCAAGATGATGTTCAATAAGGTAAGGTACCTAGGTACCTACCTGTATCCTTCATCCCGTGCCCACCATACCTTAGGTATGATGTCAAGACCGAGACTGGAGTGTTTTCGACATTAGCCAACCTGGGCAATCCTAGAAACATGCCTCGCTCTACCGGTTATTTTGTCCAAATTGGATACAGGCGCCTAGGTACCGTACATAAGGTGGTGGGTGAAGCAATGCTTTGCTTTGTACGAACGACATACTGTACCATAGCTGCAGCTGCATCCCCAGAGTCCACTAATCCGGTCCACCTCAGGTACGTACTGTACGGAGTACCTCTAGTTCCCACGCTACAGGGTGACATGGGCCGGACGCGCTAACGCATATTCGGAGCGCCACCATATCAAAGTACTGATAAGAAACGTTCTCCTTTCCAACCTGGAAGGTCTGGCATTTTCAGTCACTTCATTTCGGTAGTAGTGTCGCGAGCACTTTGAATGTCCTCGGTCTTTTTTCATTTTCTTTTCATTTTTCTTTTCCTTTTTTCCTTCCTTTTTTATTAAGAGGAATACTAAAAAAAAAAAAAAAACAGAAATGAACTACTATCCAAACCGTGATCATGAAGTCGAGGACCAAGCCCTTAGTGTACACGTGTACAACGTAAATGAACTAACACTAAAAGCAGGCGGCGTGTTCGGGTGAAAACGCTGTGGGTTGCGCCAGTGAGCCTGAATAATAAGAGCCAGATATTCAGACATTCACCTCGGATCCTAGATCGTCCGGCTAATATAAACAGTCTGCGTATTCTATTCTGGTCGAACCGAAACCGAAATCGCAGTGCAGCTGAACAGCGAGCGCATCTTTTTTCGGTCCAAGGTACAACGTACATACAAGTGGAAGACCACTCGGGAAATTCAGGGAAATCACGGTGTGGGTGCTATTCGTTGGGATTGGCTGGCGCACGAACCAATAGATAAGCAGATGTAAGCACCCAGGTCGCGAGAAATAATAGAGATAATAATCGAAATTATATCCATTCCTAACATCCACCCCAGTGAATGATACAGCTGTCTCAGACCTGAGACCTGTTCTGTAGTTTGTCCCAGATCCCAAATCTCGGTGTTATGCGAGCTGGTACGGCGTATATTCATCCTACCTATCATACTCATCGCCATAACAGGGACATTGTAGGGAGCTGGCAGTTGTGTGGTCAGATTTGAAGGCCAAGAAGCAGACAAGACAAACTATTAAAAAGATTCATTTTTATAAAGAAAGAAAGAAAACTCAAGAGCAACAGCTCGCAGATTGCCAGACGGCTGTTTGGCTCTTGGTCGTTAATTTACTTGGCCTTACGAGAATCCCTGAGTATGAAGACGCCTCACCTCTTATCTGTGATTCCCAGGCTTTGGGACAGAACCAGAGACAAAGGTAGACCGTCATTGATTGGCCGTTTCCTCTTATCTCTTGGCAGACGGGGATCCTAATGCATGGGGCCTCTTGGCGAGATAGCGGAAGGCCCACCCAATTGACGTGCCCTAAGCCCTGCAGACATCCCTGCCGCTGGCAACCGGTTTCACCCAGGGATCCCTGCGAGGCGCAGCTCAACGTGGTGTGGTGATCGGCTCCTTTGGGCATTCATTCGGTATGCATATCCATAATCCGTAGTGGACGGATCAATGCCTTTCAACGTCTGATCATGGTCGACGTGGTTGTTCTGCGCAATCAGCTTCTTGGGCACACATCATCCCCTGCGATGTGAAATGATTGAGAAAAATGTGTCACTTGCTTGACTACTCGATATCAATTACATTTTAAACCGCAGCAGCAGACTTGATCCGACTTGAAACATCCTCTCTCGGATCTCTCTATGTGTACCCGTATGGGATACTCGACGCAGACCAACTCATAGGTACGATGTGTGAATCAACCCTTATCCCTACGGATCTGGACTACCGTTGCATAATCTTACCGTGTTTCCCATGTAATTACCCAGGCCAGGGCCCAGGCGTCTGCTCCGAGCACTGTCGCATCATGCATGTGCTCCATTGTGATAGCAATCTCGGATTTGTCAAGATTCAACCAAGTACGTGTGCTGCTTTCCTTTAGAAGTTCTCTTTTACGATTCCGCCCAACCTAGGACAGGTGAGACGATTTGACTGCCGAATTCGCAATGATCACCCTGCCCATCCTTGTTGACCCGCGAAAGCGATGTCACAATCCGGGGCATGCTCCCCCCAAGACCCTGCTTCTCAGCGCCCGCAAGCGGTCGATTTCCTGGATCCAGTCCTCCCCCAACAATGCGTCTCTGCGGGCGTCGTGACTGTTTCCTGACGGCCCTTCCCTACTCCCGAACTGCGTCTGCGTTCTCTTGTAGGGCTCAGCGGGCGCAACATCCCCAAAGTGTCGGACCGCCATGTGGTATATAAGGGACCAATGTCCCATGTGTTCTCGATGTCTGTCTGGGGCTGTTACTGAGTTACTGATGTGTGGATTTCTCTGTTCTCCTAACGGCTTCAGTACCCGGAGACACGTACTAACTACGGTATCGGATGACCACGCCAGCACAAGTGTGTATAGGACCAGACAACCTTGCTAGACAGCCCGAAGCACCCAGGCATTGGGTACTCACAGTCCTATCAGCAACCACCAACGGTGTTTCCTTTGTCCCGCTTGATTGTCAAGGTACAGCGAGTGCGCCAAGCAAACCGTACCGGTTGAGTCGAGTGATAACCCGGATGGCGGGTTCGAATCGATTCGCTACCACAGCATATTGATATATGCATTCTCAACACACAAGACGCCGACCTTTAGACTGGACAAGTTCCTTTAACAACATCGTCTCTCGCCGACGCTAGTCCTGTCATGTCTCCCCAGCGGAGGTCAAGGCCTATTGTCCCTAAAGACGCTTGATCTTCATCCTCGTCGCCTTCCCCCCCCTACACTAGCACGTCATGCCGCCGTCGATCGGGAAGACCGAACCCGAAATGTACCGGCTCTCATCCGTCAACAGGAATATGATGAGGGATGCAACTTCGTCTGCTGTGCCAGCCCTCTGAATCGGCGTGCTGAAGTTGGGCGTCGCGTTCGCATCCAGTCTACCCAGGGCATCCCGCAGCAGAGGTGTCTCAATCGGACCGCTACAATGTCATTTCATATCAGTACCACACAACACATATCATCTCTCGTATGCATCACACCAGCATTTCCGTCAACTGGGGAAAACCAGAAATCAACTTACGGAGCAACGGCATTCACTCTCAGGTTCCTCGCCCCAAACTCCTTCGCAGCAACCTTGGTCAGACCGCACACGGCATGCTTGCTGGCATGGTAGGCCGCAGCGTGGGGCAAGCCAACCAAGCCCGCCACCGAGGCCACATTAACAATGGACCCCCCGTCGCGGAGCTTGGGGATCTGGGCCCTCATGCACTTCATCACACCCCCCGCGTTGACGCCCATGACGAACTCCCAGTCCTGGTCGTCGATCTCCGCCATGGTGGCCACGTTCTGCTGCGTCCCCAGCACGCCGGCCGCGTTGGCCGCGCCGTCGAGCGGGCCGAACTTGGCGACAGCGGCGTCGATCCAGGCGTTCACGGCCGCCGAGTCCCGCACGTCGACCGCCTGCGCGTGGATGTTGGCGGCGCCGTGGGCGGCGGTCAGCTCGGCTTCCACTTCGGAGAGGAGCTTGGCGTTGGCGTCGGCGAGGGAGAGGCGGGCGCCCAGGGAGGCGAGTTGGACGGCGGTTGCGCGGCCGATGCCCGAGGCGGCGCCGGTGAGGGCGATGACTTTGCCTTTGATGCTGTTCATTGCGGCTGCGCGCGGTGTTTTAGTTTGAGCTCTGGGGAGGGGGTGTGGTTTGATTCGGGCTTTTCGAGGGTGAGTCGAGGTAAGAGGGTCAGGCGATGATGGATTCTGGTTTCTGTCGCGGGAGGAGAAGGATTCGGCTTGCGGTGATATTGTTGCACGACATGAACGATGCAAGAGAAGTTGGTGCGGTTTAAGTATATGGACTCATCACAATCACAAGCTGGCTGGGGTCGTTCGAGTGGTGCCACAGCCTCTGGTCATGTTCTCGGCTAACATTTGCCTGGGATCAGATCCACCCCCGCATTCGTAGAGAGGCAGCCGAGACGTCTGGTCTGGGGCTAAAGTCGATCAGGTTTAGAAACACTCAATCGTTCCTTACGCTTGTCACAGAATGGACATGTGTGGTCTTGGGCGGTTTGGGAGTGGATTTGCCCTCCTGGCAGTGTGTTTTCATGGGGCTGTTTTCTGGTCACGACTCACCACTGACGAGAAATAGCATCCCCACAAAGCATGGCATGGCAGGAGGCTGACGGCTTTCTTACCCGTAACGTCACGGAGTCTTGTATAGCTACTGAGTAAACATGGTAGAAATATATTGCCCTTCACGGCGTCCTTCGATTTGTTTAGCAGCTACAGCGATCGGAGCCCATCGAGGAGTTAAGACGCGAAGTTGCGGTGGATCCCGGACCCACTCTCTCCGGCCCCCTGGGGTACGCTTCGCGGATATCGGGTACCGAGGAATCGAGGAACAATAGAAAACGCCCATCCGGACTAGAGGAGGAGGGGCATGTCCTGCTGAGGTAAGCACTGGGGGATGCACGACCAACACCAGTCGATTCGCTCTCGGCCGAGTCACCACGTAACCAGATGCCTCAGAGAATGCAACTTGAGTTGACCGATTTAATCCACCCAAGCTTCATGGTATTGGTTCATAGGTAGTTTTTCTTAGTAAAATCGAGGTTATGATATTCGGTATGGTACGGAGTGGTTCGAAGCGTTCATGTTCTTTGACTTTTCTGACCTCTCTTCAATTTCTACTCGAAGAGAAGTTCCATGACAGACGGAACTAAACGATATTTGACCGAGTTCTCATCAACGACTGCATTTAGAATCCATAAACAAAACAGACTCAACACTCAAGACTCAAGAGACATAGCTATTTCCTAGATATTTCACCACCACGTATAAACAGTACAGTCGCGTCAGGCGCAAGTCTTCGTGCAGTGGACTGACTTTTGTATCGACGGAGAGTCAGGTCCGGGCATATATGATATATATAATATTAGTTCGCACGACGACTGTCTACGATTTACCGAAATTCATAGCCATGCATCCCACCCCCGCGCCCCGGATGTGTCTCCTCCCCCTCCCCCGCATGCTCAGGTACGGAAAGGTGCTGTACCAAGTTACGTGTTGTACTATTGGTCAAGCGCTACTTCTCCATTATCTCGACTCGCGATCTCAACGGCGCATCCCCAAGATCCCCCCACATGTTCGTTCCCCCACAGGCATCTCCGCCAGTCGCGATGTCGGCATTCCGCAGATTCTGAAAACGAAAGAAAAAAAGACTATAGACTAGCTGTCGCACTACCCACTAACCCACGTGATGCTGGGTTTGGAGATGTTCTTTTAATTCTGACAGTATCTTCCATAAAAAAAGGTTTCTTGTACGAGCAAGCTCTTCTCTTTAGTTTTGGACACTTTCATTTCTTCACTTCGTTGTCGTTCTAGTCGTGTTATCGTCTGTCCAGCGGCTTCTGTTGCGTTGCGTTCAAAGATGAAGGTCACCTATATTGTAGCACTCGGCGTGCTTGCCGCCTTGATCGTGCGCCTGTTGATGATCGGGAGGCGACCCAAGAACTATCCTCCTGGGCCTCCGACATTACCTATCCTCGGAAACATCCATCAGGTGCGCTCCCCTTTCTCACTTATACGACTGCTCTGTTTCTGTGGTCCACTGGTCTCAAGTCATCCTGTTGTCGTTGATCAGTCTCGCTTACACAAAAGTTGTCAACAGTTGGCCACTAGAGATTCCCATCTTCAGTTTGAGAAGTGGGCGCGCGAATATGGCCCGGTTTACAGCCTCATGCTAGGCACCAAGACCCTGGTTGTGCTCTCGAGCGACAAGGCCGTCAAAGACTTGATGGACAAACGAAGCGGCAAATACTCCCACAGACAAGAGATGTACATTGGCCAGACCCTATGCAGTGGTGATCTCCGAGTGTTGATGATGGTTAGTTGATCTCGAGGGATCCTTTCACCATTCACCTAGACACCATGGAAACTAACATTCGACCAGGGATACGGCCCACGATGGCGTGCAGTACGCTATGCTCCGACGTCCAACGAGACGTCCTTCCTCCCGTCGACCTGATGAAGTGCTTTTTGACTAACACGCACAATACAGGCCCGGAAGATGATTCACGGACTCCTCAACGTCTCGGCTGCCAAGTCCTACGTGCCCTACCAAGTCCTCGAAAACAAGCAGATGCTTTACGAGATGCTCGTCGACCCCGACCACTTCTTGTATCACATTCGCCGGTACTCCAACGCCCTGACCACGACCATGGTCTTCGGATGGCGGACCCCCACCTACGAGGACGACAAGATGAAGCAGCTCTTCGACGGCTTCTCCGAGTTTGCCGAACTCAACCAGACCGGCACGGCAGCGCTCATCGACTTCTTCCCCTGGCTCCGCTTCCTGCCCGACTTCCTCATCCCCGTGCGCCAAAAGGCCAAGGACCTCCACCGGAAGGAAAAGGCCCTGTACCTCAGCCACTGGCTCAAGGTGAAGGAGGAGATCAACAACGGCACGGCCAAGCCCTGCTTCTGCGAGGAGATGGCGGCCGCGCAAAAGGCCGAGGGCTCCTTCGACGACGACCAGGCCGCCTACGTCTCCGGCACCCTGCTGGAGGCCGGCTCCGACACCACCTCCAGCACGCTGTACGCCTTCGTCCAGGCCATGCTGCTGTACCCGGAAGTGCAGCAGAAGGCCTTCGAGGAGATCGACCGCGTGGTCGGCCGCGACCGCATGCCCACCATGGAAGACGACTGCGACCTGCCCTACATCCGCGCCTGCATGAAGGAGACGCTGCGCTGGATGCCGACCACCATCCTGGGCGCCGTGCCCCACGCCGTCACCCACGACGACTACTACGAGGGGTACCTGATCCCCAAGAACGCCGGCGTCATGAACAACGTCTGGGCCATCCACATGGACCCCAACCGCCACCCGGACCCGCGCCGCTTCGACCCGGAGAGGTACGTCAACGACCACCAGAGCCTGGGCGACGCCGCCGCGAACCCGGACGCCAGCAAGCGCGACCAGTTCACTTTCGGTGCGGGCCGCCGCATCTGCCCGGGCATCCACGTCGCCGAGCGGAGTCTGTTCCTCGGCATGTCGCGGATCCTGTGGGCCTTCCAGATCGAGCCCAAGGTCGGCGCCGACGGGAAGCCCATCCTCCCGGACCCGGACAGGCTGACGCAGGGGTTCGTGTGCATGCCGGAGGAGTTCCCGGCCCAGATCACGCCGAGGAACCAGGCCAAGGCGGATACGGTGGTGCGGGAGTGGCACGAGGCCGAGAAGGAGTGTTTGGATCCGGTGACGAAGCAGTGGCGCGTGTCGCCTGTGCCTTCCAGGGTTAATGGAAAGATATAAGATGTTGGAGTTTCCAAACAGATATGCGATGGATGGACTTGGTTACACATGGTGATGTTTTGTCTTGAGCGACAGTCACTTGGTACACTTGACTTTGACTCCTGGTGTAAGACAACGAGTCAGATCCCCAGGGGCTACGAAGTACCTTCAACCTGGTCCTGGTGTACACACACAAAAACACGCAGACGCGCAAGAAAACGGAGCAAAAAAAGCAATCCGAAATCTGCTCGGTAGATAATGTTTGCATATGCCGTACTCCATTCTCCGGGGCTTTAGAAGATATTAGACGGATGCGGGGTGTGGAGTTGGGGCCCTTTACCTACAATAGCGTTGTACTTTGTGGAGTTGTGAATAGCTTCAAGTTCACTCAAGCTAAGGTTACTTTTACCCCTGAGTCCCTGGATCCCTGATCTTTTTCCCACCTCCTCCCCGGAAGAAGCTCCACCTATTCCCCCACCACCACCCCGCCATGATCCATCCGGCCTATTCCCGCCAGTCTGCTTTGGTTCTTGCTTGGATCTCAACTTTCAAGACTAGGTTATCATCACGATGCTTCTCAAAAAAACACCCTTTCGTCTGCCATCCAGATGCTGCAGTAGCCCGTCCCTCCCTCCCGAAATTCGACCACCCCTGAATCCTACAACCATGCCGCGCACCACCACCGCCCTCGTCCTCACCGCCATCAAAGGCCCCTTCGAGCTCCGCGAAATCCACCTCAACGCCATCAACCCGGACGAAGCCCTCGTCGAAATCCACGCCTCGGGCGTCTGCCACACCGACCTCTCCTGCGCCGATGGAACCCTCCCAGGCGCCCCGGGCGCCGTCCTCGGCCACGAAGGCGCCGGCGTCGTCCTCGAAGTAGGCTCGGCCGTCACCTCCGTGTCCCCAGGCGACAAGGTCCTCCTCTCCTTCTCCCACTGCGAGACCTGCGGGCCCTGCGTCTCGGGGCACCCGGCCTACTGCTACGACTTCAACCCGCGCAACTTTGGCGGCAAGCGCCCGGACGGTTCGAGCGCCGTGGTCGAAGCCGACGGGACGACCCCCGTGTTCAGCCAGTTTTTCGGCCAGAGCTCGTTTGCCCGCCACGCGCTCGTGCACAGGTCCAGCCTCGTCAAGGTCCCGCCCCAGACGAACACGAACCTGGCGCTCCTCGCCCCCCTGGGATGCGGCGTGCAGACGGGCGCGGGGGCCGTGCTGAACACCCTCGACGCGCGGGAGGGGAGCACGCTGGCCGTGTTCGGCGTCGGGTCCGTGGGCATGAGCGCCGTTCTCGCGGGGAAGATGAGGAGGGCGAAGGCGATCATCGCGGTGGATCTGCAGCCGGCCAGGCTCGAGCTCGCGAAACGGCTGGGTGCCACCCATGCCATCCTGGGCTCGGCGGACGTCGTGGGGGAGATTCGGGAGATTTGCCCCCCTGTCGGGGTGGACTTTGCTGTCGACTGTACCGGCAGTACGGCGGTCATCAAGACTATGATTGACGCTCTTGGCACGAGGGGCAGAGGTGCTACGGCGGGGGCGCCAGGGTTTGGGTCTCACGTCAATGTCGATGTGATGGAGCACCTTACCTATGGTAAGGAGTATGTTGGTTGCTGTGAAGGAGACAGCCTTCCTTCAAAGGTGAGTTTACTTGTGCCGCGCATTGGTGCTTGTTTGGAATCGTGATCCCGACTAATTTCGTTCAGTTCATTCCCTACTTGATAGAGATGCACGCAAAGGGCGAGCTGCCTCTAGAGGAGCTCATCACGTTTTACGATGTGAAGGATTACGAGAAGGCCATCGAGGATAGCAAAAGCGGAAAGGCACTGAAGGCGGTATTGAAATGGCAATGACGGCAGTGGTATGAAGAGTTGCATGTACATACAGTTCAGACTCAATATACCAAGATCACATGCACTCTGCGCAGTCTTCTGTGATGCCTATCTCCAAGTCCACTCCGATCCTCACTAGGATAGCAAAAATAAATGTCCCACGATCATGGCTTCACAGTAAATCACGAATATTACGAGTGTGCGAGTACATAGTCAGTTCGGTCTGAACTGGACCGGACGGTGAATATAGAACGCGTTCAACTTACATGTGTACAGTACTAACAGCTGCGTCAGGTTGAGTCTGAGCATCCATTTGTGCATGAGCCGTACAAGACTGGACTTGTCTCCAAAAGGGGAGACATGGCAAACCGTTTACATGTACTTGCGGAGCAGGAATCGAGATCTTGTCGGCTTTGGGGTAATCCTGGATCATGGTGAGTACGGTCCATCGTCCACGGAGCGCCCGGGACGTGCCCGGCAGCCAAGGTATCTTAGTGAAGACCCTATATCGGAGTGGCGGTGGGATGGAGTGGGGTTATGGTGGGGGTCTTGCGGGGGCGTTACGGGGCATTGCGGGGGCATGGGGTATGAAAGGCCTTGAAGATCGATGAGGCCCCACAAAGAAAAAGCCCTCGGTCTGTCCAATGGTTGCCCACCGAACTTCCGGAAACGTTCAAAGGTCACGTTCAACAGACATCGTGACGAGGAATAAAGTTGTCTCTGTCACTAACCTCTGCCACTAACCTCTGCCACTAACCTCTCCCACTAACATGTACCACGCGAAAGCCAAAGCCGGGGTAAAAATATGTTTGGACGAGGTTCGGAGGTTCGGACAAGAGGATTAAAATGGTGCCCGTCCCTCTTGTCTTTCAGGTCTGCCAGGTACTTTGTGATGGCGTTGTTGTTCTTGACCTCAGATAAGATGAAAACGATCCTGGCGATTACCTAGTTACTCACTGCCCGATCCATGGCTGAGATCTCATACTCTCCGATCACAGGATTCATGAAGACATTTGGAGACGACACACGACGACGATGAACATCCAGGAGATACGACAAGTTCGGCCACACCATCGCAGGGACGGAGACAAAATAAGAGACGGCCAAATCTTCGTTCCGCTATATTTGGACCTTGTGAAAGTCCGATATGAGTTCGTTGACCTGGTGCATACTCGTCTGGTCGTACTTTGTGAAAATCCGATCGTCGCGAGGACTCGCATGCGCAGGCGGCGTGACCCACGAAGACGAACTCTCATGCCGCCGCCACGAGTGGTCCGCACTGGTCAGCCGCCCCATGATGACGCTCGCCAGCAGCCAAAACTCGGGCGCGTGCCGCTGAAACCCGATCCGTCTCCAGGCGTTGTCCGGAGTGAGCCTAGCCCTGGCCACCATCGCGTGCGGGGGTACCGAGGAGAGGTGGCCGGAGTAGAATTCCCAGATGGCTTTCCAATTGCTTAGTGCGTGGCGGATCGCCACCATCTGACCGTCTCCGCCGAACGCGTTTTGGTGCTGGAAGATGAGGGAGTGGAAGGCTGGCGTTTGCGAGTTAGCAGGTGACAGAAAAAGGAAAAGAATAAGAAAAAGAAAAAAGAAAAAAGAAAAAAGAAAAAGAAGAAAAAAAGACGTCGTCATTGCAACCGTCATCGCGATCATCGTTTGTCTTACCTGATACTACCGCAAAGAGGTTTAGCGGCCCCAGATCGGCAAGACTCCTGTGCATGTCTTCACCCAACTCGCCTCTGCAGACCAGTTCCACCGCTTCGCTGAGTATCAACAAAGGCAGGAAGGGCGAGCGCGCACTCCAATTTTGGATCTCTTCGAGGCATTCCTCTGCCGTGGCGGCTTGGAAGCATGCATCGGGCCTTGCCATGTGCATCTTCATCTCTTTGATTACCAACCGAGGGGGAAGATTGTTGAATATGACAAAGGCATGGTCGAGGAGGAAGATCCAAAGAAATGTTCTGCTGCGCGTTAGCTTAACAAGAACATACCGATATGAAAAGGAGTCCTACCGTATCAATTCCTCCTTTACCACAAAGGCCTTCCAGTCAAACTCGTATCCTGTCTGTTTTCTGCAATCGTGGTGCCTCGCAGACGCAATTCCAATATCTCGGGCCACCTAGTCAGACCGTCAGCCGGATTATTCTCAAGAGAGAAAGAACCACGATGAGAGGACATGACAGACCGAAACAACTGTACTATACCGGTACCGACGAATCCGCTGTTTACTGGCATCGGTACCCTCCCAATTCTGGTAGAGGCAGACGGTATACGCGGCCTGAAGAGCCTGTACCTTGCGCTTCTGTGTGGCGGGAATCAAGACGCCGGTGTCCAGGGTATAGAGGGGCTCGGAGCAAAGGTCGTCATCATTGAAAACCATTTCCTCGACACAGTTGAACCACAGCCTCGCATTGTCATTGTCAAGAGGGTCAGGGGAAATCGATGCACCTGCGTCCCCTGTGTCAGTCCCGTGTTGCTGCAAGGAGAAGCAAAGACGCACGCACCTATGACGGCCATGGCGGAAAGCAGCGTCAGTTTACAAGTCGCCGGGTCAAAAGTCGGCCGGTGAATCATGTCAATGTTGGGATGCCAGATGGCCCAGTACAAGGCGAGAAACTTCCGCACATTGACCGGCGAGAAGAAGCCGAGGCACTTCTGCTCCAGCAGGGGTGACCAGTCGAATGTGATGGCGCTGTTCCGCGGCTTCGTCGTCACCGTCTCCCTCACGCGAACGACGATCTGGTGGATCTTGATCGTCAGGGGTTCGTGAAGCCATGGGTTGTGAACGATGGGTGGCGTGTGGACTATGGAGCCGGCGGGGGACATCAGACTCTCTGTCGGCAGCGCAGCGAGGCCATCCGACAAACTCGGCGTCGGCATCTGCCTGGGTAGTGGTATAGGTACAGGTACAGGCACTGGCACAGGTACAGGTAAAGGTACGGCGTTGGGCGCCGCCATCCGTCGTGAGAGGGCATCGGCCTCGGCTTCTTGCTGCAGGAAAGCCGAAACAGTCTCCTCTCGCAAGGCCGGAGTGCCGCAGTCGAAGGAATCGATCAGGCCCGTCCGTTTAGTGAAGTTGTCCAAAAACATGAAAGAATAGACCCTGTGCTGAGCCGGGTGTGTGGCGAGTTCGCCTTCACCTTCGTAGTCTCCTTCCCCTTCCCCTTCCCCTTCACCGTCGCCTTCACCGTCGCCTTCAGGTTCGCGATGCGACGGTTCGTCCGACGCGGTGCCGTGCCCGTCCAGCACGAAGCCGTCGTCCAACACGGGGCCTTCCGACATGAGATCCAAAAAGTCCAAGTAGCTCGCGCTCGTGGCCGACGGGTACGGCATGTCGGGCTCCAGAGGGGTCCCGAAGATGACAGCGCTGAGGTCGTCGAAAGCCGCTGCACCTGGGCCCGCGCCCACGCATGCGCTGCCGGCGACCGAGTTGAGGCCATCGACGCTCGGTGTCGTCAAACTCTCGCTCGACTCGCTCCCGGCCGACATGTTGGTCTGTGGTGTGTCGCCGCTTCTACTACCCTCCGGGTTGGTGGTGATGAAGGAATAGGAACATGGGACGGAGAGCCTCTCGCAATTCCTGCAGGGTTGGGTCGAGCTGCAGGCTTTCTTCTGGCGGACGCACAGGTCGCAGGCGCGTCTTCGGCCGGACGGCGGCATCAGGCCTTTCGCCCTGGCTTCGCAGGTCCGGGCGTGGCGTTTCAGCACGTCATGCCTCTGAAAGGCTCGGCTGCACTGGGTGCAGCGATAGGGTCGGTAGGAGTTGTGGGAGCTCCAGTGCCGCTGCAGATGCTCCCGCCGTTTATAGCTCTTGGAGCAGACTGGACACTGGTACAGCTCTTGAGTGTCGGACATGTCCTTGGATGACTTGTAGCATGTAGCACTGGAAAGATTGCGGGGATCGGGAGTTCCAGGCTACAGTGTGCTGGAGAAGTGAAGGAATTTCTGAATTTCAGTCCCCAGTAAATGTGACACTTGGGTACAGTGACACGTGAATGGACTTCGCCGCGTGCGGCGGCGTTAGGTACCTTAGGCGCTGTGGGGGCGCCAATCCAGAGGGGGCTTAGCGGGTCCCATGGGGAACTCCCAAAGGGTTGCCGCTGCTACATAACGTTGTACATCCACTGACGTTGACGATGTCCAGAAGTACCCGTGGAAGTACGTACCTTAATAATCATAAGACGGGCTCACCAAACGCATGCCGTTCATAGCTGGTCACTAAGGTAAGGTACCTTATGCTTCGTACGGAGCAGGTCCTGGTTTCGATCTATAAAATGATGGCTTTGCGTTTACTAAGTGCAATTTGCAAACCTTGAACCAAATAATCATTAGCCAAGACCAACATTTCGCCGCCCAATCTGCCCCTCGAGTCATGATCACGGGGCATGGATAGTAGTTACCCCCTTTTAGCGTTTCTGTAGCTTATTTCCAGAAATTCCAGAAAATATCCTCGCCTTCGAGGAAGCACTCGGGCCGATAACTTTCCGTCTATTAAGTGCGCTGTATATCATATCTCTAGCGCCTGGTTCGTGTCAACCTGGAACATAAAACAGCATCGTCAAAATCCATCGACAACAAAAAAAACTGGCCGGATCAGGACTCCATGGTGGCGTAGCAGCCTCCCGCAGAGTGTCCGCAGCCTCCTTCGCAGAGCTGTAAGTCCGAGTCCCAAAGCTTGCGAATGATAGATCCCGCGAGTGAAGCCTGATCTTGAGATCTTGATTCTTGAGGAGAGTGCGCGGCCGGCCGGATCATCTCTTGCCCGACCCCTATTGGCTTGCGACATGCTCAACTGTTTGTTGGTGAAGGTGGATGTGAGCTCAAGTTGTGTTGTGACACCCACCAAGTCCCTCCGAGAAGTGAAGTTGTCAACTTGTCACATCAATCGGCCAATCTGATGCCCGCCCGCGCAGTGACAAACGGCACGAGAACATCCAGTTTGCTGCATGCGAAGGACCACGATATAAGATAAACAGACATAGTAAGAGTAATACACTCGACGTCGTCGCTTTTCTACTATCAATGGCAGATGAAGTACTCCAAGCCAGACAACTCATTGCCGAGACTATTCGGTCCAAGGCAAATTCCGCCAAGAAATTCATCCAACCGGCCATTCTCACTCTTATCCAATGCACCAATGCACTGACCCAGAATACCACCAATTTCCAATCCTGGATGGTCTTTTTGCAGAAAAAATGTCATGAGGACTTGGGAGGATCCGGCCTCGTCAGTACCCATGTGTCCTCAACGCCATGCTCCTGTCATAGAAACAGCCCATCGTCTCAAGTCGAGACATGGATAGACAAACCAACGCTCATTCCCTAAGCGTATTCGAAATTGGATCCCAGGTATCGATTCCATGTGGTGCAAGTCCACATCCAGCTCAGACTTTTCGCCAGAAAAACGAAAAAAAAAAAAAAAGTACCTCAATACCCGACTTGTGTCGCGGCGCGCTTGGGGGGAATAGGCGGAGGCGGCTTCTTAGACCGGCAGGGAGGAGGCGGCGGCGGGGCAGCCTTCCGACCACCCACGAGCTGCAGGTTGCTCGAGCTCCTGGTCAGGCTCCCCACGCTGGTGGCCGGGCTCGCGCTCCGGGCGCCGCCCCAGTTCGGGCTGCCGCTGGTGCTCTGGGCGCTGCTGTCGTCGTAGTCGTCGGCGAAGATGTCGTTCTCGGTCGTGTTGATCCTGCTGAGCGGCCGACCCGCGCCGTTGCCGCGGAGGGCGCTGATGCTGGGCATGTGGGAGATGGCGGAAGGGCGGCGATCGAGGGTCGAGGCGGCCTGGAAGGTGTGGGAGCGGTTGTTGGTGGGCCGCACGGGCAGGTCGGGGGCGCCGGGAGCGTTGCCGAAGCGTGCTTCGGAATGATGGGACCGGAAGGGCATCCGGACAGGCTGGGGCTGCGGCTCGGGCTCGAAATCTTGCGGGTCTTCGTATGGGTGGTTCCTGGACAAGGTCGAACGCGCGCGGCTAAGAACGCTGAGACGGCGGGCAGGGCGCTCAGGCTCGGCTCGCTCGGTTCGCTCGGTTCGCTCGATTTGCTCGAATCGCTCGGTCGGAGGAGGCGAGGTGATCTCGGTGGGCCAGGTGCGGCGGAGGCGACGCAGGGCCTCGGCGGAACGCTCGTGGTAGGAGAGCTGGGCGTCGAGGAAACGGGTGAGGTCGCGGAAGTTGTCGGGTTCGGCGTCCTTGATGTCCTGCATGCGGCGCAGGACGTCTTCGCCGCTCTCCTCGAACTTGGCGCGGCTGGAGCGCATCTCTTCCTCGAGGCGGTAGTCCTCGCGTTTGGCCTTTTGCAGCTTGGTGATGTTGGTGTCGTAGGCCAAGCGGCGCGATTCGTGCTTTTTGCGCGCGACCTGGGAGGAAAGACGCGGTGAGCACAATGCACGATGCAATCTGCGGGAGAAGACGTGTTTGGTTCAGACGAGGCAGAATGCATAATTACCTGGTACTCCTTCATCATGGCGAGGGACATGTCGATGGCTTCTACCCATTGTTGGGTGATTTCTGTGACATAGGCTTCCTGGATCTCGGCGAGACACTCATTCGCCTTTCCGAGGGCTGTTGCGGTGTTCGGTCAGCATGTCATCTCGTGCACCCGGCGCAAAGTGGCGAGGCGTACCGATCAAGCTGTTGCCATATTGGGAGTTGGGATCCAAGTCCTCGCCATGGGCAACCATCATGCGGCCGACGAAGCCAACAGGCAAGGCCTTCTCCTTGTCTTCGAGCGACTCCCCACGACGAGAAACCCACTTTACGTAGCCATTGGTGGATTTATGGAGTTTTTCCATGCCTGATATTTCATGTTCCAAGTATCAGCAGTCTGTATGTGAAAAAGCCAGGCAATGTCTGACAAGGGAAAGGGCCCAATGGGGAATGGTCGGGGTTGTCTACCATCTTGACGAATGACCATCTCGGCCTCGAGGCTCTTGAACTCATCGGAATAGCCCGTCTTCTCGCCGCCAATCTTTTCGCCAGCCCATTGAAAAGCACGATCGAGCTTCTTGGTCAACTGCATGTTCGATGTGTTGGGGGAGCCGGAGACTAATTGTAGTAAAAAATAAAATAAAATAAAACCGGTGCTTTCGAAGCTTGTTGTCGCGACACAAACGGGGCAGTGACGGTGAAAATATCCCGATTTCCCAGGTCAAGCCGACAGTGGGGAGGAAGCGCGAACTCGAGGCGAGACCAGCATGCGACGAGCCACCAGATGGATTGGACAGGACCTCAGCTAAGGGGGGAAGAGTCGCGATCAAGATGTTCGTATGGTGGACAGAGCGAGCGAAAGGGAGAAGTGAGCTAGAAAAAGACCAAAGACGGGGGAGGTTGGGAGGAAAGGGACTAGATAAAGTAGGATGAAGCACCGTCTGGGGAACGAATGGATTACCTAGGTACGGATTCTATGACCTAGGACAGGGAAAGAGTGGCAAGGTTGGTGGTCCAAGACATGCAAAGGGGACATGGGACACGGGACATGGGACATGGGACATGGGAAAGGGGAAATTGGCCAAGCCGAGTTCTTGGGAGGGGTTGGTCGGAAAGCGTCAAGGGAAACGTGGGCAGAAGGCACGAGGGAGATGGGAGGATGCGATGCACGAGTATCTGTACAGGGTACAGAGTACAACGTACCTACGAGCTACCTTAATTACCTTAGTGTACCTTAGGGTGGGAAGGAGAAGCCGTTTTCCCGTATTCGGAACTGTGTCCGCGGATCGAAACCCCGCCCGGATAAGATAGTCGCATGTGGGAAGGTGGAAAAACTGGGAAAGTGGGAAGGGAAGATAAATGGATACGAGGAGGCATACGGGGAGGGAGAGGAATGGATGTCCGTTTGACAGGGAGCGGGGGAACGGATGGTGTTGAGGGAGATGTTGAAGATGTGTGCGAAAGTATTCTTACTTCGAATCTCGTTGTGATGCGATGCAAGGTACAAAGTGAGGTACATAGCGTAGGTACATTCTTGAGGTTATCCGTCCACTTTGCCATCATTCGTCCCTCTCTTCATTATTAATAAGGGTTTTCGTTTTCCCTATCATGTCGACTTGCCCTTTTCGCGCCATAATCAATTGGCTTGCCCAGGCCCAACATTTCGAGTCGCCCGCTAGAAGACCCCTACGTTAAGGTACCTTTACCGTAAGGTATGAAAGCTAGGGCGACACCTTATCCGCTGTTAGCGCAGGCTTCGGCCAATGACATGTCTCCGATGTCAATGTCCCCAACATCTGGGGGGCCCGCGCAGTCTGGGCAGGTACCACCGGGTCTCTTGCCCCCTCCATCTTTTTCCCTGAGCTCCTTCGAGTCCTTTCCCCTGGGTCTTGGTCTTCCCTGCAGGTGGACCCCTGATTTTCTTGGATCTGGGCCTTCCATTGACAGCCACTCGCTCCCACTCGCCTCCCACTCGCGAACCGGCCCGAGTTTGTCGCAGCCCTCACTTCGAGTCGAACCAAGTCATCAAAGTATTTCCGACCATCCAAGTCGAAGCGCCCTTATAAGTTACCTTACATACGGCCTTAAAATAGCCTCTCACCCAATTGATTTGTGCTTACCGCCTCACTTACCTACCCTTTGCGCCGGGAAAGAATAAAACGAAACAAAATACTCTTGGCTTGGGCGACAGAAATTCTACCCTCTACACGTACCCGCCAACACTGCCACCTCCCGACCGACAGTTCGCGTTACAGGTCTTGGGTCCCATTTTTTAGGTCCCTGAGATCCAGTCCTAGCAGTCTAGTGCCGCAAAAAAATATAGGCTCGCACTCCTTCAGTTCCAGGTTCGACGCACGGCTGCCAATACGTAGGTAGTACGGTTTCTTACTTTACTTGTGAGACTCGACGTAAGACCGCCATCTGTTTATTTTTCTCCCCTCGCAGTAATAAGACTGGCTGGCTTAGTATGCGCCGTCAGTGGCGCCATCTGTTTCATTCCTAAAAAAAGGATGACTACGGACTAGGTACGAAGATTACGCTGTACCTTCCTTACAGAGGACTCAAGTTCCCAGGGCATTCAGTGGTGACGAGTGGCTGGTGCTGCGGCTGATGCTGTGCTGTGGCTCACTGTAGCCGCGTAATGGTATTACGAAGTACGAAGGTACAGTATTACTACGTAGTACCGCGTATTATTACTGCGTATTCCACCTTCGTCCTGTCCTCCTCCAGCTCATGCTCATCGCTCCATTGCCATGAAGCAAACGAATCCCCAGTATACCCTCACGGAAGAACATTCCACTGGTAGCCTTAGAATCAGATCCAGACACGAAACAAACCGCCCACTACACTACTAGACAGACCACGACCCAGCTATAGCTCAGCCGTAACTCTCTGCCGCCTTCGCATCTTCCTCCCGGCATGGGTTCCACCTCCACCTCCACCTCTGACCTCCCCCGGCCGTTCCTCCACACCTGGGTCCAATCCCTCAAGTCCCGACGCAAAGAACAACTGGACTACTTCCCCAGTTACCACGTGTCCGACCCCGAGTGCCTAGTAGCGACATGCCAACCCCAGTCCATCACCGTGGGCAGCGGCGCCTATATTTACAAGCACACCATCTTGCCGGCCCTCCTCGCCGCGCGCCACGAGATCATCCTGGTCACCTGCTTTTGGGCGCCTTCCGAGTCCCTGCAGGCCATCCAGGACGCCCTAGCCGGCCTAGTCGACCGTCGCCGCGCCGCCATCGAGGCCCCGAACAACGACCCAGACTCGATCCCGCCTCTCCGCATCCGCATCCGCTTCTCCTCCCGCTCCTTCTTCCAGAAGCTTTTCCACACCTGGTCCCCCGCCGGTCACGTCTACCCACCCTCTGCGTGGCCCGGGCTGGGCCTCCCGGCCGACGAGGTCCTCCGGGCGGCCCGCATCGAGCTGTCGGTCAAGACCCTCTTCTTCCTCCCCTTCAGCGTCATGCACCCCAAGTTCGTCGTCATTGACCGCCAGCGAGCTTGGATGCCCAGCTGCAACGTCAGCTGGGAGACCTGGTTCGAAGGATGCCTCGAGTTCACCGGCCCGGCGGTGGGTAAGCTGCTGCGCTTCTACGGCCACGTGTGGGAATGGGGCAACTACGAGGATTGGTTAAAGGAGAGTACTGTTTGGGACAATCGTGTAGCAGCCCAAGTCCCTCCGAAAAGTAATAATGCCGTCGGGGTCGTCGGACCCATCCCGAACGGTTCTAACCCGGCCTGCCGGACGCTGGCGTTAAATATGCCTCCCACGCCAGCCATCATCCTCCCCTCCTCCCACCACCGCAACCCCGGCTTTCGCTTCATCCCCTTCCTTCGACGAACTTGCCCGCCCGCCACCCCCCTCAACATGGCCCTCCTGACACTGTTCGCCACGGCCCGGAAGCAAATCGATATCCTGACCCCGAACTTGACGTCCCGCGCCGTGGTCGACGCCCTCCTCTCCGCCCTGGCCCGAGGCGTCCACGTCCGCATCCGCACCAGCCGCAACATGATGCTCCTCGAACAGCTCGCCACCGCTTTCACAACCACGGAGCGTACCCTCCAGTCCTTGATCCAGCGCTATACCGCCGCCGTGGCCCACTGGGAAGAAGCAGCACGCCGTGCTTCGGACATCGAGGCCCAGGACCAGGATCCCCGGCCGGGCCGCCTCGAGGTGTATTACTACCGACCCGACGCCGCGGCGCAGGCGGCGGGGGAGAAAGAGGAGGAGCCGGTGGTGTCGCACCTCAAAATGACGCTTGTGGATAAGGAGTTCCTCGTCCTGGGCTCCGGTAACATGGACCGCGCGAGTTGGCATACGAGCCAGGAATTGGGGATTTTGCTGTACGTCCCCCGGTTCGAGCACGATGTCTGGGCCGAAGTGCTCGAGACCCGGATGGAGGTTCGGTTTGTTGGAGGGCCGGACCAGGAGATGTAAGGTATGGGCGGGGACCAAAACCCCACGGGCCAAAACCACACGGGCCATGACGCAACTCAGTAAAAACCATCGTATCATGTAGCGTCCCGCAGCTTCAACCCCTCCTCTTCCACATCCCCTCGGCGCGACCCGTCCAGAGAATGGCCCGCAGCAACACCCCCATGAACCAATCGTCCGAATACGCCTCCTCAAAGTGTCCCAACGCCGTGAAAAACGACCTCCCGCCGTCTTCCCCGTCGAATTCCTGACACCACACAAGAGGATGATCATCCCCCATCTTCCCGCCCGCAAACGACGTCGGGTCCCCCCTCATCAACACCCTCACGCGGTCATTCTCCCGAGGGTGGGTCGCGAAATTGTACCATTCGTCCACCCACCCATCTCTCCCTTCCACACCACCCTCCCCGCTCCCGCCGCCGAGGATGAAGTGCCCCCTCGCCGCCTCCTCGACAACCACCCTCCCCCGTTCCGGCGGCGGGTGCGAATCGAAAAGGGCCCCGACGAGGGAAGCGTACGTCTCATCGTTTAACATGCCCGCCGCTGCGCCGTGGACGGCGACGAACCTGCCGCGCCGGCGCAGGATGTGGTCTTGCAGGGCGTCGACGTGGTGCGGGGCCAGGAAATCACCTGTGCACTGGAGGAAGAGGACCACGTCGAAGGCAGGGATGGTCGCCTTGGTGAGGCAGGCGTCTGGATCTTCGGTGTGGGTGACGGTGAAGAGGCCGCTGTGGGATGCGAGGGCCTTGAGTGCGGCGACGGCGGGTTCGATGGAGTCGTGGCGGTACCAGGACGTTTTGGAGAAGATGAGCACCGAGAGGGGTTTCGTGTTTGTGGTCATGGTGGTTGGGCTCTGGCTGATTTTGATTGATTCAATCACTTTCAGGTTCAAAGTCTGTTGAGGTGCAGTTGAAGTTGGCGAAGAAGTGTGGTGAGGGGTTGGAGACGCTTGGGGCTTGTGGGTAATTAATTATTCATTAGTACGTGGTTTCGAGAAAGTTCCTCTACGGCTCGGTGGGGGTCTCGGTGTGTGCTGGTTGAGGTGTTTCACCAGATATTCACCGACAAACTACACCGAGCTCTATCATTCATACACGAGACGAGGCGACTCACGAGATAGCCAGGAGAGATCTTCTAACCTTATAATAATTTGCAGTACCCGTCATAATTGAGCTCAGTAAGGGTTTCAAGACATTTCCAGGTCAAGTTACCATTGCAGCGGAAAAAACGCCCGTCCACAAACACCGGATATGACAACGGTAACAAAAAGTCCCAAAACTTGCCAGCCGAGATCTTCGGAGCATATTCCGTGCTATAGAGCCACCCGGCCACCACTTGCGCCCGCGCCAGTCGCGCCCGGGCTATCCAAACTATCGTCATCATCGGCTCGGCGTCTCGGTTTCTTCCTCTCATCCTCTTCGTCGCTAATCAAGCCCTCCAGCTCAAACTCCTCCGCATCTCGCAGCTGTCTCGTCTCGGAAACTGATCGGTGATGGCCGTTGGCTTGTGGTGCTTCCCCGTTGGCCAGGACAACCTTGCCCTGGGCATTGCTAATGTAGTCATACATGGTGATATTTATGTTGACAAAGAGGAACATAAGGAAGGCTAGTGAGTAAAGAATGAGGATGTAGGAGATGTGGTCCATGGACGAGCTGGCGACGAGGTCCATCTGTTCCTCGGTGGCGCCCATGAAGAGGAGACCGGAGGCGTAGAGGAGCTGACGAGAACGGTTAGCATCATCTCAAAGCAACAAGGGGGGGGGGACGTGATGGAAGGAACACTCACAAAAACAGGAATAAGTTGCCAGCTATTGTACTGCCGACCGTCATCGGACAGAGACGGCTTATCTTTCAAAACAAACGCGATTTCAATAATGCGAGAAAGACCAGTGGCCATCAGCGTCTTGCCGAACATGGAATGGGTCATGGCGCTGACGGGGAGGTCCTGCGGGTGAGCGGACATGCCCCAGCCGGTGACGGCAATGACGAAAGCGGGAATGAAGTTGCGCTTGGGATTCCCGTCCCGGTCGCGGCTGAGCCAGATGCCCGCGAGGCCGGCGGACCACCAGATGACGCCCATGGTGGTGTGCTGCCAGTCGTTCTTGACCCAGCCGGTGCCCCAGCGGTGCTCGGTAAACGTGTTGACGCAGCCCCAGGCGGCGATGACGGCACTATCGAAAAACTCCTGCGAGCGGCCGGTGCGGCGGAGCCAGAGCTGCCCCACCAGGAGCACGAGGGTGAGGAGGATGCCGTAGGCGATGAAGGCGGAGCCCATGATGAAGTGGGCGGCGCACTGGCCCAGGTGGTCGCCCTGGCAGAAGCCGAGGGCGGTGATGACACCGAAAACGATCTGGGTCCAGGAGAGGACGGGCATGGCCTTGCCGAGGACGCCGTGCAACGGGCGGACCACGCGGCGGATGCGCCCGTGGATCCCCTTTTCCAGGTGTAGCTTCAGGTAGCCGCCGAAAACGACCTGGCCGGCGAGGAGGAACATGAGGATGTTGGCGAATCGGGCGTGGACGTTGCCGGAGACGAACTGGCGGCCTTTGTGGGCGTGGCCGAGAAACCAGGCGACGATGGCGATGACGGTTCCGAGGGCTTGTGTCGGGACGTGCCAGCGGTTTTTAGCTACCTAAACAAATAAAAGTATCAGTATTTTGGCGAACCGCAACAGCTGACGTGGGAAAGGGCGGGCGAAGGGACAACGTACTCCTAGGACCATGCCGACCGGGAAGATCACACCAAATGCTAGCATCATGAGGAAAATGTGCACCCATAATGTCGCATCCTGCCAGTCTCGTCAGCAAAACCTCCGACCTATCCACCTATCCGGCCTATAAATGGTATTTTCCATCCTTACCAGCGGCTCAGGGGAGACGACGTGCCCCTCCGGTATCTTGTTCTCGCCATGATCGTGAGCCAACACGGCCGTAGGGAAAGAGGCCAAAATGATGATAGATGCGAGAGGCGCGATACGACGAGAAACGACGGTCGTCTTGTCCGTGGTGGTCCCCAAGGAACGACTTGTTGCGGAGGTCATGGCTGAGGAATTAGGAAATAGGGAAAGCAACGACGAGGGGTGGTGCAAGGGGGAGGAGCCGAGCAGGCCTGGATTCCGATCTCCCGAGCGTAAATCCCTAGGTTCGTTGCTGGAACACGATCTTTGGATCGTCGTCCGATGTTGTCACGCACGGTCCCCTGGGAACGGTATCGAGGCGGCGAGGTGTTGGCGATTGTTCGAAACGGTAAGACGTTGGAAACGTTCGGGACGCTCGGGAGTGGAGGGGGTCTGATCTGGCGTTCGTCAAGCGCAGTCTTTTAGCGTTTGGACTGGGATGATACCGTTGGGATTTGGGATGCACGTCTCCAGCCTACCCTATCTCCTGTCAGTGCCGTCGTCGGTGTCGGTGGTGGTGCTCCCCTGAACGCCGCGAAGGACAGAGACTGAAGGGATGGGAGAAAAGACGTGGTCTGGGGAGATTAATTACGGGTAGTCCAGTACGTTGGACGTAATGCAGGCCAGTTGAGTGCCAGTTCGGGACGCGCGGGATCCACTCATATTCCATCCACACCTATTCAGGTGGTACTTTGTGCGGAGCGATCGTGCTTCATCGTACCTACTTTGTAAATGCCGAGATCTTATAAGGTAGTGTAACTGAATATTGTGATAGTATGCGGTATTTCGTCGGTAGGATTGGCTCCGATCGGTCGACTATCCGTACGCGAGTGCGATCTTATTCTCCATATATCACTGGTGCCCCGTGTAGTCGTTGTGATTATGTGATTATGCAACTGTTCGCAATGTACAAGCTCGTCAATGCAATTCGGCGCTCTACGGTATCTTGTCCCGCGTGGACGAGGCTCACGGGATCAGAATTAGGGAACACTGAGTGCCCCGTAGGACAATAGCAGTTCTGAGGCACTTGGAACACATAGCATGGGTCTTGACAGAACTCGTGGTATTGCAACGACTACCTGTGGATGGAAGATTTGATGGTGCAAATAGAGGTGACATGTGGAAAGCAAGGTACGGGGTGCAGTGCGACTTGGGTGGGGCGGGGGCCGGGG